AGCCTTGACAGGCAGGAGAGGCCGGAGGTGCTGGGCAGTTGGCATCTTTAGGAACAGTCCTTAACCAATGAGAGACGGAAGCTGGTACGTAAATGCCACAACTTCTTCACCCTTTTGGTGGACCAACTTTGAGTGTGTCCCAGTCTCCCAGAGGTCCCTGGTGGGATGGTGCCCCCAGTGCCCAGAACAGCAACCAGGTCATTAACTCCCTTCCCTGGCTCACTTCCCCACTTCCCCTCAGTCTGCCTGGGGGGTCATCTCCCTAATAAACTACTTGTGCTTGAATCTTTGCCTCGGGGTCTGCGGGACCCCAACCCAAGATGGGCTGACTCAGTTCTGTGTTGTACACTAAAAGCAAAGGGATCTGTGGAGGGGCTGCCCAGACATCAGGGCTGTACCCCAATTCTGAGTTTTCACACACCGAGTATCCTCACACACCCTTGCTATGGGCTGTGCCCGCCTCAAAACTCGTATGTTGAAGTCTTAACCCCCAATATGATAGTATTAGGTGAGGCCTTTGGGCAATAAGTAGATTGCAACAGTGAAGCTCTCATAAAAGGGATTTGGAGTCCTTATAAGAGAGCTCCCTGCCCCTCTGTCATGTGAGGACACAGCAAGAAAGTGACCATCTGTGAAGCAGATAGACAATCTGCTGGCACCTTGAGATCTTGGACTTACCAGCCTCCAGAACTGTAACAAATAAACTTCTATTGTTTATAAGCTACCCAGTCTGTTATTTTGTTATAGGCGACCAAGCAGACTAAGACACATCCTTGGACAGTGACCATTTATTACATATGTCTGGGCCATGTGCTCAGATTGGGGGGGGACCATTGACATAGCTGAGCACGAGGTAAGGTGTCCTGGCCAGGCGGGCAGGAGACCAGCAGGAACCCCCTGATGGTGGCAGGAGCACTGTGGCACCCAGGAGGAGAAGGAAGAGGAGGAGGAGAAGGAGGAAGGTCAGGGACCACCTGGATGCAGGAGGAGGGGCTCTGTGAAGGAAAATGCAATGTCGAATGTATGGTGCGCTACCACTATGAGCCCTGTATCCCCCACCCTCAGACCCATCTCCCAGGCATCTCACCCAGGGTCTACCTCCAACATCACATCCTGCAGGTTGGGAGAGGCTTGCTTCTTGTCCTAAGGGGAGACAGCAGCCAGCAGCAGAATAGATGGAAGGGACACTTACTCTGGACTCTTCCTTACTACCATAGACCTACAGGACTGAGTCTGTTTTTCCTCCTTTCCTCGCACCCTCCCCACCCTCTCATGTGTGGTGGATATCTGTGCCTGCCCTCCATCCAATCCTCCTCCTCCTGGTAACAGTGGCTCAATTTGTGCAGTGGGTGGAGGGCGTCATTTCACCCCCGTCTCAGGCCTTCAGGTTCTTGTGTGGCCGACCCCACATATCTCCACTTCCATGGCCAGGGATGTGAGCCAGATCTGGCCTATGAGAGCACTCCATCAGGCTGGCCACTGTACTTGGTTCACAGGACACACCATGACCCAAGCTGGGCAAGTGTGAGGCAGCCCTGGGACATTGCTGCCAGCAGATCAGTTGCACTCTGCTTCCCCTTGGGTGGGCACAATACCAGTGCAAGTGAGTTTTCAGCTGTTGGGGCAGCCGTTTGTTGAGAAGGAATCCACCTTGGAGAAGCAGAGCCCAAGAGAGGGAAGGACTGAACCCTGACAGCATTTGAGATCACTTCAGCAGCACCCAGCCTTGTCAGTTACATGAAAAAACAGCATCCCTTGTCAGTTACATGAACAAATAGAATTACAGTGTAATTCCTTTTCAGTTAGGTTTCTGTCACTTGCCATCAAAATTCCAGAATGATACACCTGGCTGAGGAACAGCTCACCTGAGGCTTCTGGAGCAGGGAGCGTCTTCGCTGACATGCTAAGTGTTTCCGGTGGCTGAAGCCCGACATGAGCATGTCCTGTGGGGAAGTAGAGGGGTGGGAGGTCTCTCTTGGAGAACCCAGTGACAGACACAAAGTTGGGCAAGGGCCAAGATGGGGTTGTCACAGAGGTGAGATTCTGGGGGACGAAAAGTATCTCAGGGAGAGACGAAGAGAGGGACAGAGCCAAAGAAACCGAGAAGAGACATTACTTGTTCATTCACTTAACAAATATTTAATGAGTGTCCATTACATGCCGGGCACTGTTCTAGAATCTGAGGACATGGTGGACATGTAAACTTATATTCTAGATCCAGAGCTTATATTCTAGCAGAGAGAGACTGTACATTAATAAATAAATGTACCATGTCAAGATGTGGTAAGTGCTATTCGGAAATAAAGAGGTTAAGGAGTGATAATGTTTGGAGATCGGGGCAGGCCTCTGTGAAGAGGTGACATCTGGGGAGAGACTGGAATGAAGTGAGGAGGTGAGTTGGGCATGTGTATGGGGGCTTTGAGATAGGAGTGGATTTGGAATGTTTGAAGAACCAGGAGGCTAGTGTGGCTGCAGAGGGGAGAGTGAGGCAGAGAGAGAGGAAATGAGATGACAAGAGGGAAACAAAGAGATAGAGGAAGACGGAGACTGAGAGAGGCAGTGGGAAGGAGGGAGGGAGGACAATATTGAGACAGCAAGAAAGAGACACTGAGACAGAAGGAGAGACAGAGCCACCAAGACCCCCCTGAAAGGGAAGTACCCTACTAAGAGGCACACAGAGGGGTCCCAAGGGTGCCTGGGGAGGAAGGGAGGGATGTCCCCCACCTGCTCTCACCTCAAGGCCTTGTCCCCTGCCCTGGGGGACCCTGTGGCCACACAGCTCACAGGGGGTTCCTGGTGTCCAGGTTGTCTTTCGGCCCAAGGGCCTGAGGCCTCCAACATCCCCTGCCGGGTCCCACTCCAATTCTGCAGGAGTAGGGAAGCTACTGGGTCCCCAGGGTCCCCAGGCCCCACCAGGTCCTGGCCCGTCCAAGTCCCCCTCAACTTCCAAGTCCTGGTCCAGTGTATTGGCCTCCTCGAACACCTGGTCAGAGGACAGAGTCATGGGGGTTGTGGAATTGGTACCTGGGGCGGGGACTGCCAGGGTGGGCCATACCAGGCTGTAGCTGACCAGCTGGGCCTGCAGCCACCACAGTCGCCGCAAGATGCTGTCTCGGTGGGCTCCCAGGGCCCTCAGGACCTGCTCCAGGGATGCCCGGGCCTGAGGCTCACTCCGCTGTGCCAGCCCCTCACCAAATGCCAGCAGTGCATCTACACGCTCAGCTGCTCCACAGAGGTCTGCCTGTAGGGCCTGGGGACACAAGATTGGACACCACTCCCACCCCCCACCCACACACCCGGAGCAGCAGAGATCAGCAACCTGGAGTTATAACCCTTCCCCCTCACCCTTACCCAGACACCTGGAACATGGAGTAAACCCATTTCCCAAGCCAGGAAGCTGGCACCCATTCCTGAGGCCCCGCCCACCCCCCATACCGTGGCCTCCCACTGCCCACCTGCAGCTGGACCATCCCGCTCTGGGCTGATGCCCAGGGCCCTAGGCCTTGCTCTAGGTCCTGCAGCCGGAGGCCCAGCCCCAACAGGCAAAGGGATAGGCTGTCCTGCTCAGCCTCCAATACCTCCTGGCCAGAGATGAGGTGCTGGGGAACACAGAGGACTGAGTCAGGGCCGGTGGGCCAACCCAGACCTTGCCCCCACTTCCGCTGCCACCCCTCTTCTGCAGGCTCCTTCTGTAGCAGAGTCCATCTGTGGTCTGTACCAGGGCTGCTCCCACCTGGAGTTCTTCCCAGTGGAGCCAGGCCTGAAGACCTCTAGTTCAAAGTCTCCAGGTTTTCGAGGCTCCTAGAAATGTGGACATAAGGGGCCTAGGGGTCTGAACAGGGAGTGGGTGATGGAGCTGGATACCCCACAAGGAATTGGACTGCACCAAGGTCAATGAGGAGATAATTCTCTCCCAGTTGGTAAAATAATAAAGATTTTCTATAGTGATTAGTAAAGAATCATTTTCTAGAGTGCCCCTCCCCCCACAGGTACCCAACACTTTTCCAGAATCATCACCTCATCCCCAGTTTGGAGACCATATTCTAGGAGAGAGGAGGTGATGGCTGGCACAAGGGGCCTGAATCACCTCAGCTCACCTCACGGTGTCTGCCCCCAGCTGGGTCCTCACTGGAAGAGGGTGCTGGCAATCTCAGGGGACCAGCGGCAGGCTCAGTGCCCCTGAGCCCACCCTGGAGGTGTTCGGGAGGGTCCAAGGAGTCTTGCCCCAGTTTCTGGGCCTGTTCTGGTCTGGGAGGTAGGAGGCATTGACAGGCCTCTGGCTGAACCTAGGTGCCCATTATCCACCCTACCCCTGTCCCTAGGTCCCTCTCCCATGTCTCTGTCCCTAGGTGAACAGAGCCCTAGTACCTCCCACCCTCAAAATACCCCTGCTACTGCCTCCACCCTTTTGGGACCCAAATTTCAAAAGTCCAGCCCCTACCTGATTCTCTTCTCTCCCGATGCAGGGCAGATGATGCATCCAGCAATGTCCAGTTCCCTAAGGGCTCCAGGGGGGTGGTTGAAGGGCTCTGAGGGGAGTCTAGAGCCCAGAGGTGGGGGGAGGGCCATAGCTGGGAGCCTGGGGACAGAGAGTCAGTGAGGATCCCCAGTGAGAGCCCTTTTCCTGGCCCGGGGTATCCCCCCAGACCTCCTCAGTAGGACTCACACAGGTCTGAGGCAGCCAGAGGCCCAGGAGCAGACTCAGCTCCACCTACTCACTAGCAGAACTGGACTCAGGTAATTTGATGCCCGGCTCAAGTGGCAGCAGCACCACTTAACTCCTTTCTTCTGAGCCCACCAGTTAGCGGAACCTCTCAGGCTCACCCCACTCATCCCATCTAGGGGGGTTCCAGATACAACCCTGACCCCTCAAGAGCCCTGGATTCTGCCCCACTCAGTGACCTGTACATCTGATCCCAGGGCCCACACCATCCAAGGTCCCAGACACAGTACCCCTCAGGAACCCATGCATCTGCCCCCACTCCATCCAAAACCAAAGAAAGATTTTTGTTGGTTTATTTGAAATGGGGCCTCTTCCTGTAGTTCCCGCCAAGTTACTGGGAAAATAAATAACCCGGGGGTGGGGGGGAGCTGCCTCTGCCCCAGGGTTCCAAGGTCACAGGGTCACAGCTGTCAGGAGGAGGCGGAGAGCCCGGGAATGTGAGCAGTGCAGGCGCCTGGCATCACTTGCTGAGCAGGAGGCTGGTGCGCAGCACGCGGGGCACCCGGCGGATAGTCAGTGAGATGCGCGTGCCACGGACCAGGCTGGCTCCGGGCCGCGCAGACGGGCAGGCAGCAGCGTTGGGCGGCAGGGAGGTGGCGTCCAGCGCGTCTTCTCGGGCAGCTGCGATGCCGTGAAGGAGGCGCGTGTAGGCAGTGCCACGGAGCACCAGGAGGCTGCGCGGTTCCAGCAGCAGTGAGGTGGTCGGCCGGGGTGGGGACCAGGGCTGTGGGATGGGTTGAAGGTCAGTGGGCCCCCCAGAAGTCAAGGGGGGGAGCCGTCAGCAGAGTTTAATGGTCAGGGGGGCGAGGGTGAGCGAGTTCCCAGGGGCAAAGGTTGAGGGACAAGTGTGCTCCCATGGAGAAACTGTGCAGTGGAAATCCTACGGATCTCAGTTAGTGGGCGGGAGTGGGGAGCGAGGGCCTCTCTTGAGAGAGGGAGAGTGGCTGCAGATGGGGGTGTCTAAGGGAATTGCGGCTGGAATCTCCAAGGGGCTGGGGCTTAGACACCAGGGGTCAGCTGTCCTAGGAAATGGAGGAACTGGACTGAAGGCTTGGCTGAAACTAGGAAGGGGGTGGGTAGTAAGAGTGAGGCAGTGAGGAGCCAGCGTGGTCTGGGCCTGTCTGCAGACATCAGGATGCTTGAGGACACCCGCACAGTGGAAGGGGACTGCAGCCTACCCAGGAGCATGTAGGGCTACAAAGGGGCAGCTGGGGTCAGGGTGTCAGGGGAGTTTCTGTGAACCATGAGGTATCAGAAATGCATCACTCAGAGCAAGGTCAGGAGAGCAACTGTTATGAGCAACCCCCACAGAAGGGAGTCAGTATATCCGGGGGGTCCTTGAGCAATGAGTCATGGGTTGAGGCCCCAAGGAGAATCTGAGGGTATCCTTCGAGGCAAATCTACAGGGACAATCAGGGACATGATGTCAAGGACAATCACAAGTAAACGGTGTTGGGTATCCGAGGATATCAGTGTCTGTTGGGAGCACAGGGAGGTCTTGCATAGGGTATATGGACCTTGGGCTATTGGAACACTCTGAACGTGTGGGGCCTGGGGATCTGTGGGGCGTCGGGACACTCACTTAGCAGGTGAGGCTCCTGAGGTGTCTGTAGATATCATTTCTAGGGGACCCTGCAAATGGATGGGTCTGGAGTCTGGGAGGATGTGGGTGTACTCGATGAGGGGACTGGGGAAGGTGTCTGGGAGAGTATCAGCGGTACCCCGCAAGCAGGAGGGACTGGGGCCTCTTGGAGGATGTGGGATGTCAGAATGCCCACGAGTGGCCGGAGCAGTGTCTCAGGGCCCACCTGCTCTGCAGGGTCATCATCCTTTGGCTGCCGCGGCTCGTAGAGGTCCAGCATGGTGTGGGAGCCCAGGCTGATGGTGCTGACGGTCGGGTAGTAGAGTGGCCCGTCCTCGTGGGGCTGGGGAGTGGGCACCAGGGCTGGACAGGGCAGGAGTCCACACCCCCCCACACACCCTCTGGGGCTCAGGAGGGTGCCCCAGCTTGGGATGAGGTGGTGAATACCTGGTTGGGGTATGTGGCTGCTTAATGAGCAGAGGTGGGTCAACATGAGGCCCTGCCCCACAGTGGATCAGAAGTCTGGGGGTTGGGGTGAAGGTGTGTGGTTACCATGATGCCCTCCCCAGGCAGATACTGGTTCACAAGGACGTGGTTGGCTGGGAGACCTCCAAAAAGGCTGAGGTCAGATACTTTATCCACGTAGCGCTGGAGCCACAGAGGCAGCCGCTCAGGAACCATCCCCCGGGGATGGGGGAGCCCACCTGGGAGAGGCGAATGGGGTCCTGAGGACACCCAACCAAGGAGCCCTAGCACCTGGAACCCCCATTAGGGATATTTTAGTGGTTGGTAGTACTCTGACCCTTGGGAACCTGTGACTCCGGAGATCACCACCCAATGCTTCCAAGGCTTCCTGACTTCTCCAAACCCCTGGACACTTTGAGATATCCCCAACTCATCAGGAAATTCCTAACCTCTCAGAACCTCCACTCACCCCTTGGAATTCTCCTGGTCCATGGAACCCCTTAAACCCTCAGGACCCACCCTGTGTCTTGACTATCCAACCTGAGTCACCTGCCCCAGCCTATACCCCCAAATCACCCATGCCCCCAGGCAGGGACACTTACCCCAGTTCTGTAACTTCCTCCCAGAGAGCTGGGTCCACTTTGGCTTTGGGGCATTGAAGACCTGGGGGCGGGGGGGGGGGATCAGTCCTGTTTCAGGACCACCCTCACTGATTCTCCCACCCATGTCAACATAGGGCCATCTACTTGGGGGGGTGGGGGGGAATGGGTCATCTCAAAGTCTCTGGGATAGAACATTCCCAGGATTGTGTTGTTTGTCCTCTCCCCTATGTGTACCAGAACTACACAATCGTGGTCTGAATCTACTCTGAGCTCTGGGCTGGAGTGGGCTTTTTTAACTCAGCAAACAGCGTACACTCCATAATTTCCTGAATCCTGGGCTATCTTAGCACAGCTTAACTTCTGGAACCTCTTTGCTCCTATCACCTGGGGGAGAAAATGTGCAAAGCTGGGCTATCTCTGCATAGCAGGGAGTACTTTGAAATGCTCCGCTGCTGGGTTTCTGGATGGCTCAATCGGTTAAGTGTCTGGCTCTTGATCTTGGCTCATGTCATGATATCACAGCTCATGGGACTGAGCCCCGCTTAAGGCTCTGCGCTGAAAGAGCGGAGCCTGTTTGGGATTCTTTCACTCCCTCTCTCTGGCACTCCCCCGCTCACAACTCACTCTCAAAATGGAAGGAAGGAAGGAAGGAAGGAAGGAAGGAAGGAAGGAAGGAAGGAAGGAAGGAAGGAAGGAAGGAAGGAAAGAAAGCTCTCCACTGCCAATATCCCAAAGGTCTAGAATGGGCAATCTCCAAGAAGTATGTATTCTACTTGATAATCTCATTCCTTTCACAGTTATGGATGGGGCTGGAATGGGCTATCTCAGCACAAGAATCTGTGTTCTGTAACTAGCTTATTCCTGGGACCCAAACTTGACAATACTAGTTGGGACAGCACAAGGAAGATCTGTGCTCTATGACTAAAGCTCTGAACCTGCCAAGGATCTGAACTTTGTAAATTCTCCTCTCCCCAAACCTTAAGAATAGAATACAGAATACTGGGCTATCTCAGCACAGGTGATCTGAGTTTAGTAACCTTATTCCCAAGACTCTGAGTCTATGCTGAGCCCTCTCAGCAGAAGGAAGAATTTACTCTGTAGCATTCTAATGCTTGTTACTGTCTGCACAGAAATCTGAAACTGCAAACTCTTAATTCCCCAAACCTCAAGGGCCTGAACTGGGCTATCTCAGCACAGAGAGTATGAGGTTTGTAACTTTGTTTCTAGCATAACACATCTGATCTCAGTAACACCTGCTTTGGAGGCTGCACTGGGCTATCCCAGCACTGGGAGTCTGAGCTGCATAAGAACTACCTTTCTAAGAATCAGTTTGGTTTCCTCTAAGCCTCCTGGGAAAAGCTCTGACAGGCTCCAGCAGGTCCTGAGAGAGGAAAAGGGAAGATGAGGGATGGGTGTTGGATGGCACTCTCCTTGCTGCCAGGATCCTTACTGTGGCCTTAGGGACTCTCACACAGAATCTGGAGATTGGGGAGGGACCTGGGAAGGAGGGAAAAACGAATCAGCAGGGTGTTCAGGTTACCTGTCGAAGCAAATACTCCTCCTCTTCCTTAGAGATGAAGTCAGGGACATAGTAGATTACAGGTGGTGCCTAGGATAGAGATCCCCATGAAGGTGTGGCCCTTCAATCTACACAAGGGCCCTAGTATCACTGAACAGGCCCTCCCTCTGAAGAGTCTCCAGATGTTCTTGGACAGGCCAGGGCCTGAAGTCAAAGGATTAATGCCCATTTTGGGGGCGGGAAGTGGGGGTGAGGGTGGGGCTGTACCCCAAGGGTAAGAATGAATTTGGAGGGAGGAAGCAGTTCAAACTCAAGAGTCGGGCTGGCTATCCCCACCCTATCCCCCACCCTAGAGTCCCCACCTTCACCCTCTGCACCCCAAGTCTGACAACCTGTTCCACCCTGAATGGTTCCAGGGCTGGGACCCTGGCATCCTGATCCTCCATGGACACCATCTCCATGCACCCAGTCCTGTGGGGGAGGGGAGGACACTCTGAAGTCACGAAGCCTCCCACTCTCAGGCTATGATACTATTTTCTGCTTTATCAAGGGCCAGGGCCTCATCTTGCCCCTACAGCTAAACTCACTTGGTTTCTAAAACCTGGGTCCTCAGCCATCTCAAGCGCCACCCGGACATAGTACCCAGAACACTGCCCCAAACTTTATCCACAAAAGCCCACCAAACTACACATTTCTGCCCTCTTAAGCCTCTCACAGAGAACATCCTCTGACCTCCCTGGGAGCCGTTCTCAAGAGTTCCACGCACACCCTCTAGGGCTGCATCCCAAAGCCCCTTCAAACAGTCTGAGACGCCATCAAACGTCAGACTTGCAACCATGAGTCAGGGTCTCTAACAACATTCACACTCCCCATGCACCCTCCTGCCGCCTCAAGCCCTTTCAGATGCCCCATTCTGAACACCCGCGTGCCCCGAATCTGAGTCTCCTCAGAGAGGTCCACTCTCAGTCTCCTCGGATCCCCCCCCCCCGGACCCCTCCAGACTTCCTCTCCCGAACGCCCCTTTCCTGTAGCAACCTTGGGCCTTTAGTCCAGAGCCTGACTCCTCTCAAACCTTCTTCCCTACCTGAACCCCTTAAACTCTCCACCCCTTGTCTTCTAGAATTCCACATCTGAGCCTCCCTGGACTACCGTCTGAGCTTCCCTAGATCCCCATTCACACCCATCTCCGCCCCCAGCCACCCCCAAAACTGACCGTCCGCCAGAGTCCCCCTCCAATACCCGAATTAAACTACCCCATTCCCTTCCCAGTCACTTCCGCTCCACGTTCCTGACGCAGGTTTTCTCAAACCAACCGGAACTCTCAAAGGTCCTAAGGGTCCGCCTTTCACCCAATCGGCGCTCTCATCCTCTAGTGCCCCGCCCCTTCACCCTCGTTTATGATAGGCTGCGCCTCCTGGCCTCTGAGCCACTGGGGATCCTTCGGAGACGGGTCTTCATATGGTATCGACCAACCAGAGCTCCAGAACCCAACCTGCCCACACTGCGGAGTGGGCACAGATGGGAGGGATGGCCTTGGAAGGGCCCAGGTGGGAGGGGAACCCGCTGGAAGAGCAGGCTATCAGAACTTCTTGCACGCTAAATCCTTTCATGCCCCTGCCTCAGGGAGGCTGGATTGAAGGGAGGATTTCCTCCGTCGTCCTTCCCCAGCAAGGGTACGGAGGGAGGCCCACAACTTCCCAAATATTGACCGGACACAGAGAAGCCATAGAAACATCTTTATTGAAGGGGACAGGGGTCATGCTGAGTTCAGGGACATGCAGTGAAGGGGCAGTCGTGAGCTGTCCTTGGTGGTCAGGGCCCCGGGTCCACCCTGGACCCCCTGGGCCTTCAGGTTCTCCCTCAGGCTGTTGGTCTGGCCCAAGTGCTGTGAGGTCCTTCGGGGCCAGTGATTCAGATTTGGTGTTTTGGACCTGTGACCAGACCGTAGATTGAAATAGGGGTTCCAGGATTTGGGATCCCCTCAAGGCCTTGGGGCCCTACATGTATTAGAGATGGAGGCTTTAGGATGTGGGGTTCCCTTGGGGCTGGGGCTCTTTGCATTTGAGTGTCTTGAGATCCATCAACTCAGGGCATTGAAATGCTCCGGTTTCCAGGGATGAGAATTCCTGTTTGGGGTCTCCTGGTGCCTATGAACAGGGCTTGAGGTGCCCTGGGAGCCCGGGATGCATATCCTCACTGCAGTCTCCTCCATCCCAGGCACAAGGACCTCCGTGATTGGGATTTCCTGGGGGCTTAGGATTGAATTTTTAAATTTGGGATTCCCTAGGGATTTGGGGATTTCATGATTTGAGGATCACGGTAGTTAGGGCCTTGGGGTCCTCTAGGGGCTGTAGGACTTGGGGACACAGGTGAGTATGGGACATGTACTCTGGGGTTTGGGATCCCGAGAGTCCCAGAATGGGGCCTCTAAATTTTGGGGTCCCCCAAAGGGGGAAGTCATTACTCAAAAAATAGAGAATTTTCTGGGAGCCTGACCAGCACAGGGGCTGTGGGCCGTGTGGGGTGGGCTTCAGACAAGGCACTGGGGGTTTCTTGAGGGCGCAGAGGGTAGGAAGACTTAGGGGTCCTGTAATTAGCACTTCCAGGACTGTTTTGGTTTCTGTAAATTGGGGGTGACAGTGGACTGGTTAATGTGGGTCTCTTCTTAAGGGGTAAGAACAAGGGTCTTTGTTAATGTAGGGAGTCTCTGATTGCAATGTGAGCTTTTGGGGTGACCACTGGGGTCACAACATCTTGAGGGGACTGATATTAAATGTAGGTCTGTTACTCTGTTGCTCTGGAGGCATGACCTGTGTTTATTTCAATGGGACTTGATGGAGGAGGAGTCTTTGTTAACGGGGGAGGAGGGTTCTGATCCAGTAATGAATGATTCAGGAATGTTCTGCTCTGGAGCATTATGTAGAGGTCACCATCATTTGAGGTGATGTGGAAATATGTTATTGGGGGTTCTGCTCTGAGGGGCTGGGGATAGGGACTAGCCTGAAGGTGCTACACTCAGGGAATCTCTTTCTGGGTACCTTGGGGTCTGTATTTGGGGCTTATCATGAGGGAATCTGTTAATAATGGGGCCTCAGTGATCCAGGGCTGGCTAATGGGGTCTCTATTCTGGATGTGTTACTGGGAATCTCTATCTCAGGGTGACTCGGGGGCTCCTTGTGTCAGGAGATGCTAGAGGGGACTCTGTCAGGTATCCAGGCCTCTAAGACTGCATCTCCGCCCTCAGCATCCAAGGAAACCAGCAGCAGAAGAGCAACCTGGAAAGAAGAATCATATCCCTCACACCTTGATGCAGGGAACATCTGGATTTGTCACCCCCTCCCCACTCTTCCCCAGGTGTTTGGGATTCGACTTTTCTGGATTCTGCCTGGCTATGCCCTCTCAGACTCCTGTGCAGTGAAGGGTGTTCTGCCTCCTCTACCGGCCCTTTAAAGGTGAAAGTCCCCAGAATTCAGTGTGGGACCTCACTCCCTAAAAACTATTTCTGGGTAAGGTGACTAGTAACGAGTTTTCCTAATCTCTATTTCCAGCCCCAACCAGAAGTCCAGACCCCTGTGTCCAGCAGCCTTGTGTGGCCTCTCTCTAAACATCCCACAGGAGGTGGGCCAAGGGTTGGCTACACACCTGGAGATGGAGTTCTCTGATGCGATGTCCTTTGGGGTCCGGACTGTCGTGAAAGTGCGTTTGGGCTGTGTCACTGAAGGAGAGAGCAAGGTCTCAGGTGAGAGGATGACAGACCCTCATTACCCAACCAGATTCCTTGTCATTAATACTTGTCCATGTCCCCAGTACCCACCTCGACCCCACATTCCAATACCCATCTGGGCCTCCTGTCAATAATATTCCCTGTGTCCCCCAATACCCACTCATGTCCCCAGTGCCCGCCCAGAGCCTGATTGTTGTTAATATCACCATACCGCATAGCACCCATCCTTTTCGGGATCCTGTCTCATCATTTTCCTGGACCCCGTGTCCCCTGGTAAATACTGGAGATTCTGCCACCAGCATATTCCTGAGAACCCATGACCCTCCTATCCCCCAAACTTTCACTCCTCCTCTACCTCTTACACCCCAGCCCCAACTCACTTGTCACTTGATGCACTTTTTTGGCTCCCACATTGTCCCCAGGGGGGTCAGTGGATCCACCAATCCTGGGGAGACATGAGAGGAGTAGGAGTCAGAGACACAAGAGGTCAGCGGAGCTGAACCCATAGGGCCTACGCAGAAAGGGCTAGGGTGTGGAGGTGGGTATCCACACTGTCCTGCTGGTCCAAGAGGAAGAGACATCTGACAGGGGAAATCAGGGTTCTGGGAGGTACCCTGGGTTGGGGTTAGAGTTTGGGCTCACCTCTGAATTCGGGATGCTGGTGCAAAGACTCCATGCCGCGGGGGGCAGGTGAAGTACCGGACACCGAAGACAGAGCCATCATGCTTTCCAGTGGGCTGGTCTAGCTCAATGCCATACCAGTAACCTGCAGCAGTGGGGTGTCAGGATGCCTCAAGGCCCTGCCTGCCCCCACCCCACCCCCCAGATCACTGTCCTCACCTGGGGCAAAGTCTGTCTTCCCGTAGAAGCGCACAACCCCTTGCTTCTGGCCAGCAACAAGGACTTGGTCTCCCACCTCAGCCTTGGCTCCCTCTCGCTGCTGAAGGCTCCCCAGAGATGGGGATGACGGGGGCTTCTTCTTGCCTGGGGTAAAGGGTACAGGGGGAGGGAGTGGGGTCCCCAGATGCCAGCCATGGGGACCCCATGCCGCGCAAAAAGACCCAAGGTAGAAACTCTGTTGTGGCTCCAGTCAGGAACTCTAGAGCCTTCCCCAGAACTGGGGAGCTTTGGGCTTGAAAGGCAACCATCTCAACTGTGAGAAACCAGGGAGTGGGGGGAGAGTAGTTAGACCTGAGGATCAAGAACCTGGAGAACCCCAAGATCCTTTCTCAAAGCTGAGGTTATTGGGGCCAAAGAAAAAACCAAGTCACAGAAGTAAGAAGCCCAGAAATTACCCTTTTAAGATGAAAGGGCGGGGGGGTGCCTTCGTGGTTCAATCAGTTAAGCGTTTGACTCTTGATTTTGGCTCAGGTCATGATCTCAGGGTTATGAGATCAAGCTCTGCATCAGGCTCTGCATGGAGCCTGCTTGGGATTCTTTCTCCCCCTCTCTCTGCCCCTCACCTGTGCATGTGTGTGCCCAGTCTCTCTCTCTCTCTCTCTCTCAGAATAAATACACATTTAAAAATAAATAAATAAAATGAAGGAAAGAGTTGGGTGTGAAGATAAATCAAGTCACTAGAGCCAGAAACCTCATAGTTTCTTCCCTGAAACTGGGGGAAAACTCTTGGGCCTGATGGGAAACTAAGTCACAGAAAGCAGAGAACCCCCGAATCCTTTCAAGAATCTAAAAGGGTGGGGGGCCAGTACTAAGTCAAAGGAGAAACAGAATCATAGAAGTGAAGAACTCAGAGATCATCTTCTAAAACAAGAGTTTGGGCCTGAGGAGAAACTGAGTCTCTGAAGCTGGGCTACCCACAGAATATCCTCAAACTGGTTCTCCTCGTCACCCAGAAGGTTCCCCCTCTGACCTTTGTGTTCTCTGCGGCCTTTCCCAGTGACACGGGAAAAGTCCATCCGAGGAGTCCGAGGTGTGGAGGTGACGGACGACGGGGGTGCATCCACTACTTTGGAGATCTTGGACACAGAAGCAAAGAGGCCTGGGGGGACAGAACGTGGGCTGGGAGTTGTCCAAGCTTCTGCCCTCTGCCCGGTCATCATCTCCCTACCCCCATTACCCAGTCAGCAGCATCAGAACTACTGAGCGGACCCCACCACCACCCCATTTGAGCCCCAGGTGGGACTGACCCTGCTTGGGAGGGCAGATGAAGTACCGGACGCCCCCAACACTGCCATCATTCTTGCCCTCAGGTTCATCCAGCTCCACGCCCACCCACTGGCCACTGGCGAACTCCGTGGTCCCGCAGAAGCGAAGTGTGCCCGTCTGAGGAAACAAGGGAGGATATGGTTTGGTGGGGGGTGGTCCCTGGGGGGCCATGACAGATCACTGGCACACAGGCAGCATGGTGAGCAGATGAGGGAGCCCTAAGCTCAAGTCTGTTTGGACATTACCATTTATTGGGTATATGACTTAACATCACTGTGTGTCAGTGTCCTCATCTATGAAACGGGAACAGAAATCACACCTACCTCCTAGAATGGTCATAGAGCTTCCCTGTCCAATGCAATAAACAGCCATTAGCCACATATAACAATTTAAATTAACTGAAATTAAAATTAAGTTTAGTTTTCCTGGTTGCACTAGCCACACTTCAAGTGCTCAGTAGCCACATGTGGCTTATGGCTACTTTACTGGACAATACAGACACAGAATATTTCCATCATCACAGAAAGGTCTACTCAGAACAGAGCCTGGTGCTGAGTGAGGGATCAGTGAGTGTTGACTCTTACTGTCTTGCAACTTTGGTACAATGACCTCCTAGGCCACAGTTTCAACTGCAAAATGGAGAGAACAATGCACCTCATAGCCTGACTGTCTGGTTGAAACATCTGTAATATATGTAAATTTATTTAGTGGTAGTGAACCCTCAGTGACTATTATCATCACGTGAGGCTGCTTCACTCTCAAAGTTCTGGTTCCCTGTCTATCAAATGGGCAAATTAATAGTGCCTATTTTGGAGGATTGGTGTGGGGATCAGAATATGCCTGGCACACAGACAGTACTTGGAATGCATCAAGCCTTATTCTAAGGGCTTTACAGATTTTAATTAATTTAATCCTCATATAACCTGAGGTGGGTGCTATTATTAGCTCTATTTTACAGATGAAGAAACTGGTACTCAGAGAGGTGGAATCAGTGGCCCCAGGCCCCACAGCTGGAAAGCAGTAAAGCTGAGGTTTGCCTGAGCTCCTAACCACCATGCTAAGCTGCTTCTCTAAGAGGCAGACTGTCATTATGGTTCTTCTCTTCAGACAAAAGGTTTCACCTCTCTGAGCCTCCTACAGTCTTCTGGGTTGTAAAATGGGAAGAGTCAACCCATTCTGCTTTCAGAATTGTCACATGGATTTGACAAGATCAAGCACAGAAAGCTTTACAGGTGGAGCTGATACATACAAAATTCTTGATTAGGAAACACAATGTGACTTTTACTAAATTCAAATTCCTTCCAGTGGCCTACAAGTCTGGTACAATCCAGCCCCCTGCTGACCTCTCCCCTTCACCCTCCAGTTACGCTACCTCTTCCCTCCTCTTGGCCTCTGTGCCTGCTGTCTCTTCTGTCTCCGTATTGTTGCGTGTGAACTCCTCCCCCTCTCAGCTCAGATATCAGCTCCTCATAGAAGCCTTTGGAACACCCAGCTAAATTTGCATTTGGCCTCAGCCAGGGGCGATTTTACTAAATCCAAACTTTTTGTTTTTAAGTTGAAACAAATTTTTTTAAAGTAATCTCAGTGTCCAATGTGGCGCTCATACTCATGACCCCAAGATCAAGAGTCACATGCTCTACTGACTGAGCCAACCAGACACCCCTAAATCCAAGCATTTAATGGTTTTCAAAGCCCCTGTTGCTACCAGAAATTATCTTAACTATGGATTTACTTTATTGGCTGTCTCTCATGAGAAAAGAAGCTCCATAAGAGTGGGTCTGGGCTCACATAGCCCTTTATTCCCAAGGACGGGCTGGGTCTCCATAGAGACTGAGGGACACCAGACAAATAAATCAGAGTTGGAATACCTGGATAAATGAAGGTTCTCTCTGCTCTCTGGGCCTTTATACCTGCTCCCTCTATGTGGGATCCCTTCTCCTTTTCCTTTCCTGGCTCATTTCTCTTTATCTTGAAGTGGGTGCCTCCATCCCATCACACCCCTGATTGTTCTGACCTGTCCTTTTTTCCCAAAGTACTAATCCCTCTGGGAGCCGAGGTGGGCCCTGACTGGGGACCACAAGGCCCAGGGCAACTCACAGGTGCAGAGCTGCATTGATCACTCTGCTTGTGCGTCCTCATGACAGCCACGACTGTTCTGGGCTGTCACTGTCAGCTAACAGATCTGTCGTCCTTCCCTGGACTGAGAGCTCAGCCCAGGGTGGGGCACAAAGGAAGCACTCACAGAATGGCTGTTAGATGAAACAAATACTGTAGGAATGATTTGGGGGGGAGGGGTGGACAAAGGGGAGGGTCTACACTCTGTCCAAAGACCCAGCTCTGAGGCATGAGGGCTGAGTCCTGCTCTCCCCACCTTTCCCCAGGCCCTGACCTTCTGGCCATCCAGCAGCACGCGGTCTCCCAGACGCAGGCCCAGCGCGCTGAGCATGAGATTGCCTGGGACGTTGTCATAGTTGGGTAGTGTGACCTTGGGGAGGGCACAGGAGAGTGGCACAGCCTCCTCCAGCAGTGTTCGCAGCTCCTTGGCCACCAGCGCTGCCTCTGCCTTGTCCAGGGACATGTCCATGGGGTCTGGGACCACCTCTGCTGGCACCTGTCCCTTCCGGTTCTGGGGGCCAATGGGAAAAAAGGAAGTGAGGATTCAGTGGCACAGGCTGTACCTCCATCGAGCCCATGCTCCTAGAGACCACTAGTCTGGGTAAAAACAAGGCAGATGTAGGCCATCCCCTAGGCCAACATGGGAATAAGAAGGGGTGAAGCATTAAGTTGTAGACCGCATCCCCAGGGAAGTCCACCCTCAACCACAGGCTGGGGACTTCAAGTAACTGAAGGTAGAACTAAGGGTGGAGTGACAGGGAATGAAGGTCACTTCAGTCTGTAGGTCATGCACTCAGGGAGGCCATGCCCCCAATGATCCCAAGCCTGGAATGAGACCACGTGAGGAACGAACACTGAAAATGGTCTCCTGTGGTACTGGGTCAGGGGTCCAACTGGGCCAATGGGGAAGGAGGAGAGGCAGGGATTCAGGAACACGGGCCATGTTTCCCCAGGATATCTGGGCCTGGAATAATGCAGAGTAGTTGGTGTTGGAAATGGATGGTTTGGAGGTCAAAGATCATACTGAGGGCTTATGGGCAGACCCAACCTTCTCATTCACAGAGAGTCTCAACTTTCTTCATGATCTTGAAATACTGTCTACATACAGCCCCAGGGTCAGCCAAGATTGAAAGAAGATATTCTTTGCTGGGTAACCGGGGACAAATCACTTACTCTCTCTGCCTCAGTTTCTCTACTAGGGCTCATAATACAGTTCACCTGACATATCATGAGCACGAAGCAAATACTGGCTATCATTTCACTTATTGAACATATAATAGACGATTTTTGTAATGAACTTCTAGAAACGCAAGTGGTTCTGGCCTCCCTTCGTCCTCTGCTGCCTGGGAAAGGGGGTGGGGAAGGAAGGAGAAGGAAGATAATGGGGGCTGGGACAGGGATGCAGTACCCGTAGTGCTGGGTTGGCACCATGCTCCAGCAAACACTTGGCTGCGCCCAGGCACAGGTTGGAGGCAGCAATGTGCAGGGCGGAGCCGTGGTTGAAGTCACTGCATGTGGAGTTCACCACTGGGGTGTGGGAGAGAGGAGGGTTCCAGGTGAGCTGACTTGGCACTCCACTCCCCTCTCCCCCCTCCCACCCCCCCAAGCCACCTGGCCTCCTTAGAGCCTCCCCAACCCAAGTCCATCTCTTAACCCCCACCCACTGACTCCTGTGCAGAGCCCCGCCCCTCCCTTCCAGGCCCCACCCCTCCAGACGGGGTCCTGTCCAGCCCTGGGGATGGATGGGTCATGGATATCTGGACCCTGTCTCTCGCAACTCTTACCTCCACCCTACCACCATCGTCTCTCCTTCCCAGGCCAGACCTCAGTTCTGCCCCATCACTCAGCTTCCCTGCCTTCTCTACTCTATGTCTCCCGTCTCCCAGCAGACCTCCTCCCCGCCCCCAACACACACCAGAGGCACCCTCCTCCTGCTTACAGCCTCCATCTTATCCTGGATCCCATCCCCTCCCAGCCCAGACCCTCCCGCTCACCTCTTGGCCGGGCGCCCTTCAGCAACACGCGCACGAGGTCGGGGACATCGAAGTAGGCAGCATAGTGAAGCGCATTCATGTTGGTCCAGCGGCTGCGCAGTGTTACATCTGCGCCCAGCGCCAGCAGCTGCTGCGAAAGGCGCACAGCCGCCGCAGGGTCCCCTACGGGACAGCCCAGGTCAGCTTGTGTCTCCTCCTCCGAAGGCTGAGCCCAGGGCATGGGGAAGCTCTAGGACTCAGAGACTGTGCTTTGGGATCTTAGGCTGCGGGTTCATGGTGGGGATCCGAGGGCCAGGATTCTGGGTGGTTTTGAGGGTGTCATGTCTGGGGGCCTAGGTTTGGGGGCTCGTGGTTTGGGGGTTTAGACCTTACCAACTCCATGGGCTCCAGCCTTGCACGCATAGTGGAGCAGTGTCATGTCAGTCAGCCCATCCCGATCATTCACATGACAGCCTCGACGCAGAATCTGGAAGTGCCAGGGAACCAGGGAGGTTAACCCAAATGTATGAGGGACCCCAGCCTCTCTCTCCCTGGCTTCCCGAGCATCTTACCTCATTGCCGATGACATCGATCTTGTGCTGGACTTGGGGCACCCACTGGCGCACGATGGCGAACAGCTCAGGGATGGTGGTCTGCGGGTCAAAAAGAATCTCCTGGCACGCCGGGTCATTGGGGTCGAAGAACGTGAAGGCTAGGGCAGTGAGAGGTTCAAAGTCACCCCAGGCAAGCTGACACCCTCTTTCCATCCTGAGGCAGGGCCGCTCTAGGCCTTTGCCTTTAAGACCCTCTAATGCATGGTCTCAGACCATGTGGTGCGTGGGCTACAGGCATTTTCCGTTGGCTAGCATGAGGTTTCAAAATCCGGAGGTTTCACAGAAAACTCTGGATGCCCCATGTGTCTTGAAAAGTTGGAAGATCTGGCAATCCCACAGAGCAGCAAACTTCACCCCTAGAAACAAGAGTGTGGAGGGAGTGCAGGACCTTGAGTCAGCACATCCCCTGGGAGGAGGGAGGTTGGCACTGCCCTGGCACACTGTCGCCCTGGCAGAGCATGGGCACAGTCTGGCTAAATCTCAAGTAGAAACCAAAAACCAGAAAACTTAGTTTTTCAGAAAAATCTCCCCAATTTTTCAAATACCATGCAGTACACATAAAACGTACCCACCGGCAGGACCAAACCTGTGGCCAGCCAGGGCAGTGCCCAGAGGAACTTCCATCTCCCCCATTAGGCTCTGACGTGTGTTGCTTTCTGTGGTACTGCCAACACCCAGCACAGGGCCTGGCACAGGGCAGGAGCTCCGTGCATACTGAGTGAGTGAGTAAATGAACATCCAGATGATACACAGCCCTGGAAAGTGCCACACAGACAGCGCCAACAGGAATCAGCCTGCATGTTCCTCTTTAAGCCCCGGTCCTGGCGCACGCAGCCCTCCTTGGCTCAGACCCTGCCCTGGCTCCCGACACACTCAAAGCACTGACCAGTGCTCCCCCACAGCCCAAGGGCCTTGCACAAACTGCAGGCCAGTGTGTTCTCTGCCCTCTCCCCCTCACTCGTCCCACCCAGCCACACTGGCTCCTTCTGTCCTTCCAACACGACAGGCAAATTCCGGTCTTGGGCACTTTGCGCTGGCCTCTTTCCTTGCCCGGGACAGTCTTCCCTCAAGCCTTCTCAAGGCATTGCAGGGTTTACTCAAATGTCACTCCTGCAGAGAGGACTCCCAGACCACTCTGTGTGCATCAGCACCTCCGCCCTTCTCCCGCCCGTTTGTACTGCTCTAATCACAGCACCTACCACTACCGAACATTAACTTGTTTACTCCTTCTTCCTTCCCTTTCTCTTTCCCTCTTTTCCTGTCTCCCTCGTCTCCCTCGCTAGGATGTAAGCACTGTGTTTCTGTGCTGCCTTGTTCACTCCCTTTTCCCCAAGGCCCGGCACGGCAGCTGGCATGCGGTAGGTCATCAATCTACCTACAATCTCTGCGGAATTAATTGTACAACTTTAATTCACAAGTACACACGTTCTTCTCAGTCCATCTGAGCCCTCTCTCGGTCCTAGACCACATTTCCAGATTCCTTCCTGTTCTGTGGTCAAACCCTCCTTGTTCTATAAGCCAGATTCTGAGGGAGGTGAGGGTCGGGCACAGGGCACAGCCTACACCCTCTGACTTCCCACCGGGCTACAGGCCCCAGCCACGTCTAGCCACACTTCCAAAGGAGATTTTCCAGTTCCCTGGGGTGGATTCGTCACCCCGGACACCCAGATAGTGTTCTTATTTTTCTATCAGACTGAGGTCAATTTGTAGCGTCTCTGACCCACCTCTAGTGGGTGATATGGCCACAGATGCCACCCCTTCTGCCCTATTCTAGTGGTGCCTACTCTTTGAACATGGTGCCTACTTTGTCAACTTACAGCTGCGGGGGATTCCCAGACAACATCTTCTAAAAGCCTCCTCTACCCTCTCTATCCAGTAGCCAGAGGGAGCTTTTAAAAATATAAATCAGATCTGCCATTCCTCTGCTTTTAAATATCTCCCTACCAACTGCTCTCTCCCCATCACACTTATCTAAAGTCGTAGTGGCGGCTAAGGCCCTCCCAGATCTAGTCATTGCCAAACTCTCACCTCGACTCCCATCACTCCCTTACTACAGCTTCAGGATTGCCTTTTGTTCCTGCCTCAGGGCTTTTGCACTTGCTGCTCACAGCCCAGAACTATCTTTCTCCAGTTCTCCTATGGCTGATTCCTTCTCATCCTCTGGGTCTCAGCCTAAATGCTACCTTGCCAGAAAGACCCACTCTGACTACTCCGTCTCAAGGTGCTGCCCTCTGGCACCCCTCTTATATGTCTAACCTTTATTTCTTTCATAGCACGTATCTGATTTACCTATTACTTGCTCCCTCCTGAGAGCAGGGATCATGCCTGGATCACTCACCATTAATGGAAGATGATAAAGATCACCCAACATAAGGCTTATCACAGACTAGTTGCAACGGATAAATATGCTTGGTGAATGATTAGACACTTTCAGTTTCTCCAAGAAAACACCCTCTCAGCTCCACACCTTCCTACCTTGGAGACTTTACTCCTGCAGTTCTCTCTCTGGGTACCCCCTTCCCTTGCCCCTTCCCTTGTTAAACCCCAACTCATCCTTGGGTCTCCCTCAAATGTTACCCCTCATAGAAATCATGTCTTAAAAAGCTCTTGCAGCATCCCTTCTTGGCAAACAAAATTCTCATCATGTCTTGTAATTATATATTTATATTACATTATGCTTATCTGTGTGGTTGTCATCGAGGCCTGTAAATTCTCTCAGGGCAACGACTGTGTCTGTCTGGCTACATGCTTTGCGCCCAGCTCCTAACATAGAGCCAGGTCCACCACAGGCTTTCAGTAAGTGTTTGCTGAATGACTAAATGATTGAACGATGTGTCATGAATCAAAGATTAGGATTATTCATTCCAGTTCCGTTCTCCAATGGGTGAATGAATAAATTAACAAAAGGGGGATGCAAGGGCCACGACTCCCCCAGACCACTTTCAAATCACCCAGAATCACCCCACCATCACCACCAGCAGAGCTCAGCCCAACCTCTCTGGCCACCCAAGGCTTCAAACCAAATTGCAGGGTGGGGAGGGTGGTTACCGTAGTCCTTGGGGAGGGGGGCAGGTGCCGAGGGGTGCACAACAGGCTTCTGCCGGCGCTCCTGGGTGGGGCTGGGGGCCTCAGGGACCAACTCATCCTCTTCCTCCTCTTCTTCTTCCTCCCCCCGTAGTGGTGGGGCCATCGGAGCGGGATCTGTCTTAGTCATGGTCTTCAGTGGCCCTCCGGGGGGCAGGTGCAGAGTTGGGGGCGGCTTTCAGGCCAATCCTGGAGACAGAGGCCAGTTAGAGAGGGTCCCCGACAGGGTCCAGGGTCTGAGCCCCCAGAGGCTCCAAGGCCCCCCGTGACTCCCACACCCCCAGCTCTGGATTTTGGGCAACCGTAGAAACGACCATCACCCGTCAGAGGACCCTGGTATGCGGGCCCAGCGCCTAGCATTTCCCGCAGGTCCAGCCCCCCATTCTTCTCCTCCCGCGTCAGTCCCCTCAGTCTAGGCCGCCCCCTCCCCGGGTTTGTTTATCTCGGGATGGAGGATGCTTCGCCCCTCCCCTTCTCCGCGGGCCTTCCCTCTACCCATCTTACCTCTGACGAATGGGGCTGGAGACCAAAGCTGAGACTGGGGAGACTGGAGTAATGGGGTGTCAGTGTCGGGGGAACTGATGGGGGAGGAGAGGGAGACAGAAGGGGACGAGGCCCAGACGCCGACAGGGGATGGGGGTGGAGAAGGAGGGGCGCTGGCGGCGCATGCGCAGTGATACCCCCAACCAGGCGCGGGGGCGGAGATACTGGGAGGCTCCTGGCTTTGATGAAAAGGCTTGAGGCAACGTCGTCGTGCAAGGAAGAGACCCGGAGGGTGGAGAAAGAAAGGAGAGATGGCCACGAAAAAGGATGTGAGACATCCAAACAGAAAGAGATGAAGCAGAGACAAGGGCAAGGAGAGGGATGGGAAAGCGAGTACAGTTCTTTTTTGTCCCTACCCCTGGGATAGAGCCTTCCCGCAGGCCCACAAACCAGGCCAGTTAGGGCAGGGGTCTCAGTGTAGTGTGGTTTCCAGTGTTTTCTTCTCTCTGAGATCTCAGACCTGACCCCTTCTCTATGCTCATCGCATATGGGGAAGGGGTGTCTCAGAGGGATGATTTTGTAGACTCCTTCCATCATCGAGGGTCATTAGTCACTGTGGTTATCATCACACAGTGCTCAGAGAGCACTTACCAGGTTCAGAGAGGTTAAGCTACTTGCCCAAGGGCACACAGCAAGCAGATGATGGAGCTAAGACTTGAAACCAGACAGCCTGGCTGGAGAGTCTGGGCTCCTCATCACCGTCCTACATATGGCTGTGGCAGTGTGTAGGGCCAGATCTGCCAATGAACCCCTCCAGCCCTCTCAGAACCTCTATCTCCCCTTAGGGAAAGACCTCCTGGAGCCAGCTCAGGGTCCAAGCCTTCCTGGCTCCATCACCTTGGTTTGGCTGTCACTCCTGCCTGGTGGCCAGAGCTGGCACTGCCCACCACTCCATCCCAAAGAGGACTGGGCTACTGTGCCTCCCACCTTTTATCCTTCTAATGGGCAGGGCTAGTAGTTCCATCTCCAAAGTATTCCCTGAATTTCATCCCTCACCCCCCAACCAGGCCCTCATCTTGTCCTTCATCCTCTCCCACCTGGACTATGTTCTCCCTGCTCCTCCCTTTCCCTACAACCTGCTCCCTATAATGCAGCCACAGGGACCTAACATATCACAGCAGGGCCCTCCTCCACTCAGAGACATCTGCTTGATGCACCTCACTCCAGATAAAAGCTAGTGTTCTCAACCACAGCTCACAAGGCCCTAGGTGGACTTTCCCCTATCATCTCTCCAGCCACTCCTCCTGTCCCTCTCCACCGCACTCACTGCCCACCACAATGGCTTCCTTGCTCCCTCTCAGCCCAGGACCTTTGCACTGGCCGTTCCTTCTGCTTAGAATGCTCCTCCCCCAGATGCTTGGTTTCCTCTCTCCCCTAGTTTAGGATTTTATTTATTGGTGCCTTTTCAGTGAGACCCTCTCCGCTCTAAAATTGCACCCCACACACATATTCCCTTCCCTGCTTCCGTTTTTGCCATAGCAACACTGCCCTCCTCCAGCTGACACCCTAGATGTTGGCCACTTGCAGGGGCTGCGCTGCTCTCTGGAACATTCAGTCCGCGTGCCTTCCAGGCCGGCTCCTTTCTCATCCAGGTCTCTGCTCAAACGTTGTCTCCTTAGAGAGGCCTCTTCTCAACCCATCCGCCACTCCCACCCCATTACATTTTCGTTTAGTCTTTACAGCGTTTATTACCATCTGAAATTATCTTGTTTATTAGTTGACTGGCTTATAGTCTACTCAAGCAGAATAGAAGCACCATGAGGGCAGGACTTTGTCAGCTGTGTTCACTGCTGTGCATCCAGCTCAGCACCAGGCTTCGCAAAGGGTATGAGGGCTCTTCAGAACCAGGTACAATTCTCCCCAAATAAACAACTCTTGTTCTGCCCTGAGACTGTTTTACTGACTGCAAAGGTTCAAACTAGGGATGGCAGGGACCTGGCACCAAGGGGAAGAGTGGCTGATGGGGCTTGGGCCTAGGTCAGCCCCAAGGTTCAAGGGGTCCCTTAGGAGGGGGTACTTGGAGCCAGACCCTTGAGGGAGGTGCAATGGCCTAGGCATGGATGGTGGGCTAGGAACACAGGAACGAGTATGATGAGTCTCTCTTCCTCTGTCTTCTGTCATCTGTCCTGCAACATGATCTGTCCCAGTCCTTATGCACTGGAGGTCTGAGTGTCCAGGAGCTCAGGCTTGGCATCCAGTGTGACAGATACAGGACTTTGGGCAAGGAACACAGCTGTGTCAGGCCCTCCACAGATAATGGGATTCCTCAGGTCCAGGGAACTGGGCATTCCCAGACAAGGAAGTGACAGAGCTGGAGAACACAGGGGAATGAGGGGAGGGAAGGAGAGGGGAAAGGAAGGAGAAGGGGGAAGAAATGGTGAGGACCAGGGAGGGTGACGTGGGAGGGGGTATCAAGGAACACAGAGAGATGTAGGTAGAGATTTGTGGGGAGACAGGGAAACAGATGTGAGGCCAGAGAGACATTCATGGGGGAATAAAGAGGTATGGGGAAACAGAGGGAAATATTGGGGGGGCATCGAGAGACAGATATGGGGATAGGCAAAACACAGGGGAAGACAGAGAGAGACAGAGATGGGGGACACAGAAAGAAAGATACAGATAAAGAAAGACGTGGGGAAATGGAGAAACAGGAGGGCAGAGAGATGGGGCAGCAGAAACATAAAGATGAATTGGAGGGGGCGTGTGAGGAGGAGATTGAGAGACAGGGATTGAATGGGGGCAGGGGAGGCAGAGAGACACTGTCAGCCCAGGGACTGTGGCAGGCTTCCTGAAGAATCCCAGACCTGAATTTGAGCTCTGTCCCTACTCTTTGTATGTCCCTCTCGTGCCCCAGCATGGTTAGGCCACAGTCTCAAACACGAAGGAAGCCTCCAGGGGCAGCCACGCTACAGTTCTAGCTGACTGCTCCTATCTGAGAACACGAACCCAGTGCTGCTATATCTGCTGAGCCTTTAGGAAAGAACAACAATTATTTTAAAGCACCACCGACCAGAAAACATTGTTATATGTTAGCTATGTCCAATCAACTGGCCATCAGGCAGACACCTTAGCCACAGAGCTACTCTGGGGGCTCCTTTCTGAAACCTCTTCCTATCTCTTGCCCAGGCAGGGCTGAGAGCCCGAAAACCTCAAAGTTGGTCATGGGGTTTGAAGCAGGGAAAAGGCCTGGTCAACTTTGACTTCTAAAGACACGATGCCTTCTTCCAACATCCAGTAGTAAACTATAGGAGCAAAGGGGGCCTTTAGATGGGGCTCAGGAGACCAAACTCACGCTCTACAGGGGCCAGTCAGGAGCTCTCTCACAGTTTGAATCGAGGTTATGCAACTTACTGGCTGCTTGACTTTGGGCAAGATTTGTGCCTGATCTTTCATCTGAAAAATGGGGATAGCCGCAGTGTCAAGGTCACAGTGAGTTTTCAATACGTTATTAACTCTGTCTGGCAGAGCATAAAGGCTCCCTTAAATATTATTAACATATTACCTTGCTCTGATCAACAGGTGGTAGGCATTGCAACCGACTTTTTTTTTTTTTTTTTTGAAGAAAAGCCAGAAATGTGGAAACATGAGTGAAACGTTCTGACTTTTAAATGGAAATACGTATGCCATGGGGGCCAGGGGGCCGCACTCACCGGGCAGAGCAGGCCCTGGCGTGCCCAGCTGGCAGGCTCTCCTTGCACAGCTGCCGCGCCAGCTGTTCCAGGGCCCGCAGCTGCACCTGGTGCTGCTCCTGGCGCCGCTGCAGCCTCCACACGCGCCGCTGCAGTGCTCCCAGGACGGCGCCCAGCCCGGCCAGGGGGGGCCGGGCCCGGACTCCAGGCTGTGGCCTGGCAGGAGCAGGCGGAAGGGGCACGGGGGTCAGGAACATGGTGGCCGGGGCCTCGGGGCCTCTGGGTGCCGGCCCTAGTACCGCGAGGTGCACGGGGCCAGGGACTGAGACAGCTGGGCCTGGGGACAGGGGCGTGGTGTCTGGTGGGGAGGGAGACACGACTGGCTTCTCGGTGCTTAGGGAACTCTGCTGCTTCTGGAAGACAAGGAAGCAGGCAAGGCATGAGGTGGGGGCCTCAGGGCCGGACTCCAAGGGGTTACTGCCATCATGTAAAGCCAGACCTCAAGGAGGAACTTCCCTCAGGAAAGAAGGGCGTAGGGTCAGACTGCAGGAGGGATTTCCATCTGGAGAGGAGGGCTGGGGATCAGACTCCATGGATTGTTTCCATGTGGGGAAGACTGGGGGTCAGACTCCAGGGGTGGGGCCTCCCTTTGCTCACCTCAGTAGGCGATGCCGGGGAGAAAATGGAAGGCACGGCATCAGGCCGCAGGTAGCGCACACCCCAGCGCCACTGGAAGCAGGAGGGCGTGAAGTGCTCGCTGCACAGGTGCTGGTGGCAGCTGGGTACCCAGTCCTCGTGGCCCATGTGCCGCAGCCAGGCCTGCAGTCGGGGGCCGTCCTTCAGTGGGAACCTGCCAAGGGCAGAAGGGTTACAGGGTCAGTGAAGTTACGGGGTCAGCAGTATCAGGTCCAGTCATACCCCTCCCTGAGGACACACACACTGCGGGGGGTCCGTGGGCTCCAGACTGCTGTCTCCCTAGGCCAGAAGCTGGCACTGCCTCGCACCCAGGCTCTACCACCAACCTGCATCCCACTCTTCCGCCTTTTAACACCCAGCCTCAGCCCACCTCTCCTACTGTGGGTGCCCCTCCCATCCAGCCTCCAGCCTCTCCTGGCTGGGCTTTTGCAACAACCTCCTTCCTGGTTTCCCTTACCCACAGCCCCTCTGCCTTCCTCCCACAATCTGCTCCTGTACGTGAACCTGAGAGAGCAGGTGATGAACTAGACAAATCTAGGAAGTGGGAGATTCTACATTCATGGAGGTAGGGTGGGGTTATAGGTTAAAAGAGATTTAAGAAACGAGGCTGTGGACCTCATCTGCAACAAATCATTCCATAAAAAGACATTTTAACACAGTTGGGGGAAATTGAACATGAATCGGGTACTAGATAGTTGTAAGAAATTAATTTTGATAGGTATGATAATTGTCTTGGTTTATGCTTTTAAAATAGTCACCTGGGTGGCTAGGTCAGTTAAGCGTCTGACTTCAGCTTAGGACGTGACCTCACAGTCCATAGGTTCAAGCCCCATGTCGGGCTCTGTGCTGACAGCTCAGAGCCTGGATCTGCTTCAGATTCTCTGTCTCCCTCATTCTCTGCCCCTCCTCCACTCATGCTCTGTTTCTCTTAATCTCTTAAAAATGAAGAAATGTTAAAATTTTTTTTAAATAAATAAAATAGTCATCTGTTGGAAAAACATTCTGAAATATTTATGGGTAAAAGAACTAGTATCTGTAATTTACTTTAAAATACTGCATTAGAGGGGTGCCTGGGTAGCTCAACCAATTAAGTGTCCCACTCCTGGTTTTGGCCCAGGTCATGATCTCACAGTTTCGTGGGTTCAAGCCCCACATCAGGCTCTGCACTAGTAATGTGGAGCCTGCCTGGGATCCTCTCTCTCTCCCTCTCTCTCTGACCCTCCCCCACTTGTGCTCTCTCTCAAAATAAATAAACTTTAAAAAAAAATAAATACTGTGTTAAAGGTGTAAGTAGGTGGAGGTAGATGAAAAAGATTTGCAAAATGTTGACAACTGGTGAATCCGAGTGATAGATGCATGAGAATCCATTTATATAACTATTTTTTGTGTATGCTTGAAAATACCTGTTAAAAGGTGTTTTTTTAATATTTATTTTTGAGAGAGAGAGTGAAAGAGAGAGGGGATCAGAGGATCAGAAGTGGGTTCTGCACTGACAGCAGAGAGCCTGATGTAGGGCTTGAACTCACAAACCATAAGAGCATGACCTGAGCTGAAGTCGGGATGCTTAACTGACTGAGCCACCCAGGCACCCCTGTTAAAAGGTTTTTAAACAACTCAACAACAAAAATGACCCCATTAAAAACAGACAAAGGACTTGGGACACCTGGGTGGCTCAGCTGATTAAGTGTCTGACTCTGGATTTTGGGTCATGTCATGATCTCACAGTTTGTGGGACAAAGACCCAAGTCAGGCTCTGTGCTGACAACATGGAGCCTGCTTGGGATTCTCCTTCTCTCTCTCTGCCCCTCCCCTGCTCTCTCTCTCAAAATAAATAAACAAAATTTTAAAATAAATAATAAAAAGAAAAAAAAGAAAATGTGGCATATGCATACAACAGAATATTATTTAGTCTTAAAAAGGAAATTCTGACACATGCTATAACATTGCTGAACCTTGAGGACATTATGGTAAGTGAAATAAGCTAGACAAACACAAACACACCACTTATATGAGGTATCTAGGGTACTCAAATTCATAAAAAAGAAATGGAATGACGGTTGGGCTGGGGGGAGTAGAGAATTGGGATCTGTTGCTCAATGGGTATAGAGTTTCAGTTTTGCAAAATGAAAAAGTACTGAAGATTGGTTGCACAATAATGTGAATATTCTTGATATTAATGAGCTATACACTCAAAGTTGGTTAAGATATGGGGCGCGTGGGTAGCTCAGTTGGTTAAGCATCTGACTTCAGCTCAGGTCACGATCTCAGGGTTCATGAGCTTGAGCCCTGCATCGGGCTGTGCTGACAGCTCAGAGCCTGGAGCCTGCTTCAGATCTGTCTCTCCCTCTCTCTCTGCCTCTCTCTCTGTCTCTTTCTCTCTCAAAAATAAACATTAAAAGTTTTTTTTAAATGGTTAAGATGGTAGGTTTTATATTACATGTATTTTACCACAATTAAAAGTAAAAATTTAAGTTTAAGAAAATGAACTAAATAAAAGCTTTCCCTGTGGGAGTGGGTGGGGATTATCTGAGACTCCAGACTGTCCACAATGAAAACCTAATTTTCCAGCTTCACTTGCAGCCAGGGGCAGCCACATAATTGAGTTCTGGACAATTTGTCCTGTGGCAGCTGTCAGAACTGGGAGACATTAAAGGTTTATTTTAAGCAGCTAAATTTTGAGATAGTTTGTTATGTAGCATTAGATAACTAATGTGGTCATTCATCCACACTCTACCCGCACAGTATCTTCCATATCTGCCACATGATTTACTTGATATGTTTCTTAAAATGGGCCAACTTTAAGTATTAAACAAAGATACCTCAAAGAGAAATTTTACACCCCAATTTAAGATGGAAAACCAGTATTGGGGCACCTGGGAGACTCAGTTGATTGACCTCTCAGGTCATGGTCCCAGAGTCGTGGAATGGAGCCCTGTGTCGGGCTCTGTACTGAGAGTAGAGCCTGCTTAAGATTCTCTCTCTCTCTCTCTCTCTCTCTCTCTCTCTCTCTCTCTCTCCCTCCCCCTCTGTCCCTCTCCCTGGCTCTCTCTCTCAAATTAAAAAAAAAAAATCATACAGTTCTGTGAAGAAGACGAAGACGAAGACGAAGATGAAGACGAAGAAGAAGAGTAGTAGTAGTAAAGAAAACAGTATCAATTCTATGAATGGGAGTTGGCCAGAAAAACAGCTGGATACCTTCATCTGCCGAGGGCTCAGAGGCCTGCTCTCTCTTTGTTTAAAGGGCAGAGTAAGGGGTGTTAGTGCGGGACAGCACCAACTCTAGGAGACGAGTGGGCACATGCACACAAAGCAAGGCAATGGAGCCCTAAAACAGAAAGCGGAGGCACTCTATGAACTGACATGCTATTGTCAGGCATAGACGTTATGTAAAAAAAAGCAAAGTTCCAAACAGAGCAGATCAGCTTTTAGTAATTGTGGCAGGCTCAGTAAAGGCCCCCAGAAGATATCCATGTTCTAATCCCTGTTCTAATCCCTGGAGCCTGGGAATACTACTTTGCATGACAAAAGCTGTGATTAAGTTAAGGGTCCTGAGGTGGGAAGTCATCCTAGATCATTCATTTGAGCCCTAAATGCAATTACAAGCATCCTTGTAAGAGGGAGGCTGAGAAGATATTACCACGGATGAAAGCGGAGAAGGCGATGTGAGCACGAAGGCAGAGATTGGAATGATGTGTCCACCAGAAACTAGAAGAGGCAAGCAATGGATTCTCTCCTACAGCCTCACAGGGAGCGCAACCCTGCCAACGTCCTGATTCCGGCCCAGTAAGACCGACTTGCACTTCTGGTCTCCGGAACTGTGAGAGAATAATTTCTGCTGTATTAAGCCATCAAGTTTCCTTCCGTATCCACAGGAAATTAATACAGTAATGGAGGGTGAAATTAGAACATGTATTCAGATTTGCTTGTATTTGCATAAAGAAACCAGGAAGGCAGGGCGCCTGGGTGGCTCAGTCAGTTAGGCATTCCAACTCTTGATTTGGGCTCAGGTCATATTTTCAGGGTTCGTGGGATTGAGCCCCGCATTGGGCTCTACACTGATAATGTGAAGCCTGCTTGGGATTCTCTCTCTCTCTCTCTCTCTCTCTCTCTGCCCCTCCCCCACTCATGCACGAATGCTCTCTCTCAAAATAAAGAAATAAACATTTTTTTTTAAATTAAGAAAAAAAAAAAGAAACTGGGAAGGACACATAAGAAAGGAGGTAGGATGGACAGAGATGGGGGCGCGAGCAAGACTTCTCAGCCAAAAGGCAGACAGACAGGGCAGGTGAGGGCGGGGTGGGAGGCACAGCTAAGGAGAGAGGACAGAGGGGCTGACTCAGAAGGGCTGTGGCACCCAAAGAGCAGAACCCCAGGGCACACAGCCAGGAACTCTGGCTGCCGCAGTTCCTTTCACCTATTTGGGATCCAAATCCTCTCATCAACCCCATTCTGCCCGGATACACACAAGAAACCTCTTACAGCAGCATTCCCCGCCCCCTCCTTGGCAGAGACTGACAAGTGTCTACTCCGCTTGCCCTTTTCTTCTTCCTTACTAGCAAAACTCCAACTTTAGCTGAGGTCATAAGGTGCTGTGTTAAAAGACAATGTTTTCCCAGGTTCCTCTGTGTAGGTAGGGCCATGTAACTAAGTTCTGGCCAACGGATACGTATGTGTCATGTGAGAAAATCTGGGATGGTACCTGAAAGGCGAGGGCGTTCTCACATGGATCAGAGAAGCTCAAGGGGCAAGGGAGGAAAGTATAAAACCTCTTCCTAACTTGGTCTTTTCCTTATTTTCTTTTTTTTTTTTAATGTTTTTATTTATTTCTAGGAGAGAGAGAGAGAGAGAGACAGTGTGAGCAGGGGAGGGTCAGAGAGAGAGGGAGTCACAGACTGAAACAGGCTCCAGGCTCTGAGCTGGCAGTCAGCACAGAGCCTGACGCGGGGCTCAAACCCACGAACCGCAAGATCATGACCTATGCGAAAGTCGGACGCTTAACCGACTAAGCCACCCTGGCGCCCCGGTCTTTTCCTTATTTTCTTATTCTCCTTTGTTAATGGGTTCTGTAAAAACCTACCTTAAGTGGACAGTGTCCTCCTTTTCTATAGAATAGTTTAGTCTTTTAAAATTTTTTTTTAATGTTTTATTTTTGAGACAGAGACAGAGTATGAGAAGGGGAGGGGTAGAGAGATAGGGAGATACAGAATCCGAAGCAGTCTCCAGGCTCTGAACTAGCTGTCAGCACAGAGCCTGACGCGGGGCTCAAACCCATGAACTTGAGATCATGACCTGAGCTGACGTCGGAGTCTTAACTGACTAAACCACCCAGGCACCCCTAGAATAGTTTAGTCTTATTGGTTATCTTTCTAGATCATGGAGTGGCATTCACTGTTAGAGATTCTTTAACAAAAACAAACAAACAAAAAGCAGCTCTTTTCTCCCTCACTAACAATCAATTTAAAATGTCTTCAGGGTGGTTAAATGCTCAGCTATTTCCTAGTCTCCCTTGTAGTTGGGGGGTGACCAATGGTGAAGAACTCGCAGTTAGGTGGGGTTTCTGGGAAGGCTTTCTAAAAGGGGCTAATTCCATTTACAGTTGGAGCCCCTTTGGGTCTCCTTCCCTTTTCTTCCCGGGAATGGTACGGCATGATGGCTGAGGCACTTGGCAGCCATCTTGGATGGAAGCTGCATGCTAAGGATGACAGAACGGAAAGAGAGGAACCTCAACCCTAATGACTGTGGACCTGCCACACCCAGTGCTGGTCTGTCAACCTCTGTATTTGGTTTTTAGGAGAGAAAAACAAACCCTTAGTAGATTATATTATTGTTCAAAATATTTGCTGCCCTTCCTCACATGAAGATTATGTATCTCTACTCCAATGACTTGAGGGTTGCCAGAGATTTGCTTTGGCCAAAGGACTGAAAGTGACATGGGCCACTTCTTTTTTTTAATGTTTATTTATTTTGAGAGAGAGAGAGACAGAGGGAGGGAGAGAGAGGGAGAGCGAGCAGGGAAGGGGCAGGGAGAGGATGAGAGAGAACCCAAAGCAGGCTCCATGCTATCAGCTCAGAGCCTGATGTGGGGCTCAATCTCAAGAACTATGAGATCATGACCTGAGCTGAAATCAAGTTAGACACTTAACCAACTGAGTCATCCAGGTGCCCTTGACCACTTCTAAACATAAAATTTGTCAGGAGCCAATGAGTGATTCTCCCTATTTTCTCTTTTTCCCCTCCTACAAGACTAACAATATTCCATGTAGGGGAGGCTCCTTCAGCCTGAGTCCGCAGTTAAGATACTAGGGTAAGTCCACAAATGGTCTGCAAAGGATGTAGTGTGAGTGAGAAATAAACCTTTACTGTAGTAAGCCACTGAAATTTTTTAAATTTGTTTTTTAATTTTCAAAAATTTTATTTTTTATGTTTTATTCATTTCTAACAGAGAGACAGACAGCGTGAGCAGGGGAGGATCAGAGAGAGGGAGACACAGAATCCAAAACAGCCTCTAGGCTCTGAGCTGGCTGTCAGCCCAGAACCCAACGCGGGGCTCAAACCCACGAACCATGAGATCATGACCTGAGCCAAAGTCGGACGCTTAACCGACTGAGCCACCCAGGCACCCCATAAGCCACTGAGATTTTGCCTCTGTTACTGCTGCATAATTTAACCACACTGTACCTTAAAACCTCCATAATTTTTTAAGCCAGTAATATTTCGTGACTTTCTTACTGCCAACCAAATGCAATTCCTAACTGATAGGTCCCCCATGAGAGATGACTCTCATATGTTCCTGAAAGGGCCTAGACAGAACTACAGAATGTTTCCTTTGGCTGCCTAGCTCTGTTATTCCCTGGCAGCGACTTCCCTCTCTGTTTCACCTTGTTCCTTCCTACCACCTATGCCTTGTCCGCATCTCCTTTGGAACAGCCCCTCACCAAATTGTTAACTATGTGGCTTCTGCAAGACGAACGCAGGGGTGAGCCCTGAGGTGGAAATGAGTTAGCCTGTGTGAGGGACAGCCTGGTTGCCATTGGTGGGATTTATTTTAATTTTTAAAATTATTTATTTATTTTGAGAGGGTGCGGGTGCACGTCCCTGTGCACAAGCAGGGGAGGGGCAGAAAGAATCCCAAGCAGGCTCCCGCCGTCAGTGTAGAACCCAACAGAAGGCTCCATCCCACGAACCATGAGATCATGACCTGAGCCGAAATCAAGAGTCAGACGTTTAACTGACTGAGCCACCCGGGTGGCCCTGGTGGAATTTAAACAACACACACATGAACCGATCTTTATAATGTCATCTGGTTACTCTGTACAGTTGTCGTTATTCTTCTCATTATTATATGCGGAGCGCTTGAACAGTGCCTGGCATATCGTAAGTGCTCTCCAAGTAAGTTGTTCTTGTAAGGGGCACAAGAGTGGAGGCAGGGAAGCCAGGAAGCAGCTCTCACAATGTCTCAGCAACAGATGATGACAACCTGAATAGCAGAGGTAATGAGAAATGGTCAGGCTGGAAATGTAGTAGGGTTTTTTATTTTTTTTTTTTTTAATTTCCTAATAATTTAGTTAGGAGTTTCCTGTTCGCATTTATAACTGTATTGCCAAAGTGTTAGGGTGTGGTAATTGGGTGGGGATATGTTTGGGAGGTAAAGTCAAAGGGCCGGTTAACGGACCCGACTGGGGGCAGTGGCGCTGAAGAAAGCATCAGGAGTGACCCCCAGGTTGTGTGTTCGGTTCTTCAATGTTTGACCCTTCACCTATCCAATAAGCTCTCAGGACAGGAACAAGATCTGTCAAGGTCCTTTGTGTCCAGCAGGGGGTTCCTTTCTGCAGGAGACACTCAAGAGTTGCTGAATTCATAAACAATGCCAGAGCGACATATTTTAAAAAACAAATCTGGTCACACTAATTTAGGTTTGGAAGACTCCTCTGCATTACTCTTACTCTGCACCAGGGCCCCTCAAGGGACATGGGCTACTGGGTTTCCTTGGGGAGACCATCTGAAATGCATTCAACAAATTCATCCAACAAATATTTACTGAGCGCCCACTATGTGCCAGGCACTGATCTAGGACTGGGGAAATAACAGACAGCAAGACAGAGAAAAATCTCTGCCTTCACAGAGTAATATTCTGGTAGGGAAGACAATAAAGGAATACATCAAATATGTGACATGCGAGATAGTGGTAAGCATTAAAGGGAAAAATAAAACAGGAGATGGATAGGTAGAACACATATGTATCTGGCAGAGGGTTATCATTTTAATAAAGTGGTGGTCATAAAGGTAAGGCCTTTCCATGCAGACGGAAAAGCACAAAGTCCCTGGGGCAACAATGTGCCTGGCATGTTAGAGGAACTTCAAGTAGCCAGTGACACTGGAGCACAGTGGTAAGGGGCAGGAGGAAGGAGATGAGTCATATAGAGGTTGCAGATCGAGCTCCTGTAGGGCTTTGTAGGCCTTTCTGTCTGCTCCAGCCTCACCTTGTCTTTTATAGAGTGACGTGGGAGCCATGGGAGGGATCTGAACAGAAGAGGACTCTGATCTAATTCAGGTGTCCATAAATTCCCTGTGACTGTGTGGGGATCAGAATGTGGGAGTGGGTTGATCAATGAAGAAGCACCTAAACTGGTGCAGTCAGGAGATGGCAATGGCCAGAACCAGAATGGAGGCAGAGAAGGAGTTTAGAAGTGGTTAATTCTGGATAGATTTTAAAGGGAGAGCCCACAGGATCTGCTGATGGACTGGATGAGGAATGTGTCCTGGCTGATTCAGACTAAAGCCACCAGAAACAAACCTGTAGTCCAAGAAAGTCAGGTTTATGTACCATAGCAATGAGGGAAACTGCACACCAGAAGTATTATAAGGAATCTCACCAAACAAGGGAAAAGACAGGGTTATTATTTGGATTTGGGGGAAGCGGTGAAATATAAATGAAATTGTTTGGATAGGCTTAAACCAAAGCAGAATTGTGTGTGAAGGGATAGATACCAGGTCTGGATTGCAAAATGAGTCCAGAGTCCTGTCTCCTTGTAAGCAAAAAACTTTAGGTCGATGAATAAAACTATGTCCAGAAATGCCTTACTTGAAGCTCTGCCCCTGGACTGTAAACTGAGGTTGCTTCTCATTGTCAAAATGACTTAACTCCCCTACGCGTTCAGTGAGATGTTTCATTTTTACTGATACAATTTCAAATAGCAAAGTTTACCATAAACCATGATTTTACAATTTTTTTAAAAAGCAGACTCCATGCCCAACATGGAGCTTGCGCTCACTACCCTGAGATCAAGCGCCTCTATCTACTGAGCCAGCCAGGCGCCCCCATGGTCTAGGATTTTAGAGAACAAAGTTTCCCAGTAAAAACAAAACTCAAAGAAGGGGAATTTTTTCACTTTATATCTGCAGTATGTCCCTGTGTGTGTGTGTGTGTGTGTGTGGAATATATACATATATATATTTTTTTCCTATTAACTCTTCAGCCGGCCTTTCCCGTATCTTTTATTCTAGCCTGGGAATAATAAATAGGAAGACAGATTTTTAAAGATTATTTTTGTTTTTTTACAGTTCAAGCTAATTTTTACTTTAAGTGTGAGGAAAGAAAAGAGGTGGAGATAACTCTAAGGGTTCCAGCCTGAACAACAGGAAAGATGAAGTAAGTTATCAACTGCGACAGGAAACGCTGTGGAAGGTTTGGGAAGGAGACAAGATCAGGAGCTCAGGTCCAGATGTTCTACGTCTGAGATACCTCAACATCGTGGAGATGACGAGAGGGCAATTGTAGGGCCCTCCCTACACAGTCCCACTTCTTCCGGTCGCCCCTTTCACTACCTGGAGTTAAACGGCTACCCCTGCGTTTAAACACATCTTCACCTTTGCACGAGCTGTGTTTCCTGCTGAAGATACCGTCTCTTCACTTTGCTAACCCTGCTTCTAAATACCTGCCGGCTGCACCCCGTGCCCGGCAGAGACGCAGTTATCCTCGGGCCCCGCCCCCACTGCCCCGCCCCCGTAAGCCCCGCCCCGCACTTGCGCTCACTTGTAGAAGCTCACAGGGCGGTTGTCAGCGCCCAGTCGGCCCGCAGTGTTGGAGCAGTTCGGAGCACGGCAATACTTGGGCATGGCTGTTCAAGCCCGTTGAGTCCTGCCCAGTCTGCAGCCTCACTTTGCTCCTCTCTGGGTTCCAGGGAACACGGCCCCACCCCTCTCTGCCTGCCTCACGTGACGGCCCTTGAATCCTCGTCACGTGCAGGGAAGGGGAGTGGGCGCCTGCGCACTACGCGCCCCGTCGCGTTACCACAACTACGCCCTAGTCACGTGGCAAATGGGGACACGCGAGTGCGGCGGGGCAAAGCCAGTTCTTACCCACCCTGACCTTGTCACGTGCTGGGGGAGTGATGACGTCACGGCTTTTCTGAGTCTGCGCCAAGAGGTCAGGCCCTTTCCGCTCCACCCTACTCTTACATCCGGGCGACTATCCACTGCGTCGGGGGAACTGGAGGCTTTGGCCTTAGCTACGTAAAAATTAAAACCTAAACGCTTGTTAATGATGAAAACACAGACCGAATAAAAAACGCCATTTTGTTTGATCAGGCATCAAGTCAACTAGCTATAGCTGCACCCTGCCAGAAACTTCGCTCCGCCTCTTAGCCCTCATTGGTCAAAACGGCCGCCCGGCAGCCCTGACATTGGCCAGACTCGGGGCCTCCAGCGTCCAATGGGCGGCGGCGCCGGCTTTCCCGCGGGCCGTTTGCTCTTCGAGCGGGTCCTGGAGGCGTCGGCGGCAGTTGGGGAGTGCAACGGTTGCCCGGATCCGGCGCGACGATGGCGGCCTTGGGGCTCGGAGGCTACGCGCGGAACGATGCAGTCGAGAAGCTGCCGTCCGTCACGGTGGGAGTTCCGGCGCGGAGGAGCCAGTGCTCTCCGCCTCCAGCTCCGCCACTGTGTCTCCGGCGGCGGACACGACTCTCGGCGGCGCCGGAGGACTCGGTGCAGAACCGGGTGAGGAGCTGTTTGCCCTGCCCACCCCAGTTCCAGGCTCCCTCCCGGGATCCCCCTGGTCCCGCCCTTAGATCGTTAGCCCCGCCCATCAACCCTCGGCTAGTCTACTCAGGCTCCTCTTCGTCTCCTACGTCCCGCCCTGTTAGCCAAGACTCCTCCCACTTTCCCGTCTTCTCTCTCAGGTACTATCCAGCAATTCTAGCTCACCTCTCAACCCCCGTCCCCGTAGCCCTTGGAGCATTTTCGGGGTTTCTCCCTGGACCATTACCTCGGAGTGAATCTTAGTTCTGATAATCACCTTCTAGTCCCGCCTTCCTGCGTATCTCTTCCGTCACCTTTAGATGTTTCTCTGGGCCCTTCCATTTTTGTTGACCTCACTCCACGCTGGATCATTAGGATCCCTAGCAGTGTTCAGTATGGAGTCCTACCTCTCGAAACTGCCCCTCAGCTCTACTCTGCCTTCCCTCCCCACCTGCTTTTTCTTTCCTTCTCCCTTACCAACGTAGGATTCTTATTACATATTGCCACGCTAAATTATGGACAACATGTGAATAATTGTAAAATCTCACTAACGCTTCCTGCGGGGAGGGGGTACGGAACAGTTCCCTAAGCCTTTAGACACAGAAACAAAGATTTTGGGGTAGATAGAAAGAATTCCATTAGCACAATAGCAATTAAAAAAAAAAGTTCTCCAACTCTGAGCTACGAAGTCTGTTTTTATAAAACAGAAGTGTTAATAATCATAGCATGGAGCAGAAATAAAACGGTGACTGTGACCTGCTTGACAGAGTCCAGATAGAGAGTGAAAACATGGTAGCTGTTGGTGGATCTTGTTCTTGCAACATGACTTCTTGCTGCACTCTGATTATATCACCCATTCCTGGCTGCAATTCCTGGTGGCCCCTGCACATCTCTCTGGCTATTCCTCCATGGTCCTCTCTCTTAAATGTTCAGTCACACAAGCCTGCTTTCTGTTTTCCTGAGGCTCCAAGCTCTTTACCACCTCCTGAGTGTTTGCTGAGTCCTCTTGGCTTTTTGCCGCAGTTCTTTTGACTGGCTCCTCATCCTTCAAGTCTCAGCCTGCATATCTCTACCCTGAGAGGCCTTCCCCCAGCCTAAAACAGACACCTACTTTAATCTCTCACCTAGCACCCTGAACTTCACAGCACTTACCTTCTAGGTTACCTGAAAGTACCTTGTAAGCGCTAAATTATGTATAAAATAGAGGAATAACAATAGCAATTTCAGAGAGGCAGTAAGCAATGTGGTTAAGAGTGCAACCTCTGGACCCAGACTACCGGGGCTTAAACCTTAATTCTGTTGTTGTTGTTGTTGTTATTCTTCTTCTTCTTCAAGTAGGTTCCATCCCCAGCATGGAGCCCAATGCAGGGGTTGAATTCATGACCCTGAGATCAGGACCTGAGCTGAGATCAAGAGTTGAACTTCTGGGGCGCCTGAGTGGCCAAGTTGGTTAGGCATCTGACTTCGGCTCAGGTCATGATCTCATGGTTAATGAGTTCAAGCCCCACGTTGGGCTCTGTTCTGACAGCTCGAAGCTTGGAGCCTTTTTCTGATGTGTCTCCCTCTCTCTCGCTGCCCCTCCCTGTTTGCACTCTATCACTTTCTCTCTCTCAAAAATAAATAAACATTAAAAATTAAAAAAAAAACAACGAAATAAGTCGGGCAGAAAAGGACAAATATCATATGTTTGCACGTGTAGGAGGATTGGGAGGAACTTAACAGAGGACCATGGGGGAGAAGAAGGGGAGAAATGGTGGGGGAAAGGGAGAGAGGTAAACCACGAGAGACTCTTGAATGCTGNGGCAGTGGGACCAGCGCTGTGGCTGTGCACCCCCAGAGACACTAGGCTGTCCTGATTAAAGCTCGGCGGGGGGGGGGGGGGGGGGAGGGGGGAGATGGGCGTGGAGGAGGGCACTTGTGGGGATGAGCACTGGGTGTTATATGGAAACCAACTTGACAGTAAACTCTGTAAAAAAAAAAAAAAAAAAAGAGTTGAACTCTTTAACTGATTGAGCCACCCAGGCACCCCAATTCTGTCCTTCTTGTTATGGACTTTTATGTGCTTCAATGTCCTTATGTAAAATGAAGATAATAACATAATATTCCTTTGTAAGGTATTTGTGAGGATTAAGTGAGCTCACGTATCTTAAGCATTAGAACAATACCTGGCACATTGCAAATTCTCTATTAGTGTAGCTATTACTGTTTTGATTGTGTATTTTGGGTAATTGATGTCATTTATTTTTCTTGTTTGGTGGCAAAGTGTCCATCTGGCTTATAAAAGATACACTCTAAAAATGACATTATTATATTATATTATATTATATTATATTATATTATATTATATTATATTATATTAGTGCCCAGTAATGCTGATTGACAGATATAAAACTGATGTGAGTGCCATTGCCTAATTGCTTGGGTTAGAGTCCTGGTGTTTCTCCTTCCTGGATGGGTTACCTCTCTGGGACTCTTTATACCCTCATCTGTAAGATAGAGATGATGATGACGATAATGATCATATCACAGGGTTATTGTGAGCATTAGATGAGTCAGCACAGTCACAGGTATTTAAACAGTGCCTACCTCCTGGTAGATGCTCAGTAAGCAGTAGCTATCATTATCCTATGTTTGCCTCTCATTTCTGATGCCAGTGACTTGCTTGAGAATGTTTTACTTTTAAATAATTAGAAACTAGTGTATTCCAGGGGCAGCTGGTGGCTCAGTTCATTGAACATCCGACTTTGGCTCACATCATGATCTCATGGTTCATGGGTTCGAGCCCCGCGTTGGGCTCTATGCTGACAGCTCAGAGCCTGGAGCCTGCTTCAAATTGTGTCTCCCTCTCTGCCCTTCACCATCTCATGCTCTGTCTGTCTCTGTCTCTCCGAAAATGAATAAACATTTAAAAAGAAAGAAAAACTCGTCTATTCCAAATATGAAAGTATCACAAATCTATTAGTCCATATCGTAAATTGTTTTTTTTTTAAATTTTTTTATGTTTTTATTTATTACTGAGAGACAGAGAGAGACAGAACATGAGCATGGGAGGAGCAGAGAGAGGGGGAGACACAGAATCTGAAGGAGGCTCCAGGCTCTGAGCTGTCAACACAGAGAACAACATGGGCCTTGAACTCACAAATCGCAAGATCATGACCTGAGCTGAAGACGGATGCTTAACCGACTGAGCCACCCAGGCGCCCTGATACTCTTAATTGTTTTAATCAACCATGATAGAGACTTGCTCATTTAAATTACTTTCCTTAGAGAATTTAAAAATTTTAAATGTGATTGTTCACTTGTTTCTTTACTTGTTGAACTCTAGACTGTAAATTTGCTGAGGGAATAGATGGTGTCCACTCTTGCTCACTGCTGTGTCTCCCTTGCAGAGCCCAAGGTACAGACTGGCTTTGGAGCCAGAGACTAGCGGGGTTTGTATGCCAACTTTGCCACTCCACAGGTGTGGGATCTTGGGCCTCAACATCCCCATCTGTAAAATGGGTGTTATAACAATGTCTTCTTCCTTGGGTTGTTGTGAAGTTTCAAATCTTTTATCCATATAAAATATTTAGAAACTTATTCAGAGGTCACCTTCTCAATGAGGCCTTCTCTCATTTCACAATACCCCCAATCTCCTTCCCTGCTTTATTTTTCTCTTCTGCTCCTAACAGCACCTGGCATCTGTTTTACCTATTTGTTCTGTATATTTTTTATGTCCTCTATCCCATCATGGTTAGGATGCACGCTCCAGGAGGGCAGGGGTTTTTGTCTGTCTTCCTCATCATTCTGTGTCCTTGAAAGGAATGTTGAGAAGAACAAATGTTAGCTGTTGGCCATAGTTGGCCATAACTGAACTGTTAGTGTTAGATGTAACAGAGACTGAATGGGTGGCTGAGGCAGTGGTGCCACAAAGGGCCTACTGGGAAAGGCCTCTGACTTGGTCCTTTCCCCCACAGGTGTCACTCGAGAAGGTACTTGGCATCACAGCCCAGAACAGCAGCGGCCTGACCTGTGACCCCAGCACAGGCCACGTGGCCTACCTGGCAGGGTGAGTGAGTGGGCGGGTTTTGGCTTTTCCATTTGTAGAATGCAGGTAAGCTGCCTACCCCTGAGGGCTGTGGAGAGAGAGGCCCATCTGAGTCTAGAACAGCACCCGCGTGTGATGAGGACTATGAAAGCCTTATTGTGACTGCAGGTGGGAGGTGGCGGCAATTCTGGGAAATACCCAAGACCCAAGCTGTGGTGTCAGACAGCATGGATTTGTGTCCCAGTGCCGCCGTGTGCTCTTCTGTGAACCCCTGCTGCTTCGCCCATAAAACACAACTAGGGATAGCCTCCTCTTGGGTAGTTTGAGAGGACTGAAAGATCTCCTCCTACTGTTTATCCCATAAATACGGATCTAGCCTGGCAGTGTTTGAGGCACCGAAGAGACCCCTCCACACCTGGAGGGCAGGGGCGGATCTGTAGTCCTTCCTAATGAACAGTATCTGTCATTGAGTCTTTACGATGCAGTCCAGGATAGAGGACAAGGGTGGGCTCTTGAATCTGATATGGAATCATATCCCCACTCTGTCCCTGACGTGCTGGGTGGCCCTGGGCAAAGGATTGTCCCTCTCTGGGCTTCAAGTTAAGGGGACTAAGATTTCTGACTTTACCTGGCAGTTGTGAGGAAGTAAAGAGATTGCGCACATAAAGTCTTTATTAGACCAGTGCCTGACAGAGGAAGTATTGGTTTCTATTTAAGAATATGTTATCTAATGACTTGAAGTGCCCTAAAATTCTCAGCATAGACACCTGGAGGAGGAGGAGGGAATCTTCTGTTCAGAGCCTCATTTATGTGTGGGCTCTTCTGTTGGGAATGGAATCATCCCTGGACCCCAATATTCCTCTCAGTTTGGGCACATTTTCCTCTTTCTCTCCAGCTGTGTGGTGGTGATTTTGAACCCCAAGGAGAACAAGCAGCAGCACATTTTTAACACTGCCAGGTAGGCTGGGGCCTGGGCATTGGGTAGGGGTGGGACCAGGGTCCTGGCACACCCCCCCTTCCCCACGTTGCTTGGAAGCTCGTAGGTGGGTGGGTGACTAACTCATTCACTCACCCGTCGGTTCAGCGACATTGCTGCTTTGTGCTAGGTAGTGTTCTGTGTGCTGGGGACAGTGAACAAGAGACGTGAGAATCTCTGCTCTTGTAGAGCCGACAGCCCAGCGGGAAGGACAGACTAAACCAGTTGGCAAATTACTAGCTGACTCTGACCATCGCTATGGAGGAAATAACGAGGATGTGGGACAGCAGGTTTGCTGACAGAGCGGAGGAAAACCATATCAGAGGGCTCGGGGAGGGCCTCTTGGAGGCTGAGACCTGAGAAAAGTAAGGGAGTGACCCCTGTGAAAGTATCGGGGGAGTGTTCCAGGTAGAGGGAAGAGCAAGGGCAAAAGACCCTGCAGTGGATAAGAATCTTGGTTTTTTGAGGAGCAGCCGGGGATTCTTTTCCCTGGAACTGGAGGAGTGGGTGAAGGGGAAATGAGGCTGAAACAGATGCCACTTCTGGGTCTTAGTAATTTTTTAACTTTTTATATTGAAATAATTAGATTTTAAAGAACAGTACAAAGAATGCCTATATAGCCCTTACTCATTTTCCCCAGATGTTCACCTCTTACTATGTTTGCTGTATCATTCTCAGTCTATATACGTAGTAATTTGTTTTCTGAACCATTTGAGAGTAAGTCAGGGACATGATACCCCTGTGTCTCTAAATATTTCAGTGTGGATTTCCTGGGGGTGGAGTGGGCATTATCCTTCAAAACCACAATACATTCAACAAAGTCAGGTAATTAAAACTGGTGCGTCACTACCACCTAAGCCTCTTTCAAGTTTTACCATTTATCCCAAGAATGTTCTTTACGGCAAAAGAATTCTGTCCAGAATCACACATTGCATTCAGTTGTCGCTTTGGTCTTCTTCAGTCTGAAGCAGTTCCTTCATCTTTTCTTGACTTTCATGACCTTGACACTTGAGGATGACTGGCCAGGTATTTTGTAGAATGCTCCACCCTTTGGGTTTGTCTGATGTTTCCTCATAGATAGACTGGGGTTCTGCGTCTTTGGCAGGAACACCTTAGAAGGAATGCTGCATCCTCCTCAATACATTCTATCAGGTGGTGTATGATCTTGACCTGTCTTACGACCAGTGGTGTTCACTTGGGCCCTTGGTTAAGGTGGTGTCTACCAGGCTTTCCCACGATGAGGCTTCTCTTTTCCCCTGGTGACTAGTGAGTGTGCTGTGGGGAGCTTCTCTGAGACCGCACGTATAACCCTACTCCTCCCCAGACTTTGACTCACGCATCTTAGCCTGGCTTTGACATTTTTCAAAGCCTCTGCAGGGAATCCTGATGGCCAGGGCTCTCCCTGTCAGGTAACTTGGGCAGCACTTCCCCTGTGATGAGGTCTTCTCATCTCAGAACTGGCTGAGAGTCCTGACTTCACGGAGCATGCTTGAGGAATTAGTGCAGCGACGCCCACAGAGCATTTTGTGGAAGGCCGGGTGCAGGGTCAGGGCACGGGACATGCTACGAGTGTTACCTGACTGGCTAGCTGGTTTGGCGACTGATTCCTGCTCAGGTCATGATCCCAGGGTTGTGGAGCCCAGTCCCATGTTGGGCTTCAAGCTGGGCATGGAGCCTGCTTGAGATTCTTTCTCTCTGCCCTCTCTTGTGCACACACTCTCTCGCTCTCACTCTCTCAAATAAAAAGAGAGTGAGAGGGGAGAGGAAAAAATAATATAGTCCAGAACCGTGAAACTTGCTGCCAAAAAAACATGCAAACTCGTCTGGTCATTCAGTCCTTGTGCAGACTAGAGAGAAACATGGGTTTTCCAGAACGCTTTGAGTGTTTAGCAGTGGAGCACATGCTGTAGGCTGTCTCATGTCTGCCAGCACCACCCCCACGGTTAGGGCAGGTCAGTACCATTTCCTGCACCTGAATTTCTTGGGGTTACAGGGTGGGTGGGATCTTAGGGAGCCCACCCCTGCTGAGTGAGAGGAAAGGAAGTACAGTGACCTGTACAGTGACCACCCTATCTTTGTTTCAGGCCTTTGCTATTACCCCCAGTTCCCTGTGCCACTGACCCCCTTTCTGGCAGCGGGAAATGCGAGGAATGCACTGTGTGCTGGGCACACGGGCAACACTGGCTCTGTGGGAGCTGCTGGGACTCACCTCTCCTGGCCTCTTCCAAGGCTTGGGAGCAAGGAGTGGGCGGATTTCTGTGAGCACAGCCAGGCTGGGGTCTGGCTGCCTACCCTCCTTGGAACCAATGACCAGCATCTTTCCTTTCCCTCAGGAAGTCGCTGAGTGCTCTGGCCTTCTCCCCTGATGGGAAGTACATAGTGACGGGGGAGGTGAGTTGTGTTTGTGATTGAGTGGGTAGGGAGGGATCCTGGGGCCAGTCCCTCTACCCCCAAGTAAGCCTGGAGAGCCCATAGAAGAGCTTCTTCTTGGGCCGGGGAGCGCCATGGCAGATGGGGGAGGTGGCTTTTGGGCACATCCTAGGGCAATGCCAATTTCAGCCCTAATAGCCCTGCCAGCCCCTCCTGGTGCAGATCCCAGCAGCAGTAATGGCCCCACATTCCCCAGAACGGGCACAGGCCTGCTGTGCGCATCTGGGACGTGGATGAGAAGAGTCAGGTGGCAGAGATGCTGGGACACAAGTACGGCGTGGCCTGTGTGGCCTTCTCCCCCAATATGAAGCACATCGTGTCCATGGGCTACCAGCACGACATGGTTCTCAATGTCTGGGACTGGAAGGTGAGAGACTGGTGGGGGTGTGGGCAGGCAGCTGGCGGCCAGAGCACCCTGCTGCTCAGGCATACGGTGAACTAAATGAGATAATTTTGTAAAGTGAGCTCATTTATCCAGGAAATATTTATTGCCCACCTAGTGCATGCTGTTTTAGACACTTACTGTGAGGCATATGACAAGCTCTAACTAGTAGAATATGTAATTATTCTCATATTGATCAGCTGTGATCTCAAGCAAGTGACTTGACTTGTCTGTGAGTCTGTTTCCTCATCTGTAAAATGGATACGTTAGCATTCCCTTTGTGTGAGAATTCAGTGACTTAATATGCACCGAAAAGCTGGACTTTGGAACAGCTAGGGGAGGACTTGGAGGTGGCAGAAGTGGGTACCAAATCCTGGCTCTCTTCACAACCTGCTGTGTGACCTTGAGCATATGACACCATCTCTGTGAGCCTGGCAGAGGTAGGGAGAAGCACCTATCAGATAGGACTGTGGAGAGGATTTCATCCTGCGAAGGCTCAGTCATGTGTGAGCTGTAGAGCTTGGACTCTTGGGGAGAGCCCTGAACCTTACTCACACATGGAAACCTTTCCGAGCCTCAGTCTCCTCTGTGTTGGTAAGGATAAGAGTGCCACACGTAGGTTTCCCCAGAGGGCCCCAGGAAAATGACCCGGAGCAGGGGAGGGCTGAGTGGTACAGGGCTGAGGGCACAGGCACAAATGATCCAATGGCTGGGTGCAGGTGTGAACTTCTCTGCATTGATTCTTCCAGAAAGACATTGTGGTGGCTTCCAACAAGGTATCGTGCAGGGTCATCGCCCTCTCCTTCTCAGAGGACAGCAGCTATTTTGTCACCGTAGGGAATCGGCACGTGAGGTTCTGGTTCTTGGAAGTCTCCACTGAAGCAAAGGTAGGTTTCTTCCCCTGCCCCCTTAGCCAGGCCTGGGGGGTAAAACCATTAGGGGCAGCGTGGACTCCTGTTTCTACCTGAGATTTGGAGGCAGTGGTCTCAGAGGTTGTCTGGCCTCTGGTTCAGATTCTGCTGCTGGGCCTGTTCTCCAGGTGCTGCCAGGCCCTGCTGGGAAATCTCCCCACTGACCCTGGGTCAGGCCTCTTTGCTGGACTGCCACCTTCCAGCCACTCTGCTTAGATGTGTCTGTTCTGTTTTTTTCTTTCTTTCTCCTCAATTTGGAGGAATGTCTTAGAGTCCTTCTGTTTAGCTATGTGTCGTATCCTCTGGTCATGAGAGTCCCGCTGTGATCTTGCTGGGGTCGGGGCCGTGTGGACAGTGTCTTACTATGCCCTGCTGTGCCTCCAGGTGACGGGCACAGTGCCCCTCGTCGGGCGTTCAGGCATCCTGGGTGAGCTGCACAACAATGTCTTCTGCGGTGTGGCTTGTGGCCGGGGCCAGATGGCAGGCAATACCTTCTGTGTGTCCTACTCGGGCCTCCTCTGCCAGTTCAACGAAAAGAGGGTGCTGGAGAAGTGGATCAACCTGAAGGTACCCCACCCTCCCTGTCTGCATCAGTGGGGGAAACACTCTTCACAGGACATGTGTCTCCAGGGACACTTGGTAATGTCCCTGCCGGGTAGTTGATTCCACTAACTGGGTTTAAGTTCTCAAAAGTTCTGCTTGTGAGACCCTTGATGAGTGACTTTCCCTCAGTGAGCCTCAGTTTCCTCATCTGTAAAATGAAAATCCTGCTGCCTGCCTCACAGAGTTGATAAGGGAGTCCTGTGAGATAATATACGGAAGGCACTCAGCATAGTGCCTGGTACCCTGTAATGGGGTCAAGGTTACAGTTGCTCTCCTATCACTGTTTGATCCAGTTCCCATTTTTCTTCTTCACTGAGCACTCTTAGCTGGTGGGAGGACTGCTTTTTTTTTTTTTTAATCTAAGATATGATTGACTTCATTTTTCAGTCAAAAAAGACTATATTAAAAATACATAACATTTTTTAAAATTTTATTTATTTTGAGAGAGTGAGAGTGTGAGCAGGGGAGGGACATAGAGAGAGAGGGAGAGGGAGAACCTCAATCCAAACTACCAGCACAAAGCCCATTGCAGAGCTCAGTCTTGTGAGCCATGAGATCATGACCTGAGCCAAAACCAAGAGTGAGATGCTTATCTGACTGAGCCACCCAGCTGCTCTTATAACATTTTAATCCAAAGGATGGGGGCTTCTGGGTGACTCAGTTAAGCATCTGACTTCTGATCTCAGCTCATGTCATGATCTCACGGTTCGTGGGATTGAGGCCCAAGTTGGGCACTGCACTGATGGTGTGGGGTCTCCTTGGAATTCTCTCTCTGACCCTTCCCCACTCTCATTCTCTCTCTTTCTAAGTTTTAAATAAATAAAAACTTAAAAATAAATTGCAGAACCACTTTTTTCAGGCTCTGAGGGAGCATAATGGTTTTCCCTCCTTTTCCTACCTCTGCTCTTTTTTTTTTTTTTTTGAGAGAGAAAAGATTACACAAGCTAGGGAGAGACAGAGAGAATCCCAAGCAGTGCAGAGCCTGATGTGGGGCTCCATCTCCCCTGTGAGATCATGACCTGAGCTGAGATCAAGAGTTGGACGCTTAACTGACTGAGCCACCCAGGCGCTCCATCCTACCCCTGCTCTGTGGCTCCTCTCCAGAACTCACCTTTAGGGTTAATGGCATGGCGTCAGGCCTGTGGAAGAATTCGGAGTTTCGTCTGTTTTTCCTAGTTGATTAAACATCATTTGGTTTTTTTCCTCATTAGAATCCTCTTTCTAGAACTTCGGCAGCTTAAGCAAGTCCAAAGCTTTTGACGGATGGATGGTTAGCCCCTGAGCAGTTGTCAAATGACGACTTAAAAATAAGTCCCTCTAGACTTGGAAAAGCTCCTATAATCTGTGTCCAGAGGTCTGGCACTTCCTGCCCCATCCATCTGCGTATTCTGGCAGGATAGACAGTCCGATTGTCTTTTTCTGTAACGTTTTTTTGTGTTGCTTTGAAGTAAAATCTCTGTGAAGTTGTTTTTAAACAATAGGGAATAAAATATAAGCCTCAGACTCAACCCTGTTACTGCAAATTACCTATCGGAAGTCACAATCTCTGAACAGATTATTTTCCACACACAGCTGAGTTCCTCTGTTGACAGTGACAGCAATTCTGTCATAATTTGTGCCTCTCTGCCTGCTAGCATGTTTCCTTCAGTGGTGACTGCTACGTCCTGATCTCAACAGTCTTGAAATTTGCAAAAATGGGCTTCTTGGACCCAAAGAACTATAAGGCTTCTCTGGAGACTGAAGGCTATTCTGTTAGTCTCTGTGTCCCTGAATTGGGCCACATGGAGCACCAATTCACTTGTGTCCCATTTGCCCCCACAGGTCTCCCTGTCTTCCTGCCTCTGTGTTAGCCAGGAGCTCATCTTCTGCGGCTGCACAGATGGGATAGTCCGCATCTTCCAGGCCCGCAGCCTGCAGTACCTCGCGAACCTGCCCAAACCGCACTACCTTGGGGTGGACGTGGCCCAGGGCCTGGAGCCCAGGTACTGCCTGGCAGAGGGAGGCAGAGGAGCCCGCTTAGTCTGTCCACTGATGTTCACTTACGCTTCCAGCTCAATCTACTTATCTGGCCAGCCCTGGGCTGGAAAGAGACAGCTATAACAAGGCAGCAAAATCTCTGCCACCATGAAGTCTGTGGTCTAGTGAAGGGAGCTTGATAATAAGTACACAAACAAGACCATTTCAGATAGTTGTAAATGCTGTAGTGAAATAAAGCAGGGACTCAGGAAGGAAAGTGCCCCAGGGGGTGGGACTGTGTTGATTGGCAGCCAGGAGAAGCCTCTTTGGTGAGAAGGAGCCAGCTGTGTGGAGGGCTGAGTCCCAAGAGCAAGTGTAAAGACCTAAAGGGAAAAACACCCTGGGTTTGGCATGTTGCAGGAAGAGCTAGGGGCTATATGATTGGAACCTAGTGTGCCAGGAGAGGATGTGGGAGACAGGTCTGAGCATTTATGGAGGCTAGCAGGGGAGCTTCCAGTAAAGGAAGCCTTTTCTGAGGTCAGTGGGCAGCCTCATTTCAGGCATTGACATTGGTTATATGGTCATTCCATGTTGAGAATGGATGGAAGCGCTCAGCTGTGCTGTATCTTCCCCTTTGTTGTAAGGCTGTTTTGGGGGCGGAGGGGAGGCTACCTAACCAGAGGGTGCTGGGTGCCTTTGTAGATTGCTAGACACTACCTTTTGCATACCTTTCCTGAGTGACACACAGTGTTGTGCTGTAGTGGCCAGGCTGCTCAGCTATGTCACCTTCTGTGTGTGCTTTAGTTTTCTCATCTGTAAAATGTAGGACTTACCTCTCATGGAGACAGGGAATTCAGTGTCGCTAAAGCTCTCAGACTGGCACATCGTAAGTGCTCAGTAAACTATAGCCTTTGTAGGGAGGCCCCAGGCCAGAGGACCGCTCCCCAGCCCCCTTGCATAGGGATTTTTGATCACATGTTGGTGGGGCCAATGAGAGAGAGCTGAGGTATATGCCCATGATCCCACCATGCTCCAAGAGAGGGTGGAGCTTGGGTTGGATGAAATGAAGGGAGAGAGATGTTAACAGGAAGAGAAAAATCAAATGTTCTCAGGGGCCAGGCAGAAGCTTCCAGTTTACAACTTCTGTACTAGAAGCAAAAGCAAAGCAAGAGGGAGGGAAGAAGGAGAAGTGGAGTTGGAAAGGGAGATGGACCACCCCAAATACAAAGAATGGCATTGCCAAGCAAGAGGCAGCTCAAGTGTCACAAGGGGCAGCTGTCACTGCTCACAGTGACATTGATGGTGACTGATGGCCCACATGGTCTTGTTAGCTTCCTCTTCCGCAGGAAGGCAGAAGCAATCTACCCGGATACGGTGGCCCTGACCTTCGACCCCATCCATCAGTGGCTGTCCTGCGTGTATAAGGACCACAGCATCTATATCTGGGATGTCAAAGACATCAACAAAGTCGGCAAGGTGTGGTCAGAGCTCTTCCACAGCTCCTACGTCTGGAATGTGGAGGTGAGTCCCTGTTTTCCTCCCTCTGCCCCTGTTCAACTCCCATCTGGGCTCATCTGGAACAAGCATCTGCAGTTTAGGGAACCCATTCAGCTGTTCCTTCACAAGACCCCAACTTTGTGCCAGATGCTGTCCTAGGTGGTGGAGACATAGGTGGGAAGGAAACTGTCAAAAGTCCTGAATTCGGGTGGGAGAGTCAACCCACACATATCATCAGTAACAACCAAGCAGCCCTACCTCTCCAAAGAAAAAGAAAACAGTGTAGGGCAAAAGGGATTGAGGGTGCTCTTCTAGAGAGGGCATCCATCAGGAAGTCCTCTCTGAGGACCTGACACTCAGGCAGAGACCTATAGGAAGTGAGGGGCAGAAGCATACGGCCGCTGGGGAGAACAGTGTTGAGAGTATGTGTACCTCGGAGAGCTTGCTGTGGAGGCCGTTTGTGTAGTTGAGTGCTTTTCTAAGCATTGAAGATTTCTGAGAATGAGTCTTTGGGATGTTTTCATTCTATAAAGCTGTTCTAATTATTCCTGGCACATAAGACAACCAGTGGGGAAATAGTTGTATTCAACAGTTGTAGTCTACCTTTTTTTTTTTTTGGTTCTCAAAATTTCTTACTGATAGGAGCACTTGTCCTAAAGAAATTATGTTTTCAGTGGCCCAGTTCAGAATTGGGAGAAATAACTTGATCATTTTGAATAAGTGTTGTTCAGCCCTCTGACTGCTTGAATCCATCTGCCTTTGTGGTCTGACATTTCTGCTGATAGCACTTTTCTCCTTTAACAAGAATGTCATTTAAATAACTTTAAAATTTTATATATAAATATATTCTCCTTGAAAAACAGGTGAAATATTACAAAGCTAAAGTCTGTTTTGATTACTTCCCATCCCCCAATCAGGCTCTTTCTCACCCTCACCTTTGTTATTAGTTTAGTGTATGCTCTTTCAGTTCATTTTCTTTGCATCCGCCTGTTAGTTATATATCTGTCTCCTCAACAAAAAATATCTGTGGGTGCATCTTTTTATCAGTTCTGGAAAGAATAGCCAGTATGGATTTAAGAATTGTCTCTACCCTGTTCTTTCTCTTCATCTGTAACTCTAATGTCCTGACTCTGTCTATCCTTCATACTTTTTATAAGTAGAACAGATCTAGAAAACCACACAAAAGAAATGTACAGTTTATTGATTATTGTTAGCAGCTGTTGATGCTCATTGCATAGATCCATTTATTCCTTGGGGGTTGCAATATGGTGATATTCTAATTCTATCATTTCTTTTTATTAGTTGGACTACTTATATGAAGAAACAGTTTCCCTCATCTACCATTTGGTCACCCAGTGGTACACTTCATATAGGAAAGGCAGGATAAATGCTTGATTCTTTCCCTTTACTTACCAGTTTTCAAGATAATGAATTGGTTCCCTATCCTCTAAAGGTAACTAGTTGTTTTTATTTAATATCATTCTAAATTCATATATGTAAATATATTGGATATATTTTAATCCATTGCAATTATTAACTTAAAGCTCAAATTGTCACATCTTTGACCAGTGGGAGACTCTTTTCAAGTTGGCTCCTGAGTCCTTTGGACATGACCCTAGTATCGTTCTTTGGTAGCTTCCTTGCTATTGGAGATGACAAGATGTTCTGGCCTCATCTTGTACATATCCTATCCCAGACCTGGAATCAACCATTTCTTGAAGAAGCCCTGAGTTTTTGTTTTCAGTGTGAATGGTGTTTCAAATTCACAGTCTGGGTGCTAGGGATGCTCATAAGTAATGGATTGATCCTTCCAGAACCCTAAAGACATGGGGGATGATGGAATTAGAATATCCCCAGTTAATTATTTACTTATTCCCACATTGTATGTACAACAATCTGAGAATGACAATTACTCAATTTTGAAAAGAGTTTAAAACAATTTTTTTGCCTGTGTTCTCTCCATTCTCCCCTAGTTTTTAAAATAATTATACTATTTTTGTGTGATCTGATCATTATATATCATTATATACCATATTCTCTTCCTTATGAACTCATTTACTTGGGGGGGTATAAGTGTACATATATATTATGGTAAAATACACATAGCATACAATCACCGTTTAAATCTTAAAATGTACAATTCAGTGGCATTTAGTGTATTCACAGTGTTGTACAACCATCCCTACTATCTAGTGCTGGAACATTTTCATCACCCCAAAAGGAAACTCTGTACCCAAGCAGTCAGTCCCTTTTCCTACTCCCCCAGCTCTAATCTGCTTTCTGTCGCTATGGATTTGCCTGTTCTGAATATTTCATACAAATGGAAAAATAGAATATGTAGACTTTGTGTATGGATTCTTGCACTTGGTTTGATGTTTTCAAGGTTTATCTATGTTGTTACGTGTTTCAGTACTTCATTCCTTTTTTAAGGTTGAATAATCTTCTCCTGTGTGTGTATATACCATGTTTTGTTCATCTGTTTATCAGTTGATGGACATTTGTGTTGTTTCCATCCTTTGGCTATTATGAATAGTGCTGCTATGAATGTTCATGTACAAGCTTTGAACATCTATTTTCAGTTCTTTTGGGTGGTAGGCCTGGTGAGCAGAATTGCTGGGTCATATGGTAATTCTGTGTTTAACTCTTTGAGGAACCCCCAAACTTTTCCCCAGCAGCTGCACCATTTTACATTCCCCACTAGCCATTCTCCACATCCTTACCAACACTAGTTTTTATTTATTTATTTATCTTAATGTTTTATTTATTTCTTTTTTCTTTTCTTTTCTTTTTTTTTTTTTATTTCTAGGAGAGAGAGAGAGACAGCGCGAGCAGGGGAGGGTCAGAGAGAGAGAGAGTCACAGACTGAAACAGGCTCCAGGCTCTGAGCTGGCAGTCAGCACAGAGCCCGACGCGGGGCTCGAACCCACGAACCGCGAGATCATGACCTAAGCGAAAGTCGGACGCTTAACCGACTAAGCCACCCAGGCGCCCCTGTTTTATTTATTTCTGAGAGGGAGAGAGACAGCATGAGCAGGGGAGGGTCAGAGAGAGGGAGACACAGAATCTGAAGCAGGCTCCAGGCTCTGAGCTAGCTGTCAGCACAGAGCCCGACGCAGGGCTCGAACCCACGAACCACGAGATCATGACCTGAGCCGAAGTCGGATGCTTTTAACCGACTGAGCCACCCAGGTGCCTCAGGTTTTTTTTACTTTTGAAGTATAGCCATCTTAGAGTTTGTGAAGTGGTAGTATATTGTGGTTTTGACTTGCATTTCCCTAATGGTTAATGATGTTGAACTTGTTTTTATGTGCTAGTTGGTAATTTGTTATGTCTTTGAAGAAAAATATATTCAAATTTTTTGTCCCGTTTTTACTTGGGTTTTTTGTCTTATTGCTTTTGAATTGTAAGAGATTTTTATATACTTTGGATACTGGATACTTTATAGATTCTGGATACCTTTATTAGATATATGAATATATAAATATAAATATTCACAAATATTTTCTCCAATTTTTATGTTGTCTTGTTCACTTTCTGTATTGTATCCTTTTATGTACAAAAGTTTTTAATTTTGATAAAGTTGATTTTTTTTTTTAACTGCTCATATTTTTGGTATCGTAACTAAGAAACCATTGCCAAATCCACAATCATGAAGATTTATTCTTCTTCTAAGAGTTTTATTATTTTAGCTCTTCCATTTAGGTCTTTGATTTCTTTTGAGTTAATTTTTGTTAATTTTTATACTTGAAACAAGGGTCCAGCTTCATTATTTTGCATGTGGGTATATAGTTCCGGCACTATTTATTGAACAGATTATTCTTTCCAGTTGGATAATCTTGGCACACTTGTTGAAAATCAATTGACCATAGGTACATGGGTTTAATTTTGTACTCTCAATTATATTCCATTGATGTATGTCTATCTCTGTGCCAGTAGCACAGAATTTTTATTGTAGCTTCGTAGTAAGTTTTGAAATCTTACTACAAATTACTTACTTTGAAATTTTAATTGCCCTTTGATTTTTAGGAAGTGTGTTTCCTGTAACTTTGTTGTTCTTTATCAATATTGGATTGACTATTTGGGGTCCCTTGTAATCCCATATGAATTTTAAGATCAGCTTTTCCATTTCAGAAAAAAAAGACTTCATTGTAATTTTTGTCTTCTTGCCAGCTTTTGGTTTAGTTTGCTCTTCTTCTTCTAATTTCTTAAGGTGAGACGTTATTGACTTGAGATCTTTCTTGATGGAGGCATTTACAGCTATACATTTCCCTCTGAGCATTGCTTTTGCTGCATTCCATAAGTTTTGGTATATTGTGTTTTCATTTTCACTTGTCTCAAAGTATTTTCTAATTGCCCTTTGATTTCTTCATTGATCCATTGGTTGTTTAACAGTGCATGATTTAGTATTTACATATTTGTGAATTCTCCAAATTTCCTTCTGTTATTTGTGATTTCATTCTGTGGTTAGAGATTGTATGGTTACAGTCTTTTAAGATGTTTTGACTTATTTTGTTACCTTATAGATGGTCTATTCTGGAGAATGCTCCATGTTTACTTGAGAAGAATGTGGGTTATGCCGTTATTGGATGGAGTATTCTTTATATCATCTGTTAGTCTGTTTGGTTTATAGTGTTTTTCTTTTTTTTTTTTTAATGTTTTATTTATTTCTAGGAGAGAGAGAGAGAGACAGCGTGAGCAGGGGAGGGTCAGAGAGAGAGGGAGTCACAGACTGAAACAGGCTCCAGGCTCTGAGCTGGCAGTCAGCACAGAGCCCGACGCGGGGCTTGAACCCATGAACCACGAGATCATGACCTAAGCGAAAGTCGGAAAGTCGGACGCTTAACCGACTAAGCCACCCAGGCGCCCCTATAGTGTTTTTCTAGCCCTCTATTTTCTTACTGATAATCTCTTTAGAACTATCTTTTATTGAAAACGGAATATTGAAGTCTTCAACTGTTACTATAAAACTTGCCAATTCTATCAGTTTTTGTTACGTGTATTTTGGTTCTCTGCTGTTACGTGTGTATGTTTGTGTTTGTTATACCTTCCTGACGGTTGACCCCTTTATCAATATATAATGCCCTTCTTTGTCACTTGTAACAGTGTTTTTCTTCAATTTTTTAAAATTTTTATTTATTTATTTAATATTTTATTTATTTCTGAGAGAGAGAGAGAGAGAAACAGTGTGAGCAGGGGAGGGTCAGAGACAGAGGAAGACACAGAATCTGAAACAGGCTCCAGGCTCTGAACTGGCTGTCAGCACAGAGCCCGACGCGGGGCTTGAACCCATGAACTGTGTGATCATGACCTGAGCTGAAGTCGGACGTTTAACCGACTGAGCCACCCAGGCGCCCCTCTTTAATTTTTTTAATGCTTCGTTTTGAGAGAGAGAGAGAGACAGAGTGTGAGTGGGGGAGTGGCAGAGAGGGAGAGAGACACAGAATCTGAAGCAGGTTCTGGGCTAACAATCCAGAGCCTGACGCAGGGCTTGAACCCACGAACTGTGTGATCATGACCTGAGCTGAAGTCGGACGTTTAACCGACTGAGCCACCCAGGCGCCCCTCTTTAATTTTTTTAATGCTTCGTTTTGAGAGAGAGAGAGAGACAGAGTGTGAGTGGGGGAGTGGCAGAGAGGGAGAGAGACACAGAATCTGAAGCAGGTTCTGGGCTAACAATCCAGAGCCTGACGCAGGGCTTGAACCCACGAACTGTGTGATCATGACCTGAGCTGAAGTCGGACACTTCATGTCTGACTTCACGTCCGACTGAGCTACCCAGGCACCCCAACTCGTAATAGTTTTTGATTTAAAGTCAATTTTGTCTAATACTACTATATACATGCAAATTTCTCTTCTGGTTACTATTTGTATGGAGTATCTTTTTACATACCTTCACCCTGTATGTGTCTGGATATATAGTAGTCTCTTACGGACAACAGATAGTTGGATCTTTTTTTTTTAGGTGTTTTTTTTTTTTAACATTTTTTATTATTGAGAGACAGACCATGAGCATGGGAGGTGCAGAGAGAGGGAGACATAGACTCTGAAGCAGGCTCCAGGCTCTGAGCTGTCAGCACAGAGCCCAATGCAGGCCTCAGACTCAAATGTGAGATCAAGACCTGAGCTGAAGTCAGACGCTTAACCGACTGAGCCACCCAGGTGCCCCAGATCTTTTTTTTTTTAAGTGAATTCTGCCAATAATTTCCTCTCTTTTTGAGAGTTTAATCTGTTTACGCTTAAAGTAATTACTCATAGAATTTATTTTTACTTCTTACCTATTATAATTTTTTTGTTGAAAACTGGATATTTTGAGTTTTATTATGTGATGACTCTGGAAATCAAATTCTCTTCCTCTGCGCTGAGGTTTGTTGCTGTCAATTGTAGTTGTTTAGTGGTTTTTCTGAACTGTTTTTGCAAAGATTGTATTCTTTTTCAGGTGTAGTCACTGAAGTCTCTCTTCCATTATCTGAATTTTCAGCTAGTGATTTGACAGCAGTTTTCTTAAATGTCAAAATTCAGCAGCTTTCTGTTTTAAGCTCCCCGTGGTTATTGTAAGTTAGATTTCAGAGTTCTGAAAAAGTTGATTCTGACAGTTTTTTCCAGCCTAAGTTTGTTTTGGTGTGGAGGGATAGCTTTCTGGAGTTCCCTACTGTGCCATTTTCAGTGATGTCAGTTGACCCTCATTTATTCTTTGTTCTATGAGTAACTATGTATTTAATCTATGTTGATGTCTCTAGTTGTTTTTGTTGTCTGGAGCTCATTCATTTCTTTTGTTTTGTTTTTGTTTTTGAAAGGGGGGAGGGGCAGAGAGGGAGGACAGAGGATCTGAAGCAGGCTCTGCGCTGACAGCAGTGAGCCTGATGTGGGGCTTAAACTCACGAACTGTGAGATCATGACCTGAGCCGGAGTCAGACGCTCAACTGACAGAACCACCCAGGTGCCCCTGGAGCTCATTGTTTAGAAGATTTGTCAGGAACAGTTCATGGTGACAATATTTACTGAGTTTTTGCATATTGGTAAGTTTATATTTGTCTTTTATACTTGAAAGCTACTCCTCCTAGATAGAAAATGTTTGGCTCACATTTTCTTTCCTTGTCTGTCTCAAGTACATGATTTCATTTTCTTCCGGTTATTGAAATGTCTGATTATTTTCCCTTTTAAGTCACTTTCTCTGCTTGCCTCAAAGCCCAAAGGATTTCTTTCTTTTACTTTTAGGCCTAGTAGTGTTACTCTAGAGTATGTCTTGGTATTGGTTTCTATAGGTAGACATAGTCCTGCAGTGTACATTTTAGTATCTGTTTCAGTTCCCTTGGCTTGGTTTTCTTCAGGGATTTCTATTATCTGTGTTGGATTCTCATTGCCTACCTACAGTATTGTCACTTTTTCTCACGTCGTTTTAGTTCTGTCATCATTTCTGTTTGATTTTTAATAATTTCCTCCTTTTGGGGGCACCTGGGTGGCCTAGTTGGTTAAGCATCTGACTCTTGGTTTTGGTCAGGTCATGATCTCAAGGTTTGTAGGTTTGAGTCCCACATCGGGCCTCACACTGACAGTGTGGAGCCTGCTTGGGATTCTCTCTCTCTGCCCTTCCCCGTCTCACTCTCTCTCTCTCTCAAATAAATAAAATTAAAAATTAAAAGAAATTAATTTCCCCCCTTTTTTTAAAAAAATTTTTTAATGTTTTATTTACTTCTAGGAGACAGAGAGACAGCATGAGCAGGGGAGGGTCAGAGAGAGAGGGAGTCACAGACTGAAACAGGCTCCGGGCTCTGAGCTGGCAGTCAGCACAGAGCCCGACGCGGGGCTCGAACCCACGAACCGCAAGATCATGACCCAAGTGAAAGTCGGACGCTTAACTGACTAAGCCACCCAGGCGCCCCTAGTTTCCCCCTTTTTACCTATTTCTTTATGCCTTACCTTTTGTGTTTACTCACTTTTGGATTCCTTCTAATTTGTTTTTTATTTCTGAAATGATCTCTTCGCTTATTTCTAACTCTGAATTCTGTCATCTTACTTCTGAATTTCCTAATTGAAAAATTGCTTTGTTTTGTGGAATTATGTTTCTGGTGTGCTTGCTTTCTTTTCCTCTTAAGGGATAGCTTTGGAACTGGAGTTTGGTCCTTTTTTGTTTTCATTTTTAGAAGTTGGTATAGTTAATGGGGCGCCTGGCTGGTTCAGTTGGGTAGAGCACGAGACTCTTGATCTGAGGGTCATGAGTTTGAGCCCCACCTTGGGTCTACACCCAAGAGATTACTTAAATAAAATTAAAAACAAGTTGGTATAGTTTAGGACAGATTTTCTAGCTTCCCAAGAAAGAATTCCATCTTCTATGATTTTTATGCTATTAAAAAAATATGGAGGCGCTTGGGTGGCTCAGTCTCTTAATCCAACTTCGCTCAGGTCATGATCTCAGGGTTCATGAGTTCAAGCCCCACATCATTTGGGCTTTGTGCTGACAGCTGAGAGCTTGGAGCCTGCTTCAGGTTCTGTGACTCCCTCTCTCTCTGCCCCTCCCCTGCTTGTGCTCTGTCTCTCTATCTCTCAAAAATAAAGAAATGTAAGTTGTTTTTTTTTTTTTAAATATGACAGCTTACTTTCTGATATGTTCTTATGTTTCTATTTATGTGTTGTGCCCCTAAGCTTCCTTTTTACTCCTTTTTTCCAAGCTTCCTCTTTACTCTGGCTCCCGTGTCTATCCTGAGTAGTCTTGTTTCCATTCCTAGTAGTTTCCCTTCAGGGTGGGCCTTTGGCCATAGATGAGAGCCATGGCAGGTCAGTTTTAAGACTTCACAGGCCTTCACAGCTCCAGCCCCTTCAGACCTAACAGCCAAAGTGTGCTCTCAACCACTATTGGAGTGGATAAAACCCTCCCAGTTTGAACTGCTGCTTAATTTGAACTGTTGTACTTTCCCATGAATACCTGTTGGCTACTTTGAGGTTATACTTTGTTGGGTAACCACAAAGTTACTCAAAGAACAACAAAGTTGCTTTCCTCTCTGTTCTATCATATAGACACAGTCATTTTGACAAACTACTGGGGGTAGTTTGTCCCTACCTGCTTGTATTTTGGGAGCTCAGAGAATATCGTATCACCTAATTTTGCTGCTAAATGTGTCAAGGGGTTTTGGTTTTGATATCTGATTGCTCATTTTGATGTGGAGATTTTAGATTAAAACTCTGGACTACTACTATTATCATTTCCTCACATAATTTCCTCTTCCAGATTTGAAATCTCTTTATATGTTCTCTCTTTGTCTGAGCTGCATTTTGTTTCTAGAAATAGTTCTATTTTGTTGTCTTCCAGCCCTGCTTGGTTATTCTTTATAGTTTAAAGTTGGCTATGCAGACTTTCACTCTTTTCAAAGCTCTTCTATTTCTTTAAACATATTAAACATAGTTGTTTTACACTCTGTCTGAAAGTTCCAGTATTTGAAGCTGGATGGTTCTTGCTCACGGTACCTTGTTTCCTTTTGTGCTCAGTGATTTTTGATGAAGCTGCCCATTTCCCTTGGAAATTTATGTGTGGGGGATGTTCCATGACCCGGGCTGAAGATGGGGCATGGACAATATGTAGTAGCATTCAGTGTCCTTTTTTTCTTGTTCATTTTTAACCGAGAAGGCATTACACTATGCCTATTTATCTGCAATGTACTTTTTGTCACCAAAATGCACTAGTGTCACTGAAATGGTTGTAACGAATCGCCCTTTGCCTTGTTCTCTGGGGACTTTAGGTGTATCCTGAGTTTGAAGATCAGAGAGCTTGTCTGCCATCAGGATCTTTTCTTACTTGTTCCTCAGACAACACCATCCGCTTTTGGAACATGGATAGCAGCCCTGACTCTCACTGGCCAAAAAATATCTTCAGTAACGTGAGTGGCTTTTAATTATGAACCATATTTTAGGAGGAACAGAGACATACTTTCAGCTAGGATATAGACCCAAGAGGGGGTCTTATGAACCTTGGTGTTAAGTTTCACTGAGGGCAAGAAGCAGGAAGCAAGGCAGGTCATACTCTGTCACCCTCTCTTGTTTCTCCTTCATTTTTCCTTCTGAGGTCGCGTGGTCTGTCCTCTTTGCTTCTCACTGCCAGTCGGTTCCCGCTCTCCAGGTGTGTCAACACGGCTACTCCAGGCAACCTGACATATTCAGTAGAAACGAAATTGTTCCCTAAGTCTTGTGTCAGAACACTCTGGAAGAACACCTGATGGACCAAACCAGGGAGAGGCTTCCCCTGTCCAGCTAGCTGCCACCCAGTGAAGCCTTGGGTGAGGGTGCTGGCAGGGCCCCAAAGAGAGCCGCGATGGGAGGGCAGGGAGAAAACACTTCGTGAAGAAATGGTTGCTATTGCTAGGTCAGTGAGGGAGCTTCTCTAAGGAGCTGAGATCTGATTCATGCATTCATTTATTCTGCAGATGCTTAGTAAGATCTGTGCTAGGTGCTATGCTACATGCTGGGGACACATCAGTGACTAAGACCCTCCTGCCCTGTGGCTCCCTCAGTCTAGAAGGGAGAGGCACCAATACCTGCACAAATTATGGTATAATCATAAGCATGATAAGCATCGTGAAAATAAATTATGAAGTGTTAGTAGGCTGTGTAACAGTATCATCTGATTTTATCTGTAGTGTCACAGGCAGTTTCCTAGAGGAGGAGACAACTGAGCTGAGAGGTAGAGGATTGGGATGAGTAAAGAGGGGAAGGGAGAGTGTCCTACACCAGGGGAGTAGTCTGTGCAAAGGCCCTGGGGTGGGAAAGAGTTTGGGGAGTTGGAAAACCTGAGCAGTCACAGTGGCTGGAACAAAAAGGCCCTTAACGCAGGATGTGTATAGCAGGTGCCCTTTCACTCCCTGCACCCCCCACCCAGTACTACCACCTTCTCTCCTGCACCTGTGATATATGTGTTATATTTGTCTGGATACAGTAGAAAAACCCAAAACCAAGAGGTAAAAGTTTGGTTTTCTGACTCATAAAAATAGTCTGGAGGTCACCAGTCCAGGCTGTTCTGGCAGCTGCAGGAAGCCCGTAGAGACCCGAGAGCTTTAGCTCTCCACCCTGCCATTTTGGAGTCGCCCTTGTCCTTGTCATCCAGTATGGCTGCGGGAGCTCCTGGCAGCAGGAAGGCGGAAAAGGAAGCAGGAGGGTCCTCACTTGTGTTACGTCTCGTTGGCCAGAACGTATTCACAGAGCCTCATGCAGCTGCCAGCGAGGCTAGGAAACAGTCACTGAGTAGCGGAGGTCAGCTTTGGAGTTCCGGAACTACTGAAGAAGGGGAGGCTGGCTGTGGGGAGACAGGACTGCAGGGGTGCTTCGGAGCTTCCAGAGCACTGACCTCAGCCCTCCCCTTCCCGCAGACTCTGCTGAAGGTAGTGTATGTAGAGAATGACATCCAGCACCTGCAAGACACATCACACTTCCCAGACCGGGGGAGTGAGAACGGGACACCTATGGACGTAAAAGCTGGGGTGCGAGTCATGCAGGTCAGTCCTGATGGCCAGCACTTGGCTTCAGGCGACCGAAGTGGAAATCTGAGGCAAGTGAGCCCTGCCGGGTGACTAGTGTGCACTTCCCAGCTCAGGCGTGGATACTCGGGGTGGTGTGAAGGAGCCTTGGCCTCGGCACCGCCACCTACCCTTCGGGAATGAGGGCCTGTGACTAGCAGTCTGGAAAGCAGCCATCTCTGACAACTTAAGCTATGAAGTGTCTTCCAGAGGGCTGACAGAGGCAGCTCCAGGGACCTCTGCAGCTGGGGCTTGTGGGCTACGCCTGCGTTGTAGACAGGCAAACATGTGTGACCCTAGGGTAGGGGGACAGTGCCAGACAGAGAGGATGCCAGCTGGAGTGTGGGGGGTCCTGGTGGCACCGGGGGGGGGGCGGGGGGGGGCCGGAGGATGGGACACTTGAGGGCTCAGGCTGTACACCTGCACTGTAGAGGTTTTTTAAGATGTTACCGGCCCAGGGGCGCCTGGGTGGCTTAGTTGGTTGGGCGTCCGACTTTCGCTTAGGTCATGATCTCGCCGTAGTGGGTTCGAGCCCCGCGTTGGGCTCTGTGCTGACTGCCAGCTCAGAGCCTGGAGCCTATTTCAGAGTCTGTGTCTCCCTCTCTCTCTGACCCTCCCCTGCTCACGCTGTCTCTCTCTCTCTCCTAGAAATAAATAAAATAAAAATATATTTAAAAAAAAAAAAAAAAGATGTTACCGGCCCAGTAGACATGGACAGAATATGAGCCCCATCACGAGGTTTAAGTTGACGAATGACAGCTGTGACCACCTGGGTGCTGAGACTGTGGAGGAGTGGAAGGGATGGGGGAGGAGCTGGAGAGCACGTGCTCCGTAGATGGGCAGCCGCCACCTGGCACCAGGAGTGCAGGCTTCATTGTCACATGTTCCCATGAAGAGCTGTGTCCAAGAAGAGCAAAGGGCAGGGTTTTCTCTGTGAAACTCTATGATTTTTAAATGCTGGCACCTGTCTTGACACCAGTCACTGTGTGAGGCAAACCGAATGTGTCCATGGGCCGTTCACGCTGACCGCGCTCTGCTGTGAATGGTGAAAACAGCAGCGAGCTAACGTGGGTGTAGCACTGTCCCCTGGCTGGCCACCGGCCTGACACTTAGTCCTTCCACCCACCCTCTGGTGGAAGTGCTACTCTTAGCAGCTGGTTTCTAGATGGGTTAACTGAGGCAGGAGAGCCCAGCGGCTAAACTAACACAGGTAGAGTGGAGGACCGGGAGTGCCGTCTCTTATATCATCCTAGGGGGCGTGTTGTTTGATTTCATTTGGAGAGAACGAGGAAAGTTCAGATTTTTTTTTTAATTAAAAAAAAAAAATTTTTTTAACATTTATTTATTTTTGAGACAGAGACAGAGTAAGAGCTGGGGAGGGTCAGAGAGAGAGGGAGGCACAGAATCTGAAACAGGCTCCAGGCTCTGAGCTGTCAGCACAGAGCCCGACGTGGGGCTCAAACCCACAGACCACGAGATCATGACCTGCGCCGAAGTCGGCCGCTTAACCGACTGAGCCACCCAGGCGCCCTGAAAGTTCAGATTTAAGAGTCTCTATAAATGTCTCATAGGCCGTGTCCTTTTTTAAAAAAAATTTTTTAATGTTTATTTCTGAGAGAGAGAGAGAGAGCATGAGCAGGAGAGGGTCAGAGAGAGAGGGAGATAAGAATCTGAAACAGGCTCCAGGCTCTGAGCTGGCAGTCAGCACAGAGCCTGATGCGGGGCTCGAACCCACAAACCGTGAGATCATGACCTGAGCCGAAGTCAGACACTTAACCGACTGAGCCATCCAGACGCCCCTCATAGGCCGTGTCCTGAGTATGACCCCTGGCCCCTGCCCCACCCCCCGAATCACCTCTGATACAGCCCTGCCCTAACTCCTGTTCCCCAGGGGACTGTCCTAGCCCTGGCCCATGGAGCCATAAGGGTCTGGATGCTGCTTCAGTGGTCCAGGCTTGGCACTGCTGCCTTAAAGATAACAGGTTTCTAGAGAAGAATGGTTGGGCATCTCTAGACTTGTTGGCCGGGCTGGGAGTTCCCTACGTTGCTGAACACCTAGAACTGAGGGATGGGGGCTCCGGGCAGGGTACAGTGGACAGTATATGTCTCCCAGGATCCACGAGCTACACTTCATGGACGAGCTGGTCAAGGTGGAGGCCCATGATGCTGAGGTGCTGTGCCTGGAGTACTCCAAGCCTGAGACAGGTAAATCTATGGAGGGGGGCAGGGGGAAGGCAGGAGAGCAGCGTCCCCTGGCCAAACCACAGAAATGAATAGCTGATATTTGGTGGGGCTGTGAGTGACAGCTGCAAGTCCTGTGTGTAGTAAGTGCCCCCATCACTGGGCCCTGAGACCAGGGTAGCCGGGACTCTAGAATGCAAGACTCTGGCAGGCAAGACTGGGCTTGACTTGCTTACCCTGGTCCCCAGTGCCCTGAACAGCCTTCAGGTCAAAGAGGTGAGTGTTGAATGAGAGAAAGTATTAATGAACTGATCCTCTGCCAGAGAGGAGACAGGAGCAATTATATATCACAGATCAGCCATATTATTTTGAAAAAGTTCAATGCCTACAGAAAAATTGCAGGAGTATTAGAATGAGTACCTGTGTTCTCTTCACCCAGATTCCTCAGGGTTTTTTTCTCTTAAATTCTGTCTGACCCTATGACTGTATATATGACTTCACCTGTTTCCCCATCTCCATTTTTGTCTCCGTGTTTGTGCATGCATGTGTACCTACGCACACGGTCATAAAATACTAGCACGTACGTTTTTTTTCTTTGGCTGACCTGTTTGAGAGTAAGTTGAAGGCATGACCTTTCACTCTTCGATGTGTCTGTGAGCATTTCTTAGGAAAGAGGACGTCCATTTACATGACCATGTGCACTTACCAAATATGGAGGTTTTGGGGCCCCTGGGTGGCTCAGTCAGTTAAGCATCCAACTCTTGATTTCGGCTCAGATCATGATGTCATGGTTCATAAGTTCAAGCCCCACATCAGGCCTTGTGCTGACAGCATGGAGCCTGCTTGGGATTCTCTCTCTCTCTTGCTCTCTCTCTGCCCCTCCCCTGTTCATGCTCTCTCACTGTCTAAAAATAAATAAACTTTAAAAGAAAATGAGGAGGTTTCACTTTATACGGTTCTGTCATCCCCTCCATGTCCTTATTCACCGTGTGCCGGCTGCCCCAGTATTGTCCTTCACAGCACCTTTGTTTTTCCAGTCCAGGTTCACAAGTGAGTTTTCATAGCTCTTCTGTCACCTTTTTTTCTGGAATGTTTCCACAACCTTACTTTGTCTTCATGATTTGACTTTCTGCAGAGTATAGGCCATTTTATAGAATTTCCTTCAATTTGGGTTTGTCTGTTTCCCTCACGATTTGATTCCGCTGATACATATTTGGCAGGAATAGAACGTAGGTGGAGTTTGTTTCCTCGCACCCTCTAATCCCACCAGTTTTTGTTTTTTCTTTTTTCTTTTCTCTTCTTTTCTTTTCTTTTTTTTTAAGTTTACTTATTTTGAAAGAGAGCCCAAGGGAGCAAACAGGGCAGGGGCAGAGAGAGAGAACCCCAAGTGGGTTCCCGACATGGGACTCGAAGTCAGGAACCATGAGATCATGACCCGAGCCGAAGTCAGACGCTTTACTGACTGAGCCACCCAGGTGGCCCCCACCAGTTTTTCTTCAAATCTCTCTTCATTCAGTACATGCTTCACAAGCTGCTCTCTGCCTCAAGTACGTGTTAGTCCTCAGACATGCGAAGGGAACCAGGGTCACCACTGTCTGTGGGGGCCAGCACGGAAGGCCCACCGGCAGAAGTATAGCAGCGGGTCGTCAGTAGGGCCTGGATGAGCCCCGGGTAGCCGGAGTTCCGAGAGTGAGGGAGCAGTGTTCTGGGGAGGCTTAGAGGTCGACAGGGCTTCCCACGACACCCAGAGAGTTGGCCTCGGCAGGAAGGAGAGCTGGGCTCTGCTGGGATGTCTGCTCTGGGCACAGGTGACACAGCGTCGATGAGTACATCAAGATTCATCCCACTGAACCGGGCACGGGATGTGAAATGCCAGGGTTTGCGGGCTCTGGGGAAAGACCACAGAGCTGGGGGAATGGCCCCTTGCTGGCTTTGGGGCCAGTTGGCTGCAGTTGCAGAACCAAAGACCCCTTCTTCAAGGCCTGGAAAACTCAGTCACATTGTTTTCTGGGAGGCCACCTGAGAACCCAGTGCCACCCTGTCCACTTACAGGGCTGACCTTGCTGGCCTCAGCCAGTCGGGACCGACTGATCCATGTGCTGAACGTGGAGAAGAACTACAACCTGGAGCAGACCCTGGACGACCACTCCTCCTCCATCACAGCCATCAAGTTTGCTGGTGAGTCCTTTCCTTCCTGTTCCGCCCGCCTTGGTTGGTGCACCTCTTTGGCTGCACGTAACAGGAAGACTCTCTTCAGCTGAAACAAAAAAGGGAAAAGCAAGCTCTGGATTTGGGCCCAGCTGGATCCAAAGGTTGATTTATTCTTTTTTTTTCTTTTTTTTTTTTTTAAATCATCATGACCCCTCTGTCAGCTACACCTTTCTGTGGTGGGCAGCATCTTGGGTGTCACAGTGCCACTTGAAGGAGATTTCCCCTCTTCCTACCAATTTTGGCAGAAATTGGGAGCCGAATTCCCTTGTGCCAGCTTGAGTCACCTGCCCTTTTCAGAACAGTTATTGGTGCTAGGGCGTTTGGGTGTTTTCTTGGGCCAGGTCTGACTCATGTGCCCTCAGCCCACACCTGCCTCCACCCCTGATCCAGAAGGACTGGCATAGGTGAATGCTGTTCCCCAAAAGGAAATCAGGGTGCCAATCCTGTGAGAGGGCAGCAGGATGGGCACTGGGACCTTCGCAGAAAAATAGGTGACTGGAGAGGTTGCTGGGAGCTAATTCTGTGCTGGGGGGTCCTTGCACTGCAGTTAGTCCTTCCCTCACCCCTTTTACAGCTAGAGTCACACAGCAGTAGGTGCAGGCTCAGGACCTTGCCATGGGCTGCCCTCCACAAAGTCCATACTCAGCCAGGAAATTGGAGGGATTCCCTTTAGACTCCAAAGCTGCAGTATGGAGGTTTGGCCCTAAGGGATCCTAGGGGAGGGGAGGCAAGTCCTGTGGGATTTAACTGATCAGAACCCAAGAGCATATTCAGAACTATACTCCGGAAAAATCTACTCATGGAGAGAATACATCTATATAGTCATTCTGAGTTCTTGACTATGAAGTTTTTTTTTTTTTTTTTAACATATAACTTTGTGACTGAGAATGTATTAATGTCCCTTGGTCCTCCCCACTTCCTTTCCTACTTCTGTGTAGCGAGAACAAGTTAACAGTGGACAAAAACAAGTCAACAATGTTTGCTGTGTCTTGATGAAGACAACCAAATCTGATCAGCTAAAACTTTGAGACATCTTTAAAAACCTGCTCATTCCATGGGATAGAGTTAATTAGAATAAATCAGTAAGTCTAGCAGGTTAGCCAGCAGTGATACCAACTTTCACGAATGGTCTAGATCCAAAAGAGGTGATGACTGGCCAAGGGGTGGCCCAGGAGTTGGTCCTTAAGGCCATCTGCTGAAAGGTGTGGGCTTTTGTTAGAACCTCAGCCAATCTGAGAGGATGCAAGGCCTAACCCCAGCTCCTGGGTGCCCTGCCCTGGCTGAGCTGTGCTCAAAACATTGATACTTTTCAGTATAAACTGGGCTCCAGCCAGTTGAAACCTGACTGAAACCGAAGGGAATCAGTTCTTTCTGAAAAATATGCAAACAAATGAATACAATACGGAGTTTACAGAATAGTACAATGAACTTCCACATCAAGGTTCTTAATCAGTACGTCTGAACTAGTACAGACACACCCATTGTTTATAACCAGTGACTTGTGTCCTAATAGTGCTAGGTCCTTGGACTCCCCACCCCAGGTGAAGAAGCAGAACATTACCAGTAACTTGCAGGCCTCTCAGCACTCCCCTCCCCCCCTTACACTCCCTCCCCCACACAGGGCTCACTCCCTTCTGTGAGCCAGTGACTCCTGCTCATCTTAACTTGTGCATCAGGCCTGAGCCCTTTCTAATATCCTGCAGTGAAGCAGTAGATCTGTGCTTACCAAGGCTCTAAATGTTTTATGTCTGCCCTGTCTTTATACTATCACCACAACTCTAAGGTATTTGTGCTATTATCCTAATTCTGTAAAGAAAGAAGAAAAGCAAGGCTATCTGTGGTGCTTATCAGGTGGCAGCCACTGTTGCACAGGCTTCACACAACTCCATGGGGCAGGGGCTGTCATAGGCCCATTGTACTGACAGGAAACTGAGGCGTGAAGAGGAAGCCAGAGTTCAGAGCACAGTGTTGAGCCAGAGGCTGCCTGGGTCTAATCCTGCCCCTGTCCTGACTCTCTGTGCCCTGGGACAAGGACTGTGTGACTGTAAGCCCCTGGGTTCACATCTGTACGGTGGAGTGGCTAGTGAGCCGTCAGGAGGGGAGGTGCATATGGCATGGGGCCCGGCCTGAACTACATGTGGGTGTTCTGAGTGTTTGTGATGGTATGAGCCTCCCCACCCTCTGCCTGTCTCCACTTGCTCCCTGCTTTGGTCCCACCTCCACACCACTGCCCAAGTCACCTTTCCCAATCCCAAATCAGACGTGGTGCCCCTTCTGTGTCTCTGACCTGTTTCCCTGTCTGCCCTTGCTCTGCAGAGGGCTGCCATACCACTGCTCCACCTGCACCCCCTCATACAGCTCACATCTTAGAGTCCTGCCTGCACCCAGCACCCACTCCCCTCCTCCTCCGGGAATTCCTCCCTGACCCCCGGCAGAGTTCCCTTGCAGTGAGTTCCTTGGCTAGGATCCCTGGCCCCAGTCAGCCTCAGCACTGGCCCAGCCTTGCCTAACGCACCACCTCCTTCTCCTCCAGGCAATAGAGACATCCAGATGATCAGCTGTGGGGCTGACAAGAGCATCTACTTTCGCAGTGCCCAGCGGGTAGAGTGGGTTGGCCTCCTTGGGGGCTGGGGTGGGAAACTTGTCAGGGGTGTCCTCTGAAGGCCCTGCCTGCCCTGCCAGGCCTCAGATGGACTACACTTTGTCCGTACCCACCATGTGGCAGAGAAGACCACCTTGTATGACATGGACATTGACATCACCCAAAAGTACGTGGCTGTGGCCTGCCAGGACCGCAATGTGAGGTGAGGGGCTGCCCCGGGCTCTTAGCCTAGCTGGTTTCTGAGTGGGGCCTGTGTGAGACTGAGCCGGTTCTGTCTGCTCATAAGCTGCCTGCTCTCTTCCCCTCCTCATCTGGTCCCTAAGGAGCTGGGTTGCGTAGAGGGACCCACGAGTGGGTAGAGGGACCCACGAGTGTTTCTTAGGAACTGGGCTCATCCAGACCCAGCCTCCAGGTCAGCAGAGGGTTCTTGCTGGCTCTTCAGAAGCCATGTGTGGGGTGACTAGGAGGTGCTGATGTGATTCATAAATTCATTCATTCACCTACATTCCCTGAACACCTGTCTGGGAGGGATAGTGCGGGAGACACAGCAGTGAGCAGGGCAGCCCCAGGCCCTGCCTTCATGGAGCTCGCAGTCCAAGGCAGGAGAGGCAGACAGCTCACTAGACAGTGACAGTAGGGAGTGGTCAGGGCTAGGAAAGCCCAGTGGATTTGGGGGCTCCTGGAGAGACCCTTGATCCTAGCTAGGGATCAAGCAGGGCTTGATGGAAGGAACATCTGAACTGAGACTGGGAAGGATATGGAGTGAGCCAGGGGAGGGGAGAGAGGGTGTGCAGAGGGGAGAGCATGTGCAAAAAGGTTCTCCACCTCTTTCATCTGCTCATTCAGATTGAGTGCCAGGCATTCCACTTGCTCTGTAGTGAAGAAGACAAATGTTAACAGACATTAACTCAGTGGATAACCCAATACATAACTTCCCTGACCTCAGCCTGAGAGGACATCTCATTCTCTGAGATGGTATTTCAGTCCAGGCATTGGATGGGAGATAAGAGGTGGCAAGGGGCCTCCAGGAGAGAGGAAGATGGTGGGTAAGGCTGGAACCAGAATGCAAGAGGGGGCAAGTGGGCAGGGCCACCGTTGGCCACATTATGCCCCCACTTCCCCAGAGTCTACAACACCGTGAATGGGAAGCAGAAGAAGTGCTACAAGGGCTCCCAGGGTGACGAGGGGTCCCTGCTAAAGGTGAGTAGCTGCGGCCCCTGGCGTGAAAACCACACACATTCCCCCTCATGGGCCACCTGAGACATGTGTCATCCTGGGTACCTGATCAAAGGACCATAGGCTGGCCAGCACCCACTCCGGCCTAGCTGGCCAGGGTTGCCTGGGAACTGGGGCTGTCACAGACTATTTTACCTTTATTTACTGAGCCCTTTCCCCAAGCAGGGACAGGTAAGTGGTTTCTGTTTTGAGTGGCCACAGTGTGGTGGGAACAAAGATCTGGGCTCCCTCATCAGGCTTGCTCCCTGCTGGGGGGACCTTCTCAGAGCCTCTGGAGTAAGAGGGGTTGTTTAGAGTTCATGCTTTAAGGTCATAGTTGGCAGCTCTGCCTCAGACTATGACCTGGACTGGAGTTTTCTCCTCTGGAGCCTGTCTCATCGCCTGTAAAATGCAGCTAGAAAGAGCCCCTATCATAAGGTTATTTTCTGGAAGAAATCAGTTCACACATGTAGAGTGCTTAGCGCAGAGCCTAGGTGCTAATTTTTTCACCCGTGAAATGGGGTCAGGAGTTCCTATCCTAAGCAGGGTGTGTGTCCTGAGGGCACCCGGGATGAGTCAGCTTGCCAGACATCTGGCACAAGAGGGTCCTCTGTCAGCGGAGGCTGTGACGTTTGACCCAGGCCTTGCCATAGGGAAGAAGCAGGCAGCCCAACTGTCCTGTGGGTCCTCTTCTCGGCAGGTCCACGTGGACCCCTCTGGCACCTTCCTGGCCACCAGCTGCTCTGACAAAAGCATCTCAGTGATTGACTTTTACTCGGGCGAGTGCATCGCCAAGATGTTCGGCCATTCAGGTGGGTGTGCCTCCCTACATGGGACACCTCCCCACGCGCCCCACATAGTCTTGTGACTCAGAAGCCACATGGGCCTTCTCTGCTCTGCTTTCAGAAATCATTACTGGCATGAAGTTCACCTACGACTGCCGTCACTTGATCACAGTATCGGGAGACAGGTGGGAAAGGCCTCGAGCTTGGCCCTGGCTGGCATTCCCCTGGGAGTGGGCAGGACCTGCGCCGTGGGGAGTGCAGGGCTCACACAGCGGGAGCCCCGTGCTCCCAGCCTGCCTGTGCAGAGTTCCGCTGAGGGTTCCAGCTTACTGCTCTCTCCTTTGACAGTATGTACCTTGATGTCACACCCAGCCCTGAGTTCAAATCCCAGATCTGCCACTTAATTTACTCGTGACCTTGAGCAGGTCATTTCCCATCTTAAGCCTCACTTTGCTCCACCAACTACCTCGAAAAATTGTGCAGTGAGAATCAAATGTGATACAATAGCTAAAACGTGAAAGGAGCCTAAGTGTCCATCAACGGACGAATGGACAAGAAGATGTGGTTTATCTATACGATGGAACACTACATGGCAATGAGAAAGAATGAAATCTGGCCATGTGTAGCAACATGGATGGACCTTGAGGGTGTTATGCTGAGAGAAATAAGACAGGCAGAGAAAGACAAATAACATATGTTTGCACGTAAAGGAGGATTAGGAGGAACTTGACGGAGGAACAAGGGGGAGAAGAAGGGGGGAAATGGTGGGGGAAAGGGAGAGAGGCAAACCATGAGAGACTCTTGAATGCTGAGAACAAACTGAGGACTGATGGGTGGGGGGGGGAGGGGGGATGGGCATGGAGGAGGACACTTGGGATGAGCACTGGGTGTTATGTGGAAACTAATTTGACAATAAACTATTTGTAAAAAAAAACAAATGTGATATAAACTCCTTAGCTTGTGGTTGGTGGCCAAGGAAGTCCCCTTTGTCACTCCCTTTGGTTTATTACAGTCCTCCAGCCCCCTTCCTTGAGTCTTGAGGTCTTCAGAGCAGATCCTGGTTTGCTGGGATGGTCTGGACCCCGCTCAGGGGGTAGACCTGCATGGTTTGGAGACCCTGCACTAAGCCAATGGGGTGTGGTTTCTGGAAGGGACCCAGGAATGGGGTCTTGGGTATAATGACCTAGGTGGCTCCAGGGTCAGATGGCTTCTGTATTCACTGTTCCCTCTCCTTCCACATCTCTCTTAGGCCTCTGCAGCTGTGTGTTCATCTGGCACCTGGGCCCAGAGATCACTAACTGTATGAAGCAGCACTTACTGGAGATCAACCACCGGGAGCAGCAGCAGCAGAACATGAGGGATGGGAAGTGGAGAAGCCAGCCCAGGTCCTGGCAGCGATCCAGCCGCCCCCACTTGTCTGTCTACTAGAGGAATGTCTTTCTGCCCTGGGCCCCATGAGGAGTGAGGCTGAAGACACAGCCATGGCCAGCACAGCCGTAGGCCCTGCCCTTTCTGCACCTGTGGTCTAGCTGGGGAGACAGACTTTGAATAGAAATTGATGTTAGTACATATGAGGAGGGCTTGAAATGGAAGAGTGGAGTGCCTGGAGAGCCTGTGAGCACTGGAAGTGGGGGAAGCTTGGGGGACTTTGGGGACGAGAGGAGGCAGAGGAGGCCCCTGACCCAGTGTACAGTAGGGAGGGACTTAGTCGGGGAAGGCTCCAGTGGAATTGAAGTGTCTTCTTATTCCTTAAAGCCTTCATGTTGCAAGACCAGTTTTATTTGGAGTGAATTCATGTTCTAACTTTTGTTTAGGGGTTTTAGTTTGGAGGTCTCGGTTGAGTGGCAGATTTTGAGGTTTATCCTCTCTACTGCCTCTAGAGCTGTCCTTGTCTTTCTCTGTCTTGAGGCTTTGCCATTGCCTCCCATAGGGACCAGGCCTTAACATGAACTTCCTGTTCTGCAGTGGTATTGGAGGTATTGCAGACCTAGGTACCAAGCGAATGAGCAGTTCCCTTTGGCTCCTGGTTTTGAGGCTTACACCCTGTCCTGGGTCCCTTCCGGTGCCTACCTCATGTCATATGTGTTTCAGGCTCCTGTACTCCAAAGGAGACGAAACCTCATTGCTACCCCCCTCCCCCCACATACACACATCCCAGAAGAGAACCCAGCAGCTTAGTACTCAAGCCCCACTATCTGCTTTGCTCTCCGTCCCATCACTGTGGCCCTGAGTTTGTCTTACTTTTTGAGCCCAGCCTATGTTATATCTCATTTATTGTGGTGATGTTTCCAGCAGAGTGGGTGCGGCAGGTGAGACCTTCCAGGACCATCTTAACTAGAAGTCAGTAATGAGTTCATATGGAAGCTAGCACAGGGCCCAGCCCGAGGCAGATCCCTGTCCCTCCCACCACCACCCCCCCTTTTACCTATTTCTCCCCTTGCCGCCCTCATTCCTGACTTCAGGCAGGAGACCTATGCATCTGTGCCCAGCGAGATTTGCTCCTTAAGCCCCGGAGAGCAGACAGAGGATGAGCTGGAGGAAGAGTGTGAACCTGAAGAGCTGCTGAAGACACCATCCAAAGAGAGCTTGGACCCAGGTTTGGAAAGGGGCCCTATTTTGAACTTGCAGTGCAGGGATCATTGCTGGGTTTCGCCCACTGCTTGGTTTTCAGGGCCTGGAGGTGAAGGTCAATGATCCTATTAGTCAATACTCTCATGGTGTAATAGCGACCAGACTCTCATTGCCTTCAGCTGGGAAGATAACTGGTTCACAGACTTGAAAATTAGAGTATTGGCTTCGGGCAGCAGCTGGATCCCAATAGTCAGGTGATGTTAAAAAGAGATTTTTCTCATCTTTTGGCTCTGCTTTTCTGTGTTGGCTTTGCCCTCAGGCACACTCTGCCTCACCTGAGGGCAAAGATTCCCTCAGTAGCTGTAGGTGATAAAACTCTATAGAGAAGAGAGCATCTCTTTCCCAGTAGCTGAAGCAAAATCCCGGGTCATGAGTCATATTTCTGGTGTGAGTCATGGTGCCCTTCTGAGCCGGTTGCTGTGATTGGCCAGGCCTGAGTCATGTGGTCTTCCCTGAGAGCTGAGGCTTGACTCAGCTCCACTGGAACCACCAGACCAAAGAGGGTGGGGGGGTGGGGGCATAGGGGTGTTCCAGGGGAAAAACGGTGCTCTTGACCAAAGGACATCAGATTCTGTTGTTCAGGCAAAAGGAGAATTGTAGCTCAGTGACTACATAGCAGGCTGGTCTTTCTCTAGATTTCTGCCCTTCCAGATATCACTTTGGCTCAGACCCTCATGGTTGCAAGATGGCTGCTTAAGTTGCATCACAGGCCTTGTTGCGTATGGCAGCCTCCTCCAATCTCCTTTGGAGAAGAAACTTGCCCAGAAGCCCCTGGGAGGCTTCTCTCAGGTCACATTGGCCATGGTAGCTCCAGCTAAGAGAGACTGGGTGCTTTCAGTGTGGGGCCGGGGCCTCTGCCAGCAGGGGAGAGCAGGCAGCGGCAGACTAGACAGCTGACTGGTGGGCAACAGTAATGTAAGCATTCAGCCTTGGAAAAAAGTCAGAGTAAGTGAATTTTCTTTGTTGCCACCCTCACATCCCAATCCCATATCCTCTCCAGGGTGGCCATTTTTTCTGGTTTGGTATGAATTCTTATAGGCTCTTCCTGAACGTTAATGTACGCAGCCATCAGAACACGTCATGTTTATGGACATAAATTGTATTCTACTGCAGACACCATTCCGTATCTTTTCCCCTCTCAAAATTATTGTATCAACCTGTATGTTGGTGGACACAAAACAGGCCTCACTGTTTTAAACAGCAGGATAGTAGGATATTTTAAGGTATTCGCCTCTGGATGGACGTTTAGGGTTTAGACTGCACGCCATTGCGAGTGATGCCATTCTGACGGCTCCAAGGCCTACTGCTTGGGCATGTGTGGGAATGCTTCTCTAGGACAGAGGCAAGGCTGGCACTGCTGGGCCCTGGAGGTAGTGCATTTTTTATTTTAAAAGAGAACCCCAAAGGCCCTTCAAATCCAGCAGTCAGTATTAAGCCCTTCATTCTCCCACACTTTTGCCAATACTTGATACTATGAAGCTTTTTAGTTTGAGTTAGTCGTGGGTAAAACATTATATCCCATTATGTAAATTTGCATTTTTCTGACCGTTAAATTTGGGCATCTTTTGGTATGTCTGTGTTTCTTATAATGTGTCCTTAGAGAATTGTCTGTTTTTATGTATGTTGCCTGTTTGTTTGTTGGGTTATTTATTCTCTTTTCATGGATTCCATGTCTCTCTCCAGACCCTCGGTGTCTGCTGACCAATGGCAAGCTGCCACTCTGGGCAAAGCGGCTGGTGAGTCTGCCCGGAGACTGGGATGCCTGGGGCTGACAAAGTAGGGGCGCCCTCCTTCGTGCTCTTCTTTCTTCTGGGAGACATTTCCCTTTCTGGGCCTCTTCTCTCTCTGGAGAACCCTATCATCCCTCCAGCCTCGGCTTAGGCAGCCCTTCATTCCTGTAACATACATAGTGAGCACCTACCCTGTGCCAGGCTTGCTCTGAGCGTTAGGTACAGCAGTGAGCAAGCAGACAACATGTCTGCCTGCATGTGCTCATTTTCTAGTGTGGAAGATGGACAGTATCCACATTAAACAGGGAAGTTATATAGTATTTTGGGAGCTGATAAGTCCTATGGAAGGAGAAAAGAGAGAATCTCAGGAAAATAACAAGTGTTGGGGGAAAGGCACAATAATTTTAGCATAAAGAGAAAAGGCCTCACTCAGAAGATGCTATTTGAACAGAGTGAAGCAAGGGAGAAATGCAGATCCTGGGAAAGAATGTTCCAGGCAGAGAGAACAGTATGCAGGACAAAGGCCATGAGGCAGGATTGTGCTTCGCATGTTCAAGGAAGTATAGGGAGGCCCAGCTGCCTGGGTTGAGGGTGAATGGAGGGCAGTGTGGGGAGGGCCTGAGAGAGATAATGGGGGCCAGATGGTGTGATGCTGTGTGGGCTGCGGTGCGATCCCTAAATACTCTTTATTGTCCTCCCCGATTATCCCCCGCAACCCCCCCCCCCCCCCCCCCCCCCCCCCCCCCCCGCCCAGGCGCTGAGTGAGATGGAGACAAGGGAGGGCTCTGACCTAGTGCAGATGTGAACCTGAGGGCCAACCAGGGGACCAGGGAGGAGGCTGTTGGGATAATCCAGACAGGGGAGGTTGGAGACTGGACCAGGGGGAAGAAACAGTTGGATTCTAGATGGATATTGAAGGCAGAATCAAATGACTGGGTGTGAGAGAAAGAAAGGGACCAAAGTGATTGAATGACTGATTGTTTCCTGGGGGGAGGGGCAGGCTAGGAGCTGGTAGGTTAGAACCAGGCAGCAGAATCCTACACTCTAGGTTGGACGGTTTATTTCAGGAATAATGTCAGTCCTCAGATGACAGCTTGTTAGCTCCTCTGGGAAGTCCTCCCTGCCTACCCCTCCGCTGCAGACCAGGTATCTCAAGGCCCCAGGCTTCCCCTTATCAGTGAATATTACAAGTGGAATTATATTCAACAAATAGCACACTTATTCTCTACAGGCTCTCAGTCTTTTATACGTATTATCTCATTTAGTCCCCGTTGAGGTATAGAAGCTCTTCATCTCACTGTTTCACAGATGGAGAAACTGAGGCCCAGAGGTTAAGTAACTTATCCAGGGTTACACAGCTAGGAATTAGAGGACATGGGCAGGCTGGCCCCAGAGCCTGAGTTCTCAAACACCCACCCTCCACTGTCTCTCAAGCTATAATCTTGTTCGGAGGCAGTGCTGGGCATGACTAGGGTGGGAGAAATGGCCACATTGTGGATGTGTTCAGATGGCAGAGCTGACAGAATTTGCTGAGGAAATACAATGTTGTGGGGGCCCCTGGGTGGCTCAGTCGGTTAAGTGTCCAGCTCTTGATTTCAGCTTAGGTCATGATCTCGTGGTTCATGGCTTCGAGCCCCACTTCAGACTCTGTGCTGACAGCTAGCTCAGAGCCTGGAGCCTGCTTCAGATTCTGTGTCTCCCTCTCTCTGTCCCTCCCTGCTCGTGCTCTGTGTCTCTCTCTCAAAAATAAAAATAAAACATAAAAAAAAAAGCGAAGAGACTGGATGGGGTCCTTGCAGTGTCCCTGGCTCCCATTGGAGTTGGTGCACTCTTGGCTAGCTGCCTGACCATCCCCTGTCACCCTCAGCTAGGAGACGACGATGTGGCAGATGGCTCAGCCTTCCATGCCAAGCGCAGCTACAAACCACATGGCCGCTGGGCGGAGCGGGCTGACCAGGAGCCCCTCAAGACCATCCTGGATGCCCGGGACCTGGATTGCTACTTTACCCCCATGAAGCCTGAGAGCCTAGAGGACTCTATTCTGGATACAGTGGAGCCCCAGAGCCTGGTGGGCCTGCTGAGTGAGGTACAGACTGCCACAGCCCGGCCCACAGGCCCTGCACCATGTCTGCCCACCCAGGGCTTGGGGCCTCAGCATTCACATTTTGAAAATAAGGCTGAATATCCCTCTCTAGGGGTGCGAGATGATTACATGACCTGGTGGAAGGCAAGAGGGTGAAGCCCTGGGCCTGGTGCAAATGAGACTTTCCAGGGCAGACCAGGAGTCTGGGAGGTGGGTCACTTAGGGGTTAATAGCTTGGGCCCAAGAGCAGGCTTGTGCCTAGCTGGGGAGCATTTGAGCAGGTAGAGGCCTGGCCCTACCCCTTCGTGGCTGTGTGATAACTTGCCTCAAGCCTTGCTTATCTGGGCTTCTGCTTTCAAAAAAGAAATGGTCGTTACAAAAAGATAACTGGGGTACCTGGCTGGCTCAGTCAGTAGAGCTTGCGCTGTTAATCTTGGGGTTGTGAGTGTAGAGATTACTCTACACTGGGTGTAGAGATTACTTAAAAATAAAACCTTAAAAAAAAAAAAAAAAGACTGATAAAAAAAATGGTCATAAAAAGAAAGCTCTCAGGGGCGCCTGGGTGGCTTAGTCGGTTAAGCGTCCGACTTTCGCTTAGGTCATGATCTCGCAGTTCGTGGGTTCGGGCCCCGCGTCGGGCTCTGTGCTGACTGCCAGCTCAGAGCCTGGAGCCTGTTTCAGTCTGTGAATCCCCCTCTCTCTCTGACCCTCCCCTGCTCACGCTCTCTCTCTCTCTCTCTCTCTCCTAGAAATAAATAAAACATTAAAAAAAAAAAAAAAGAAAGAAAGCTCTCAGAAGGCTCTGATAGGAATCCAGTGCTAAGAATAGGGCCTGGGCCCTCAGAAGTGCTTGAAGCAACTTCAGCTCTTGTTCTCTTATCTTCCAAACAAAATTACTTTTTATTCTGTTGTATAAACTTTCTTTTCTGTTGTGGCACCATACACATACAGTTGTGAGTACAGATTGTAGGTATGAAAACCCAGGCCAAAATGCAGCGTATTTTCTACCTCCTAGAAGATCCCCCCTTGTGCCCCTCCTGATCAGTAACCCCCCACCTCACCCCAGACAACCAGCCTTCTGACCTCTCACCAAGGATTAGTTTGCCTGTTCTTGAACTCCATATAGAGAGAGTGTTAGAGGGTTGGAGCCATATCGATTCCTTAACTGTAAAGGGGCTGATGATCATACAGGAGGAGCATAGGATGAACTCAAGGTGAGCACAGAACTCGGCCCAGGCCCTGGCTCACAATCAGCATCCGGCAGTGGGGGCTGCCATCATGACCGACATCTTTGCTATTCTAGCTGGTGTTGGCCGAACACCCGTGGCTGCTTGCAATGGCTGTGCTCTCTTCACCCCGCAGTCGGAGAGTACCCAGGAGGATGGCTGTGGGCATCCCTCCTTCCTGCCCCTACAGAGGGAGTCCTCTGAGGACAGCGAGCTCATCGTCTACTCCCTGGAGGCGGAGGTGACAGTCACAGGGACAGACAGGTGAGTGTCCTTTGCACCAGGGGAAGCCTTATAGGCCGACCAGGTGGCAGGCATGCCCTGGAGGAACTGCGCCCTGCCCTCCCAGTGGGCCTGTGGACAGAGCTGTAAGGTCCGGGGGGCACAGGAGCCTGGCCCTGCAGCCTCAGCTTCCCTGGGTCCATGCAGAGGTGCAGGGAGGCTTTGCAGAGAAGAGGGGAAGAGGCGGTGCTCCCAGTGGAAGCAGGGCGCAGATGCGTAGGGGTTCGAGGTGGGCCGCCGTCTACTAACTAGTGTGTGTTCACTCGTTTGCCGCAGTGAGTACTGCACGAAGAGCCCCGAGCGGGGGCTGGGGGAGCAGCAAGGAGACTCCTACCTCAGGGTCTCCTCCGTCGGCTCCAAGGATCAGAGCCCACCTGAGGGTGAGTGGGGGCCGGCAGAGACCCTGCAGTAGTCTGTCTGTCCGGCCAGGCCCCTTTCTGGGTATCTGTGGTGACCTTGACTCAGTCTCCCTGAAGCTCAGTGTCTGTCACAGAGACAGACATTGTCCCTGCTGGTACCTGAGGATTCTGGAACCCAGCTGCTCGCTGGCAGGAGCCCAGCTCTACCCCTTCCTCAAAGTGTAAATTTGCTGGTCCTTACAAATAGAGGGCGGGTATTATCACCCCCATCGCTCAAATGGGAAAACTGAAGCCCTGGGAGCCTGAGCCACTCACCTGACTCACCCAGCATGGGCCTGGCTTTGGGCTCCTGACTCCTGCTCTGCTTCTCCAGACTCAGGGGAGTCAGAGGCCGACTTGGAGTGCAGCTTTGCCACCATCCATTCCTCCCCTCCACGGCCAGCCTCAGACCCTCGGTTTGACATGATGCTGCCCCCCACACCGGGTAAGCAGGGGCCAGTTGTGGGGTGGACAGCGCATGGGCCTCACTCGGGGACAGTCCTGATACATAACCACTCTCTCCACATCAGCCTGCACTTGGTGCCCACTAAGCATCAGTGTCCTTGTCCAGGAGACAGAGCCATTAGCCTCTCCTTGACCTAGTAGCAGCAGGGTGTATGACGGGCGAGTCCAGCTTTCTCCATTGTTAAGTGTCTGGCGTCTTTGTCTGGGCGTCTGCCGTGACTCATGGTGTTGACAGTTCTCTCCTGCCCGCCCCCTCGCCTCCCCTTCGCCTCTCCCCAGGATGCCCAGGGACCGCAGAAGAGCTGTCCCAGCCCGAGGTGCCAGGCATAGCCAACAGCTCCCTGCCCCAGACCCCTGAGCAGGAGAAGTTCCTCCGCCAGCACTTCGAGACGCTCACAGATGCTCACCCTGAGGGTAGGGCGGTGCCTGGGTGGCTGTCCAGCACTGGGCACAGCGTGGGTGTCATGGGCGGGGCCTCCACAGCTGGTGAGGGGGCAGAAGGGCTTGCATTTTATCTTCAAGACAGAACCGCGCAGGCTCTTCTCCCAGCTGCATTTGCTCCCGAGGCGTGTGTGGTCAACTGAAGGCATTTCTGAGGGTCTACCTGCTGGTCTGCGGGTCTTTCTGGGCCCGGGGCTGGGTAGCTGGAGGGATTCTGAGGGCTCCCCTGGCATCTTCCCCTAGAGCTCTTCCATGGATCCCTGAGAGACTTGGAGGCCTCTGAGACTGAGGACTTCTTTAATCCTCGGCTAAGCATCTCAGCCCAGTTCCTCTCCCGCCTCCAGAAGACATCCAGGTAGGAGCTGGTGAACCCCCACCCCACCTTCAGCTCTATCCCTCACGGTGGGTCCGTGTCCCCTGAAGGACCCCCAGGACAGCCACAACCACCTGGTCTCTTTCCCACAGGTTCACCCACACCTTCCCTCCCCGGCTGCCCCAGCACCTTGTGAAGTCCCCAGAGGTCAAACTCACAGACCGCCAGCCCAGAGCAGAGCCCCTGAGAGCAGGGGCTGGCTACACCTCCCCAGGCAGGACCGACGTGAGTACTGGGGTCCCTTCCCCAGGGCTTGGGGCTGGGAGTCCGGAGGCCCTTGTCCTCCCCTCATGGCTGTGCTTGCAGGTCCTCCCTGAGAAAAAGCCTGAGGAGCCCCATGAGACCCTAGAGGCCTGGTGCCTACTGAGTGAGTGCCCCTATTTACAGATAAACAAGCCTGGATGCCCCTCTGAACCACAGGGCAGCGGGGATGGGCACGGTCTACTCAGACCCTGAAGCAACTTGGGGTGGGCCCCTGTATATCAGCTCTACAGGAGGGTGTGAGAGTGAGCCAGCTGCTTCCTTTTCAGCCCCCTGCCTCACAGGCCTGGCGCCCTGTGCCCCCTCCTCCTCAGTGCTGCCCACTGACGGGAAGCCTCCGACGCCCACAGCCCTGCCTACTCCAGGCCTGGCTCAGGGTGTCCACAGTCCCTCCATCTGCTCCTACATGGAGGCCACTGCCAGCTCTTGTGCCAAGATGTCACAACGCATCTCCCTCGAGGACAGTGAGGACCCTGTGCTGGCTGAGCTGGCCAGGCCCCTCCGCAGGCCCTCATCCGTTGGGGAGCTGGCGTCCCTGGGCCAGGAGCCCCAGGCCATCCCCACCACAGCAGCACTCAGTTCTAACAGCGAGGGCCGAGAACCTGTCCTGCCCTCCTGGGGCAACCATGAGGCCCGGGCCAGCCTGAAGCTGACCCTGTCAAGCATCTGTGACAGGCTCTTGCTACCCCCTACCCCGATGGAACCTGTTCCCACCCAGCCCGGTGTCACCGTCACGACAGCCACCTTCTCAGCCTCTAGCCCCGTGGATGCGAGTACCCTGAGGCTCCACAATCCCACCTTTCTCCCAAGGCTCCTGGCCTCTGAGCCCCTCAACACCCCTGCCAACCACAATAGCACCCCACTTCCAGAGGCCAGGCCTGGGGTCCCTGGCAGCATCACCTCCCTCCTGGCGCCGACCCCTGGTAAGTACCACTTTTGGGACAAGGGATTGTCCCCCAAGCTCAGCCCATGTACCAGGTGGCTTAGCTCCAAAGGTGGGCACCAGACCCAGCCACAGGGCTGTGCCATTCATTCATTTACTTAAATATTTAGTGAGCACTTCATATGTGTTGGGCTTTGTTCTAGACCCTGGGCACATGGGGCCTGGTGGTCAGCAAGACTGTGAAGAATTGACACGTTAACTGGGCAGACTAAATGTAAAAGAAAATGTTAAGTGTATCACAAAGTGGTGTGTGCTAAGGACAGAAATAAGGGAAAGGGTTGGGGGGGGGGCACGATGCAGGCAGTGGTTATGTTTAAAGCAGGATAATGAGAAAAGGCTTCAAGGAGAGGGGGGCATTTGAGCAGAGTCCTGCAGGAGGGGAGGGAAGGGAGCCTGAGGGACTGAGGGAGGTGTTCCAGGCAGAGGGACAAGAATTGGGATCAGCCCAGCCACCCCAGCCTCTCAGACCAACTGGAAAGAGAAGATGTCTGTCTCCTCTACCCCCAGATGCACTCAGTCTGGCCCAGGGCAACCTTGGACACTGGGAGGAGTCTGGGGTGCCAGCCAGGGTCCTACCCTCAGCTCCCCTTGAACTGAGCACTGTGAGCACCATTGTGCACAGACTGCAGACTGCCTTCCGGGAAGCCCTGGACCTTTACAACGTGGTGAGCCAAGACCCAGGGTCAGGGGAGAAGGCGCGGTGAGGGGGCCGGGGTGTGGACTGCCTGGGCTTGGGGCTTGAGAACCCCTGACAAGGTTGGTACCCCTTGCAGATGGTCTCCAGTGACCAGGTGAGCACGGAGCAGCAGCAAGCACGGACTGAGCTGGCCTCCACCTTTCTTTGGATCCATAGCCAGTTAGACGCCAATGACTGGCTGGTTGGAACTGACATGGCCCAGGCCCAGCCCAGCCCACGGTCCCCCTCCCCACCTACATTGTGCCCCCTGGCCAGCCCAGACTTGCATGCCCTGCTGGAACACTACTCAGAGCTGCTGGTGCAGGCCGTGCGGAGGAAGGCACGGGGGGACTGAGGCTCAGGAGCCCCCTCTCCACTACAGCCCTGCTGCTTCTGAAGAAATAGGTATTTTAAGCAAATAAACTGACAGTTTAGAGGAACGGTTCCTGGTGTGTCTCTGGGTGCATCCACAATGCCCCCTTCAGGTGGATGTGGGGAAAGAGGGCAGGCTGGAAACCAGCCAGGGAACATGGGCGGATAAACTTTGAAAGGGATGAAATTTGTTTCTTTTGGTTTTGTTTTGTTTTTTTCTTGAATAGTTTGTTGTCAAGTTGGTTTCTGTATAACACCCATTGCTCATCCCAATAAGTGCCCTCCTCCATGCCCATCACCCCCCTTCCCCTCTCCCCCACCCCCATCAGCCCTCAGTTTGTTCCCAGCATGCAGAAGTCTCATGGTTTGCCTCCCTCTCCCCAACTATTTTTCCCCTTCTTCTCCCCCATGGTCCTCTGTTAAGTTCCTCCTAATCCTCCTATACGTGCAAACATATGGTATATGTCCTTCTCAGCCTGACTTAATTCACTCAGCATAACACCCTCAAGATCCATCCATGTTGCTACACATGGCCAGATTTCATTATTTCTCATTGCCATGTAGTATTCCATTGTATAAATATACCCCATCTTCTTGATCCATTTGTCCGTTGATGGACACAGGCTCTTTCCATGTTTTAGCTATTGTTGAGAGTGCTGCTATGAACATTGGGGTACATGTGCCCCTATGTATCAGCACTTCTGTGGAAGGGATGAAATTTGTACGTAGCAGATGTTGGCCACCCAGCATCGTAGCCTCATCTGCTCTTCCTCTTCCTGTCTCACCTGGGGAACATCAGCCCCAGTGCCCTCCCTGCCTTATTCCAGGACTCCATCAATAGGACCAACATTCCCAAGAAATTTGGGAACTGCAATAATGATGATCCCAGGACCTGGGTCCATATTGCCTCCCTAGCCCGCTGAGCTGCTGTGGGGTCTGTTGTGCTTGCCCAGTGAGGCCCAGCTATTCCCCACGGAGCCACCAGCCTTTCCTCCCTGCCCCCTACTGGTACACAGGAACCCACTGGAGCCGCTGCCATCACTGTGTGCCAGACCATGGTTCCTGGTACACACACTGCCATACCACTGGTTCATGGCCCTTAGGCCAAGCCCAGCTGGATCCCGTGAGGTCCAGGCTTTTGTCCCCAACTGCAGCAGGAGAAATTGAACAGCAGGCTCACTCACTGGACACCAGGACAGCATGGCCAGGCCATCTAGCAGCAGGGACAAGTAGTTCTTTCCCCAGCAGGAGGACTGAATCCAGGCTCATCCCATGAGCTCCCAGCTCTGGTACCAGCCTCCCCAAGAAGCGGGCATCTAGCCATGTGGCATGTCTGCCAAGAAGGCCACTCTTGTGACCACAAAATCCCCCGCTGTCCCAACTCTATAAAAAGGAAGCCAGCAGGGGCAGGGCCCTCTAAAGCACAGCCCCACCATGTGGCTTATGTGGCCTGAACCACCACTTACCTGAGTTCCTCTCTGCTCTGTCTGGTGGTCATGGCCCACTAGAAACAAGCTCAGAGAGAGCCACTCTTGCCCAGGATTTCAGAGCTGAGACTCCAACCTAGGCTTCCCTAGTGGCAAGGTGTCCATCATAAGGACATGGCCCTGTACTGTCTCCATAAACACTGACACACATCAGAACCAACGGTGCAATTCAAAAAAACGCCTGCTGATGGGGCACCTGAGTGGCTTAGTCGGTTAAGCGTCCGACTTTCGCTTAGGTCATGATCTCGCGGTTCGTGGGTTCCAGCCCCGCGTCCGGCTCTGTGCTGACTGCCAGCTCAGAGCCTGGAGCCTGCTTCAGTCTGTGACTCCCTCTCTCTCTGACTCTCCCCTGCTCACGCTGTGTCTCTCTCTCTCTCTCCTAGAAATAAATAAAACATTAAAAATTTTTTAAAAAACAAAAAAAGCCTGCCGGGTACCTGTATCTGTCCTACCTGCAAGGGGTAGTGTGAGGAGCAAGACAAGACAAGCAAAGCATTTGCCCTCACAGCATTAGCCTTTTCGAGAGAAAAACCAGAATTAAAACGATGTCACCATGCTGGCTGATGGGTCAGGGAAGGCTTTTCTGAGGTGACATTTGAGCTGAGGCTTGAGAGAAAGCACAGGTCGTGTGGGCATCTTGGGAAGGTATCCAGGCCGACAAAACAGCCAATGCAAATGCCCCATGGGGGGATGAAGTGTATGTGGAAGGAGTGGAGTGAGCCAAGAGAGGAGATGGAGGAAGAACGGGGTTCCAAGGGGCAGGCTCTTGTTGTTTCTCGACATTTAAATCCAAGAAATATTCACAATACAATTTCCCCCCTTAAATAAGATGGCTGAGCTTGGTATTTGAGGAGATGTCCGGTGTTATTTATTTCTCAAAGCTCCCTCTCCCTGGGGAGAGGGAGGGAGGCAAACCATGAGAGACTCCTGAATGCTGAGAACAAACTGAGGACTGATGGGAGTGGGGGGAAGCGAGGGGAGGTGATGGGCATGGAGGAGGGCACTTGTGGGGATGGATGAGCACTGGGTGTTAAATGGAAACCAACTTGACAATAAACTATTTAAAAAAAGAAAAAAAAAGCTCCCTCTCCCTGCCCCAGGGAGCCCAAGAGGTCCAGGACTCAGGTGGGCTGCACCTCTGACAGGGGGCTCCCTGACCTGCCCAGCCTCACAGGTTACAGGCCACTGGGGACCCACCGTCCTTGCCCCTGCCTCGCTTGGTCACGGTCACCTAAGATCCCTGATGCAAGGCTTGGCATCCAGGCCCCCAGACATCCAGAGGACTGTCTTGAGCCTTGTCCCTCATGGAATGTACCCCTCCTACCCTGTATCGTAATTAATAAGCCTTCAACTCCCAAGTAGCAAACTGCCAGCTTATGGGGTCCCGAACTGCAGGGACATTTGTTACTCTTGATTATGTTCCTGCTCCATTACCCCCTGAGTCTTGAGTTGCACCCTCCAGCTTAGGCCCTCGTAGCTGCAACATGGCTGCCGTGCCAGCGCTCAGCAGTAGACCTACCCAGCTAGGAACAAAGGCGTGGAGGAAGGCAGCCGCCAGGCCAGCGTAGTGAGAACAGTGCCAAGCCTTCCTAGACACCTCCCCTTTCAGAGCGATTGCAGGCAAGAGGCATCGAGGTTGCTTTCATTTGCTTGGACCAGCTCTCTCTCCTGTCCTGGGCATGCAGCTGCTCAAACAAAACTGTGTTCTCTCAGCACAGCAGGAGGGTGGGCCGGAGGGAGGACCCAGTGCGTCTGCCACTCTCCACTTCCTATTCAGCCCTGGAAGGGCCAGACTTTCTCTCCTCGACACGACTGGTGAAGAAACCAGTGCTGATGAATGTGTGTGAGTGTGGTTTGTGGACTGACAGGGTCCCAGGAGGAAAAGGACAGCATGCTCACGTGGAATAGTTCAGGAAGTATAGTGAAGGGATCATTTGCAAAGAAGCGGGCAGGGAACAGGGAAATCCTAGGGCAGGTACAGTACCCTGGGCTGGCACCACAGGTGAGCTGTTCCTCCCACCCTGGCCTTGAGGCACAAGGGAGGCAAGTGGAACCCAGAAGAGTCAATACTGGAGAGAGGGCCGCCCTAGGGGAGCTGTGTCCCTGGCAACTGCATAGGGAGAGAGTTGGAGGAATCCCTTCCCCCATCTGTGGGGCTCCCCATTGTCAAAATCCTACTGGGAGCCAGGGGGGACAGGAGACCAGATGATGCGGCCCACCCAGGCCAGCCTCTAGGGACACAGAGCAGGGAGGAAAGGGGAAGAAAGGGCCAGGAGGCACATAAAGACACCCGGCCCTGGATTTCTTCCCTAATGTTTTCAATAACACAGGAACCAGCTGCCCCGAAACATGCTGTTGGGCATGGAGAACTGGGCACCTGAAAAGAGACAAAATGGCTCCACCTAACCATTTGTCAGCTCATTTCCTGAGTGCAACTTGCACCCTGCACTCCACGCTGGACAGATCCCGGATACCAGGCTGCCAGGCCCGTGCCAGACACAGCAGTCATGGCTGCAGGAAATCCAACAATGGTGAGAAGGAGACACTGAAGACTCCATTTTACAGATGGACTGACTGAAACTCAGATGCCTGCCTAGCCACCTCTCAAGACTTCCTAACCACCCTGTGTGTGTATGCTGCATGCTAAGCATTCTCCCCACATGATCTACATGGATCTTTGACACTGACCAGTCATAGGGAGACACAGTAGTTCTTTCTTCCAGATGAAGAAACTGAGGCTCAGCAAGAAGTGGCTTGTTTGGGTCCTGCAGAGAGAAAGTGGCAAAGCTCTGCCTCCCAAGTGAATTAGCAGGACTCGCTCTCAGGGAATGTGAAAAAGCGAAGAAGTAACGCTTCTCTCGCCACCAAGCCTTTGTGTAGACTGTTCCCTCTGCCTGGAACACCCTCCCCTTTCACCTGAAACCTCATCTTCCTTCAGGGCTCACACCCAGGCAGTCATCTCTGAACCTTTAGGCTGGACCAGGAGCCTCTTCTGGGCTCCCGTGGGCCCTCTGAGTTTTCTCTAATGCAGTTTGGATCACTTTGCCTGTGCACTCCGCATCACAGCCTTGGTCGTTCTGGGTTGTCACTGGTGTGTCTCCTCCATGGACTAAGTTCTGTGCTCATTTTTAACATTGAGCCAGGCCTGGCCTATAGCTGGAGCTCAGGATATTGCTGAGTGGATAAATGAGAGAAAGTAACTACAGAGAATATTCAAAATCCTTAACCACTAGTTACGGGGTCAGACAATGATCCGTCTAGAACACTAGGACATAGTGTTAGGGTGGGGTTCTGGGAGCCCCTGGCTGTGTCAGGTGACCCCCTTTGGTTCCTGGACTGTGAGAGAGTGGGGAAGTGGTGTCCCAGGCAATCACAAGGAACTGGACTAAACACACCAACATAATATCTGCTATGCCTGAACAATGTTTCTGGCTCAATGTCGGCTCTGGGCATCTGAGAATCAGAGGTGGAGCGTCCTCTTGGAAGATGCATAGCCCGTATCCTCACGTTGCCCTTACCTACTGGACCCTGCTGTCCCTCCACCCTCTGGAGCGAGCAATCTCAGCCACCCCCTCCCCCGCTTCCTCAGACAGCTGCTGTGATTTGAATAACCAAGCAGGTTGTTGGATGTCCGGTGGTGACTGATTTGCCTGGCAAACACCCTCAGGTCCTTGGCCCGGCTGCTCCTTCTAGAAGACAGCCCCCTCTGGAGTCTCTTTTGTCCCCGCCCCCAACACGCTGGAGCTATCTAGGCTCTAATCTTGCCGTTGCTTGACTTCCTTGGGGGTCCTAGCACTTCGCTGCCCCTGGTGGCTGGAGAGTGCCCTCAGGAGCCTGGTGTAGAAGGGGGAGGAATGGTGGCAGAGGTAACTAGAGCCAGCTAAGTCCCTGGGCTTGTCACAACATTTGCATGGAGAGAATGAAGCTCCTCTATGGCTTCCCCCTCCCTTCTCTCCTCCCTCCTAGTCATCGTGGGGCTGAAGTGTGACTGCAGGTGGAGGAGGCAGTAGTGTGTGGGGGCCATCTCACCACTCCTGAGGTGATGCCCCGTGCCTTCCTGGTCAGGAGTCGGCGTCCGCAGCCACCCAACTGGGGCCACCTGCCTGACCAGTTCCGGGGAGATGCCTATGTCCCAGGTGGGCCCCTCACTGGGCCTGGAGGTGAGGGGTAGGTGAGACACAAAGCATCATCGTCTGGTTTCTCTCCTCAGACTGCAGCAACCAGCGGGGCCCACCAGCACACCAGTCTTCTGGCCTTGGGGACTCTTGGGCAGCGGTGAGTCTGCAGCTGGACCACAAGACCCTGCTCAGTTTCATCCCTCCCTGCTCTCAGCCTCAACAGGACCTGACTGCCTCTTACTCCCTGAGCCCATCTGCTCGTGTCCCCCCAGCCTCAGGACCTTTCCACCTGTTCTCACTGCTGGAAATGGCTTTGCTTTCTCGGTAGAGCTCACTGTTAGGCTTCATCCCAGGCACCTTTTCCCTAGGCCGGCCAGCCACATTTCCTACCCCCAGAGATCTCTCTGTCCAGTGGGAGAAGAACAAGATTCAAGCCAAGTGGATGGTGATTTGCTTTATGTCAGGATCAGACAAGGGGACAGGAGCAGGGGATGGGGGAAGACTGGGGACTCTCAGAAGGGATATGCAGCTTTGCATGCCCTGGAAGTAGGAAAACACTAGCCAGAATATAGAGGTGACAGGTTATTTCAATATTTATTGAAAGCCAGGAACTGGTTTAGGCAATTGCTATTTAGCAGGAATAAGACAAAAATTATTTCCTTCCTGGAGCTTATAATCTGTTGGGGGCTGGACATTAGAAAAATGTTATCTTGGAAGATGTATATATGGAGAAATAAAGCAAGGAAAAGGCAATGGGGGTCAGGAAAGGCCTTGGAGAGAGGGTGGCATTTGCACACACAAAGAGCTGTCTCTGGCCTTCCCAGACCTCCTTGGGGGTTCCTGGCTCTAGGTTTTCCATTTGCTCCAGCCAGGGGGTCTAACTCCCGTGTCCCTCCCACAGCCTACGCAGGGCAATCTGGCCTCCGCTCCCAGGGACCCGGGGACACTTGGCTGCCCACTCTGCCCCAAGGCCTTTCCTCTGCAGCGTATGCTGACACGGCACCTCAAGTGCCACAGCCCGGCGCGCCGCCACGTGTGCCGCTGTTGTGGCAAGGGCTTTCACGATGCCTTCGACCTCAAGCGCCACATGAGGACTCACACCGGTGAGGAGTGGCAGGGACAGAGAAGGGCGGCTGGGCCCCAGAAGGGTCTGGAACGAAATGGAGAGGTGTCCAGGATGTGGAGTTTCCAGTGTTTGTGTATACGGGGTGGAGACTCAACCATCAGGAGGCTTAGAACACCTCCTAATTTAGATCCCAGTCAGTGGGTGTAAGGTGGTGCCAGGGTAGAGGCGTGAACAGTGAGGACAGCAGTGGATACGTAGACCTAGATTGAAGGGTGCAAGGAAAATCCTCCCTCCTTCTCCCCTGGGGAAGGAATATCCTGATGAGGAGGGTGGGAACACAGCTATCTGGCCATGCTTGTAGTGGGTGGAGGTAGCAGATGCCGGGAGTCCGGACAACTTGGGGTAGGGATGGGGGAATGCTCATGGAGGGCAAGGTGGAGAGACTTTAGTTTGGAGGCCACTGTCCTGTCTGTCCTCTCCCCCTATGCCCATCTGTGCAGGGATCCGGCCGTTCCGCTGTGGAGCTTGTGGGAAAGCATTTACGCAGCGCTGCTCACTTGAAGCTCATCTTGCTAAGGTGCACGGGCAGCCCGCCAGCTACGCTTATCGTGAGCGCCGCGAGAAGCTGCATGTGTGTGAGGACTGTGGCTTCACATGCTCGCGGCCTGACGCCTACGTGCAGCACCGCACCCTGCATCGTGTTGCTTAAGAGGGTGCCCCCACACAACACATGAGAGGCAAATAAATGCAGGAAATGCACGCAAAGAACACAGTATTTATTACACGTGGGAAAGGATGGTTCACTCGGTCCAGCGGTGGCCACAGTGTGGGGCCGTACACACATAGTACAAGCGCATGGCGTCCTGGCAGAAAGGTTGCACGGTTAGGAAAAGTACAACGGGGAACCTCCATCCAGCAGAGCCTCAGCCCAAGATAGCAGGCAAAGGGTCTTTCCCCATTGGTAACGGTCCAGCTCAGGACGCCAGGATGGGCAGGGTCCCCCCAATTTTGGTGTCCCCACCCCCGGGGAGGACCAAGCCTGGGATACCCAGAAAGCCTTCCTCCTGCCACTCACCTCGGCCCGGGCACTATGTGACTGGAAGAACACCGCCTCCTTGTGGCCACACCTGAGAGAGCAGTCAGCTACTCAGCCCACCATACCCTTCCCTCCTCCCTGCACCCGGTGAGGACGAGCCGCTCCCCATCCCCAATATCAACTGCGCGCTCACTTTTGGCACGGGTGGTCCTCGGTCCGTGGCAACGTGGGGTCCTGGGACACGTCAGCGATGATCTGGGTCAGTTCGCTGAGGGAATAGAGGGCAAATAATTATGCCCAGACCAGGTCTCCCAAGCCAACAACCTCTTCCCCAGGCTCGAGTCCTGCCACTCACTCCACTTCGTGCGTGATTTTGTTGACGTAGATGCAGCTGTTGTCGGCTTCCTGCTGGTAATCACAATTCCGGCACTACGAAAGGGCGAGTGTTGCGGGAAAGGGGTTACGGAGAGATCTCGGAAGGGACTGGAAGGGAAGGCTGGGTCTTCCCCGGAGGGAATGACTATAGAGCATGGAGTCTCGATGCTGGTATAATGGGGTATATCGAGAATCACCTCGGGGGTGGGCAAGACAAGACAGTGGGGGTTCAGTCGTGGGAGAGTCAGGAAGCGAGACCAAAACGCGTAAGGAGCGTAGTGGGGAGCCACACTGGGAACAGGTGGGTCCGTCTGGGAAGATCCCGGACGCTCCGCGGGCTCGTGCTCACCGCGTAGAGCAGAATGCGGTTCTCCTTGTCCTCCTTGGGGTAAAGCATGTTGTTACTGTGGGGAGGGAGGAGACAGAGGTCAGTCCTGGGGTCATTAACTTGCCGCCCTTACACACTCGCAGCCCCAGCCTCACCATTCCTGGCAGAATCGAATACCCACGAAACCCGGCTCATAGGTCCCGTCCGGTTCCATAGCTACGCACTGCCCGCCAAGCCTTCCGCGCTTGCTCCGCGGCGCGACCGGTCGCGGGAAGGATCAAGCCTAGTTGCTTCGCCAAGAGAGGGGCGGGGCTGCGCGCGTGTACTGGCTTTCAGGGCTTTGTGCTTGCCTCTGTGCTCCGAAGTTTGATTAATAACTTGCTTCAGTTTTTTGATGTCCTGCAGTAACTGCTTCCAATTTCTGGGCCTTGCTTCCCCAGTCTGTACAACGGTATGGTACGAGAGCCAAGAATACGATGTTTCACGTAATCAGCAAATCGCTGACCATAAGCGAAGCCACTGCTCTTTGCTGGCTGAAGGCCAGTGCACATGCGCAGATGGGGGTACCTCTTGCCAGTCCTTCCCTTGGGCTTCACCCTTCGCCCGCCTGAGCCGTTTTCCGCGCTGCTATTGGAAGAACTGTGCACATGGAAAACCTTTCAGGATTGGCTGGGGCTACCCAAGAATGCGGGAGAGCCCTTCCTGGCGTGGAAAGGAGACAGCGGCGATTGGCGGACCCTGCCTGCGGGAGAGCATGGATTGGCTAGGTTGGGAGCAGAGGGAGGGGCTGATATCCCAGAAGCGGCGGCGGCGGCTGCGGAGCCGGTGTGAGGCGACCGACCGGGCTGCGGATCCCGGCAGGGCGCGGCGAGATGGAGGTGACGGGCTTGTCGGCGCCCACGGTGACCGTTTTCATCAGCAGCTCTCTCAACAGCTTCCGCTCTGAGAAGCGGTACAGTCGCAGCCTCACCATAGCGGAGTTCAAGGTGTGGCCGTGGGGGCGGGGTCCGGGGGCGGGGCGTAGGGTTTGAGGGGGCGGGGCAAGGAAGAAATGGAGGGGCTTTCCGAACGCGGGGAGGGGCCAGAGATAAACCGAGGTTGAACAGATTGGGGACGGGACCGGCGGGGTGGGGCCAGAGGAACCCTGAGTGTCTAGAAATTGGGGGCGATGCCAGGGAAAATCCGAGGTTGCATAGGGCGTGGCCAGGGATAACCAGGTGCGTCCTAAATTGTCTTTTGGAGGAGCAAGGATGGGGTAATGGTTATTGTTACAAGGGCGGAGCCTCGGAGCTCCTGGCTGGTTCAGTTGGTTACAGCCCGCGACTCTCGATCTTGAGCTCATGAGTTCGATGCCCGTGTTGGGCTTAGAGTTAACTTTTAAAATAATTAAAATAAATTTGCAAGTACATACCTTTAAAAAAAGGGGTGGAGCCTCAGGGCAGAAGGTGGGGTCACCGACAGCCTTCCACTGACTGCTCCCCACGCAGTGTAAACTAGAGCTGGTGGTGGGCAGTCCTGCTTCTTGTATGGAACTGGAGATATATGGAGCTGACGACAAGTTCTACAGCAAGCTGGATCAGGAGGATGCACTGCTGGGCTCCTACCCCGTAGACGACGGCTGCCGCATCCACGTGAGGCCTCCCCTCTATTTATTTGTTGAACAAAAATACTTGCTATACGTTGCTCTGTGTAATAACCAAGACAGGCCCTACTCTCATTCAGCCCCCAGTCCTACATGGAGAGAGACAAGCCATCACGGGACAGTGACAGAATGGTCTGGACAAAGCCCAGGGGACTGACTGGGCATGCCCAGCGAGGTGCCTGACTCCTAGAAGCATCAGAAGGGCTTCCTGATGGAAGGGATGCCTGAGCTGAGACCGGAAATAGGAGGAAAGGGTGACTTAGGATAAGGGGTGGGAGGGTATGCCACGTGGGGGGAACAGTGTACAGAGGTATAGAGTGTGAGAGGGGTCAGGGTGCATGATGAGACTGGATATGTTGGGAGAAGTTGAGGACCTCTATGTTCATCAACTCACATCATCTTCTCTCCTCCCCTTATTCCTCAAACATCCCAGCATCCCAGGTGGGCTCCACCTCGGGGCCTTTACAAGTGGTTCTTTTTCATATGGCTTCACATGGCTCACTCCTTTCTTCAAGTCCTACCTAAATGTCACCCTCCAAGTGTGAGGCATTCATTGGCCTCAGTATAAAATGTAAATGCCTTCTCTTTTCCACTTTATTTGATTTTTGTCTTTAGCTCCTAGCACCCTGTGACGTACTGTGCATTTCCCCCAGCACCTGGAATAATGCCTAGTACTGAGAAGATGCTCAGTGAATCATTGTTGAATACTGAGCTGAGTCCATAAAATAAGTCTTAAATAATAAATCCATAAAATAAGCTCCATCCAGTGTATGAGGTAGATGTTAGCTCAATATTCACAGAAACAGATATGAAACGTCAGAGACATAAAGGCCATATAGGAAGAGATCAGAGAGCTGGGAGAGCCGATACTGGGGAACCTGACCTATCGGTGAGGTCCAGGAGGAATTCCTGGAGGAGGTGATGCCTGAGCAGAGACCTGAAGAATAGGAAGAGTTAACTGAAGAAGGGAAGAGTACTCTAGCAAAAGGGCACTGCATGTGCAGACACTGAGGTGGAAGGGAGCACGGTTGAGTACAGGGGCTGAGGAATGGCCTTCCCTTTGGCAGGGGGAAGTGGGAGCCAGGGGAGGTCTTTGAGCCAGGAGGGTCCTGGTCTGACCCAGGTGCTCACAGGCTCCCTTTGACTGTGTGTGGGAAGACAGGAAGAATAGGGAGACCAGGGAGGAGGCTGCTTCCATAATTCAGGTAGTGTGATAGGGCCTGGATCATGGTGGGAACGGGTCAGGACAGTGCTGGGCCCACAGGACTGAGACTTTGGGCTGACCTGGGCAGCCTCAGCCTCCAGATGCTGGTGGGTCAGACATGGGTCGTGGCATCCTAAAACAGGTTTTCACACATGGGTTCAGGTGTAGACAGGCCTCTGACTTCAGAGGTCATTTGAGAAAGTTTTTCCAGAAGTGGAGCCTCTGGAGAATTTTTATTTAACATTATTTTTCTCTTTATAAATTTTGCCCATATTTGAAGTGCCTTGCTGGCCGGTCAGTAGAGCATATGATTCTTGATTTCATGGTTGTGAGTTCAAGCCCTGTGTTGGGCATAAAGATTACTTCGAAAAAAATTATACGTTTAACCTATGTTGCTTCAAATAATAGCAACCTCAAACTTACAAGATCCTTAATACACAAAAGTAGAAATTCTTAGTGATCCTGACCAGAGATAAGGGCCATTTCTAGTTTGCCATATGAGCCCAGTAGCTCAGGCTACCTTAGAGTCTTCGCTGACCCCTGTCTTTACCTCATACCCACATCCCGTCTATCAGCAAATCCTGTGGATTCCACCTACAAAATCTGTCTAGAGCCTGCAGTCATCTCCCTCACTACCGCTGCCATGGCCCAGACTCCATGCTCCCCCTCCTGGACACCACAGGAGCCCGTCCTCGGGCTCCCTGCAGTCTGCTCCCCACCTGCAGCCAGAGGGAGCCCGTGATGCTCTGAGCCAGGTCTGGCCCTCCTGGCCCAGAGCCTCCCCTGGCTGTATCCCATTCTGGGTGAAAGCCAAAGGCCGCAGTGATCTGTTGTGTCTCCATTCTTCCATGCCTGTCTCCACTCCAGCCATGATGGCCTCCATGCTATTCCTGAAAAGGGCTAAGGACATTTCTGCACCCGAGACTTGGTGCCGTATGTTTCTTCTCAGCCTTTCAGCCTTGGCTCAGACATCCCCTGCTTTCAGAAGCCTTCTCTGACCACCTTCCCGTTCTCCTTAAACCTCTTTGTAGTATTTATCTACATAGAACCTTGTCATCATCTGGTGTTTAATGCATGCACATGTCTGTTTATGGTTGGTGTCCCAGCAGAATGAGCACTCCCTGAGGGCAAGGGTTTATCTGTTTTTGCACTGTGTCCCTAGCGCCCAGCACAGAGCCCAGCTGGGTGCTGTGGAAGAGCTTAGCAAGCAATGAGTGAATGAATATTGAAGGTGGTAGAGGAAGAGATGCTTCAGGGTCCGGAGGTTGGGCCAGCTGAGGAGGGGCCCAGAGGCCCAGAGAGGACACATGTGCCGCCTAGAAGTCTCGTGAGGAAGGCCTGACCTCTGCCCTTCAGTTCCAGTGACTTAGAGACCATCACTGATGCTGGTGGCAACACGTGGGGGTTGTCTGGGGGAAGATCCAGCCTCTAAGGACTTGGGCGGGGTGAGGATGGGGAGACGGCCAGTGTGGACACTTGTTCTCATCTCTTCTGCTGGGCTCAGGAGAAGGGAGGAGGTCTGGGTAAAGGTGAGGGTAAAGGAGTAAAAGAATGTGGTTTTTCCTAGACAGAGAGACTTAAATCTAGGGAATACTCCACAGTACAGCCCCCTGCCCCCAGCATCCCAAGCCTCCCAGTCCAGACCCTGATCCCCACTCACCCCCCTCCCCTCACCATAGGTCATTGACCACAGTGGTGCCCGCCTTGGGGAATACGAGGATGTGTCCAAGGTGGAGAAATACCAGATCTCACAAGAAGCCTATGACCAGAGGCAAGGTACAGGCACATAGCGATGAATGAGGGCATATGGGGGCCAGAGGGAGTGTGTGCGGGCGGGCAGAGGTTGGGGGGCAGACAGGGACATTGGGAGTTGGTCGGTGGTGTGATCAGTGCAGGCACAAAGACATGGGCGAGTAGTGGGCATGGATAAGGTTGGTGTGTGGACAGATGGGGGTTGGGGGGCAGCTGTGGGGGCACAAGTGTGGGGTATGAGTAGCTGCTGGGAGGTGTGAGGGAATGTGGGCAGACAGACGGCCTGAGTGGGAAGTCTGGGGGGTTCTCATGCGGGGGGTAGTGAGTGTCACACGGGGGGTGAGCAGAACAGAGCGGAATGTGTAGACATTGGTAAGACAAGGAGAGGCTGGGCGGAGGGAATGTGACACTGGAGGCACATGGAAGCCGGGGTCATATGACTGGAAGCAGGCATCTTCCTTTCAGGTTTTGGATTATGGGGAGGCCCCAGGGGTTCTGGGGGGAAGCCAGGGCTATAGTGGGAGATTCGGAGGACTTGGGCAGCAGCGCTCCAACACTCAGAGCAGACGAGTCTCTCTCTGAATGTTGGCTCTGTGTGGGTGGAAGGTCATCTCATCAGGCCAGAGGCCGCACCAGGAAAACCGTGTCTCACCCTGTCTCCCACCCCGCTCTCAGACTCAGTCCGCTCCTTCCTGAAGCGCAGCAAGCTGGGCCGATACAATGAAGAGGAGCGGGCACAGCAAGAGGCCGAGGCCACGCAGCGCCTGAACGAAGAGAAGACCCAGGCCAGTGCTATCTCTGTGGGCAGCCGCTGTGAAGTGCGGGCACCTGGGCAGCCCCCTCGCCGGGGCACCGTCATGTATGTAGGTACGTGGCCCACTGAGGCCTTCTGCCCTGCCCTGAGATGGGCACTG